AGTGGTGCAGGATATCTGCCCAGCCTGCTTCCGTGCCTTTCTCGAGCTCATGCAAGAGTCTGGCATGCCGATGGTTGGGCAGGAAAATCGACCTGCAAACCATCACGCGCCGGTTGGCCAGTCTGCTTCCAACAGTTCGTGCCAATGTGTCTGGGTGGACCCCTGGGTGCGCGCGCGTATGTGTATCGTACGTATACAAGTACGATTTGAGACCGGGTACATGCCTGCATTCAAGACTGGTGAGGGCTTCAGCCGTACAGCTGAGATGAGTCCCTCATCAGTCTCGTAGTGCGATATCGACCGAGGTCCCGGTTTGCCTTTGCTAAGCACAACTTCTGACCTCGGTACAGGTACAGTACCTACAGGGCAGGCCTCTCGCATTGGTGTTGCTACAGACAAGTCGTCCTCCTTGTTGCACTCGATTGCGCCGCCAGGAGGGAGGAGAGGACACGCCAAGCCTATCCCGATACGATACGGATGACGACGACGATCATTCCCCATGGTAATCGACTCTCAGCCCCAGCTTCAGGGTCCTGGCCGTCCCAAAATAATCCATCGTCGTGCTTATGACTGCGCTTGTCCGGCGGTGGCTTATACAATATTTCTTCTATAAGTGTTACCGGACAGCTTACCAAGCTGAGTCTATGATGGAAAAGAGCCCCCCTTCAAGGACCGCCTACAGAAACGTGCATGTGGAGTGCTGCCGTTACGCTCTCGACGGACGCCTGCCCAACATTGAAGCCTTGGACGCCTCTGAACTGTTTGCGTATAGACTCGGGATGGCAGACGTGTACGTTGACGCTGCCAAACACGACCTAATGCTACCACTTATAGCAAAGTACTACGTCGACGTAATTCTTACGGTAGCGCCGCCATGCTACATAGAACTGTTGCCCGAACTGGCCAAAGACTATTGATGGCTCGCGACCACTCGTACATACAGTAAGTCACTGTTTTCGCAAGTGACCTGGTCGATGCGAGGCTGTGAAGCCAAAAAGCCTGTTTTACTACCCTGGACAATGTTAATCGGTGCCTAGCGAACGGGCATCTCGTCGATCGACCTGCGATCGAGGAGAGATGTGCTCCGCAAGGCTGCTGGAGTGAGTGGGTGATCGCATTGCTTGAGAGTGGCCAACACCGAACACTGTACCTGATACTGTCCGCCGTGCTTTGATGCAGGTTCACCAAGTCCCTGCAAAGTGCAACGCCAGCAAGGATGTGCTCAACTCCATCTTGCGAGACATTGCCACCGCTTCGTCAGCAGGCAGAGTTTAGGCAGCCTGAACCTGGTACATACTCGTACGTGTACACGCAACGAAAAGAGTCATACATTTGTATCATCCAGGCAATGGAGCAGACAGTTGTGATGATCACGGTGTGGTCAGCTCTGCGTTGAACACTGGACGAGTCATCGACACCAGTCACGGCCGAGTGCAGACGCCACGCCCAATACCGCAAAAAGTCGTGGGAAGTCGAGCAGCAGATGACTTGGCTGTCCGGTTTGACGGGGTCGACCTGGACCGGCGGGGGATACAACGAGCATTCCAAGGGAGGGAGGATTTCGTCGGCTTTTCTTCTCTCTCTCTGGTGCTTCGGCGTCGCCTACAGGCAATGCTGGGTGCTTGTCGTACGTCGGCGGCCCCTCGAGTTGATGTGAATGGGTTGTGCGCGTTGTGATTGGCGCCCACGGGCTCAGGGAGGGCTCGCTCGACCCCGGCATGCCGATGTGATGGCTGGCTGGCTGGCTGGCTGGGCTGACAACATCCTCTGGCCTCTCCAGTGCAAGCAATGCAGATGAGCTTGGCTTGGTTTGGACGCAAGTTGGTCACGCCTCTTTTTTTTCGTTGCATCTCCCCACCTCCTCCGGCCTCCGGGGGTATCCGCCGAGGGAGCCGATCTCTGGCCCAAGCAGGTTCAAGCCCGCACCGGCCGTCGCCTCGCAACTCACCCAAAGTGATCTCGTACGAGTTCGTACGAGTTACTGAACAGGATCTTCAGTGTTGTACTAAGCGTGGAACCACGGAGGGACCCGAAGCTTGTTCAGTTTTTTTTTTTTCGCCTTCTTCCATCATCTTCTTCCACCCGTTTGCGGTGGACCCCGGGCGGTGCAAGGCAAAGAAAGGGTTCCGCGACGCAGAACAATGATCACTTCGCCTGTGACGCGCACAATGTCCGGCGTGCGTGTGGAGGGAGGTGAGGGGGAAGAAGGGGGTGACCAATCAAGCGGGTAAAGCAGCTGGTTGATGCCTGGGATCGAACGCTTACGAGAGATATTATTATGTTGTCTTGGACCATTTTCGGTATGAGTGGATGTTATGCCTTGGCAGCAACTGGATCCTCATCATCATCATCCTGATGCGTGAGTGTATGGAAATAGGATGACAATCACGTCGCTGCTGGAAGCAAGTCGAAGGAGAGGCGAGGAAGATTGACAGGAGCAACGATGTCTGTGACATAATCGAGCAGCATACCCGAGATCAGGCCCGAAAGGAAGCAAGGGAGGCTCGGTTCTTTGGCTAATACTAACCCCCCCGATCTCATCCTGTACGTACGAAGCCTCCCCCTCTCGTGAAACATGCAGCTAGAGAGGAAAAAGGAAAGAAAAAATAGCAAAGGAACGAAGATTCTGCAGGCAGGGCTTCCCCCTCGTCAGCAGCGTGGGGGAAACGAACCAATGATTCGGGCAATGAAAGAGGGGAGAGGGGGGAAACTGCGTGATTTCTCACGATGAAGCAACCCCGGGTGCATGAGTCTATCGACAGGCTGCAAGTCGGGGGAGCCTCTTTTTTTTTTTTTCTTTTTTCCTTATTTTTTCTTTTTCTTCTTTTTTTTCTTTTCTTGCGTTGCAGATTTTATCTTGTTCTTTTTTCGCTTCCTTTCCCTTTTCTATTTTACCTCCTTCTCCTCCCTGATCCCTGCTCTTAGAAGAGGGGAGGGAGTATGTACATAGGCAGTCATGCAAGTCAACTGCAGGTCTTATCACAGGCAAAAGCCACATACGACTGCATCACTAGTTGCTTTTCCTTGGACGGGGTCTCTCTCTCTCTCTCTCTCTCTCTCTCTCTCTCTCTTTTTTTTTTTTTTTTTTTTCTTTTTCTTTTTCTCTCTCTTTTGTTGGGCTCCTCTCACTTCCTCTCGGCTGCCCAGGAACGCGGCAACCTTACTGTATCCGCCTGGTGCCATGAATGCGAAAAGTGAGGGGGGGGGGGGGGGAAGGATATGTGTGTGTGTATGTGTGTGTGTGTGAAAAGAAGATGCCTCTAGCTTGTCCGTGTTGCAAAAAGAGGCTGCTATAATACTCGTGGATCCAGTATGACGCCAGCTGGTGAGGGTTGGGAGTCGCTGCTTGGTGGTTGCTCCTGAAGCTGCCTTAGGTACTGTTATAACTACGGTGTACGAATGCTTGTAGAGAAGCAAGAGAGAGAGTGAGTGGGCATGTTTTGGGTGAGTGAGCATCACATGAAACGGACGAGGCTGGTGAACACCTGCTAGGGTGTTTTTGATGGTGCCTACGGGCGGTGGACGGGCTCTTGTACACCGCGATGCCTCACTGTTGGTGTTTACGCAGTGTGCTTGAGTTCTTGAACAGGCCTATCCCGGGGGAAGCCGCAAAAACAGCAGTCGAAATGGTACCCAAAGTCACAAAAGCCGACGTCAAAGGGATGAAGGCCCAGATCGAAGCCGAGATGACATTCTGGCTGAGCTCATTGCGTCCCAACCCAGCCCCAGCCCACGCATACGCATACGCATACGCATCTATGCCCAGAGCCGTCCAACATGTCTCTCTCTCTCTCTGTGTGTGTGTATGACGCTGCAAGACCATTGATGCCTCTCGGTTGCCTCGCTCGTTGCTGGGTCCAATGGGAAAGGTTATTCTGCAAGACTAGAGACGTCGTCCTGCGTTGTGCGCACCGAGCGATATCATCTTCTGTCGTTAGCGATGGCCGGCCTTTGTCCGTGTTCAAGACGCAGCCTGCGCTCGAAGGTTGTTTTGTTCGGTGACACTGCAGTGGCCTTTATTGGCGGAGTATCAGAGCATGTCTGGCGGGATGCTTTTGGGCTGACCAATGGAGAGGACATTGACGGGCAGTGTTGTTGGTCTCGAGTAAAGCTGCGCGTGCTTCCGGGCATGTCTGAAGGATGAAGGAAGAAGAATGGCTGATGGGGAATGTGAATGGCCGTGAGGATTCTGCCCCCAATCCCCTTCGAATCCATCACAGGTAATACTCGCTCGCTCAGGCCATCTATCTTTATCACCAGACAAGCCCGTCAGACACAAGCAAAAAAAGCAGTCTCAATACATCCAACCAAGGTGGAAGGGGGGGAAAGCACCAGCAAGCGGAATAGAAGCAGCGTAGAATCTTCCGTCCAGTTCGTAGTGTCAAGAGTCGAGCTTTTTGCTGGGCCTGTCAAAGAGTCTTTTTCTGGAGGGGTTGCGCAAAAGGGCCAGATTTGGCCGGCCGGGGCTCGGCATGTGCAAGTGCAAGTGCAAGTGCAAGCGCTGACATGCGGATTGCGGCTCCGTTGGCCTACTAAGGTAGGTACTGTATTGTTCGCTTGCAACAACGCCTTTTGACTTGATCGGATAGATCAATACCACAACAACTAGAGCCTCGGATCTGCGCAGCCAAAGGAATACGCAGCCGCACGTCCTTCTTTTCTTTCTTTTTATGCTCTTACTCTCCTCCTCCTCCTCTTCTGCTCCATCATTCGCAGCATGCCCGTGTCCCGCCTGACGCCCTCATAATAACCAACTAAGCCGAGCCAAAACCTCCACTCAGACAATGACGATATCCGTCGACGAGCCTCGAATGCACGCAGTTCCCGCTCCCTCCATCGCCGTCATGGCCAGCGTCAACGGCCTCTCGACCGAGGGCAACAACCACCACCACCACAGCAACAAGAACCACGACAAGCACATTCTTCCTTCCATTCTCCATCACACCCACAAGCGCGAGTCCGGCCCGGCATACGGCTCGCTGTACGATGCGTGCGTCGCCATGAGGGCCAAGGTGGACGCCTTTCTGGCGGAGGAGCCGGCGACAGCGCTGCTGCGGAGGGCGCAGGAGCAGGCGCGCGTGTCGGTGCGTGTCGTGGAGGAGGCGCTGGAGAGATATCGGTGTGTTTCTTGTTGTTTATATGCGCAGGATGCGCTCTGGCGAGGGTTGCATGGTGGGCTGACTTGGGATATCTGAACACAGGCCGGAGGAGCTCTCTATATCATACAACGGCGGCAAAGACTGTACGTTGATGCTTGAGCCGACCTGATCCGAGCACAACTTTTTATGCCCCCCTCCCGAGGGGTTCAACGAGACAATTGCTAATTGTGGTTGAAATACAGGCCTCGTCATGCTCATCGTGCTGCTCGCATGCTTCGCCCGCCGATACTCGGCCCCGAAACCCGCCCTCGGCGCAACCGCCCCCAACGGACCATCCTCCTCCTCCTCCTCCTCCCACCTGCCGCCCTTCCCCGAGAAGCTGCGCGCCGTCTACATTGTGTCCACGGATCCGTTTGCCGAGGTGGACGACTTTGTCGAGGCGAGCAGCGCCGACTACCACCTCGACGTCAGCCGCTTCATGCTGCCGATGAAGAAGGGGCTGGAGGTGTTCAAGGCGCAGAACCCGAGCGTGCGGGCCATTTTCGTGGGGACGCGGCGGACGGATCCGCACGGCGAGAAGCTCAAGCATTTCGATCCGACAGACGAGGGGTGGCCTGACTTCATGCGGATACATCCGGTGATTGACTGGCATTACAGTGAGTTTTTGCCATCCAGGGGTCTTCTTTGGTTATGAAATGTGCTAATCGATTTGGCAATAGCGGAGATTTGGGCTGTGAGTTTTTGTCTCTATAGTGGGATGCTTTTACATTGAATTGGTCACTGACGTGATGATGCAGTTTACTCGGCATTTGGAGCTTCCTTATTGCCCTCTATATGATCAGGTATGTTGGATGCGTCACGCAGAGTGAGAATGAAGGGGAGGGGGGCTGACGAGCGTGAAAAGGGATACACGAGCCTGGGAGGCAGAAAAGATACGCTGCCGAACCCGCGGCTGAAGAAACAGGGCAGCGATGATGGGTTTCGACCCGCGTACGAGTTGGTAGAGGACGACGAGGAGCGACTTGGCCGGCGTAGATGAAGGGGCGGGCGGGGAGATGCCTGGCGATGGCTTCATGCTCCTTGGCAATGGGGGGCGCTCCTTACTTACATTTCTCGTCATTTACCATCTCTCAAGCACAGCAGGCTGGGATGGAGAATTCTTCACCATCATCAAACATTATATAATTAACAACATGGGAAGATTTGGAGGGATTAGATATCGAGGGGAGGGTTACGCATGGGTTTTTAAATCTTTTTAGGTGTATGGCGTTGCGGGATAGAGAATCAGCCATGACACATTATTCACTTTACATTTATCGCTCTGCTATAAGGTATGCTATTTACAGAGATGGCAGATATATCGTCTTGTCTTCTGATGGGGGGGCTAGTTTTGGTTATTGGAAGATGCAAGGTGGAGACATAACCATAAAGAATATATATGAAAATCAGAGTGATCTTGAGCTGCTGCTCTCTGTCTAGATGTCCCCATCGTGTGTACTTTTCCTACATGTTTACATTACCTTGGCTGTCGGAGTTGGCTATCAATGATGAGATTGGCCGACTTGAGAGAGTTCGAACCCGTCGTTTTAGGGTAGACTCAACCCTTTGCCCTTTATACCCAAACGAAGCCGAATTGACCTCACTATTATTAAAGATGTCTTCTGACTGGGGCTTTGGTAAAACAGGTAGATATGCAACAAGTGTATGTATGTATGTGCAAGCACACAAATCCGTGCAGCATGACCCCTACTAAAGGGGGGGGGGGGGGGGGGGGATGGGAGGATGTCACGCACGAAGATGAAGGGGAGGTTGGGTAGCACCAGCAAGAAGATGCCGTCTCATAGGACGAGGCTGGTTGTTACAAACGCGCGCTCGATATTTCCCACTCGTTGAGGGGAAGTCTATAATGGGGATGCTTTTTTTGCTTGTATCTTTGGTATTTTGTGTGTGCCCTGTCTTCTGTGTGATGGAGGGAGTTTTCAAACTGTATGTATGAGTGGTATGTATGTATATATGTATGTGTGTGTGTATGTGTGTGCAGTGTAGTACCTAGTTGGAGTATGACAAAGGGGGGGAGGGAGGGAAGAGAGACTTGTTGTTTCGAGCTTCGAATGGAGAACTAAAAGTGGTGGTGAGACATGGCAAGCCTTTCCATCATCGAATTGTGAAGGAGGAACTGTTGTTGGTGGGCGAGTATAAATGCACGTAAATGATCTATACACCACCAGCAACGTTTGCTCAAAGAGTGTGACCGAGTCTAGATGTGATGCGACATGACAACCTCTAATATATATACAGAGAGACAAACAAAAACAACACACAACCATTCATTCCACCCCTCACTATGAGATACTAGTTCACAAGGTCCCATCACATACAATCTGTAACCCTACACAGCGAACCGAGAGGCCTCATCATCACTCCCTCACCCACTCATCCAGCCATTTCACATGACATCCCGCATCTCGCACAGCCCCTTTACCAACCCAGCCAATCGCCCTCTTCACTCATATCACATATACTAATTCCCACACTTGTCACCGCTTGAATTACAGCCACTCAACTACTCATGCAGACGCAGACGCAGAGGCAATACTGGAATGTGGAATCAAGGGGCCATAGTCGAGTGACGAGGAAACATACAAGACCATCATCAATCGTATCAAGGCTACCCCCCAAGCTAGCAATCCTCACTTCAGCCTCAGCTACGTGTGTGAGATAATCCTATGGTATTAGAGAAATCTCCTGACCAGCCTCGCCGCCTGCCTCGGTGATAGTACTCCCAACGCCATCTTTGGACCCGGCTATCCGTCCGTCCTGAACAAGCAGTCAAGACGAAGAAAAACAAAACAAACCAGAACAGAGGCATCCTTCGAAAATGAAAGAGTCCCAAGCACATTATTCAGCCTTGGATTTGGAAAACCCCGTAAACGCTCCCGTGATCCAAGGCACTTATCCAGTCATATTGTATGGAACAATGGCCTTGTCAATGATGGGATCCCTCCGCGACATGTGTGTTGCCTCGGGACCCCAGCGTGATCTCCACTCCTCCTCTCTCTGCAGCGCCTTGTCAAAAGCCTCGCGGCATTCCGGAGGCAGCAGATCCTTAATCTCATCCGACACGGCGCTCAGCCCGTTGAACTGCGCGACAAAGTCTGCCGGATCCGACCTCTTGCTGGCCGACAGCGCTCCGCCTGCCGCTGGCGTCTCAAAGTACGTGTCCATGACGCAAAAGTTCCTGGCCATCTTGAGAGGAACCGGGGGGAACTTGGGATCGCCTCTGGTGGCCTCTTCGTCCTGTGGCGCCACTTGCTCGATGCGCGCGAGTGTTGGCTGCATCGCGGCCGGATACTGCATGATGTTTGTGTGAATGTCGTAGACGCCGGCATTGTTCAGCTTCCTGATAGCATTGATGCCCGCGTTGAAAGCACTGCAAACCAACATTAGCCTCTCTCTTTTCTTTTCTCTCTTTCTCTCTCTTCGATCCATGATGCATCAAGTGTCCTTTCACATACCTGGCCTCTCGCGCATGCTCCAGCATCCAGTTGGTGTCGTTGACGTTGACCTTGCGCTTCTTCGACTCGACCTTGCCAGTGGGCACCGGCGCTGAAGGGGCGTTGGTGTGATACACTGAGCTGGCGCCGTGCCACGCAACGTACTGGTTCTTGTTGTACGGCTCTCCCACCACATAACGATCCTCCGGGTCCGCCAGCTCTCCCTCGACCGCGCCCTCCGCGCGAGCCTGCGCCACGGCGTAGTCGTCAATGATGCGCTTGCCGCCCACGACGATCCGGGCTCCAAACTCGCGGAACACCGACCGGGCCGTGACGATTCCTATTGACCGGCCCTTGTACGAGTGGGGGATGATGTCCCGCTCAATCATGTCGCGCTTCTCCTCGTCGTCCACAATGATCTTGTACAGCTTGCGGTGCTTGGTGAAGAAGAGGTAGCTGTCCCTGAAGCCGACGCATCGCGCCGGCTCCGTCGACAGCATGTAGAGCCGATTGCCTCGGCCCAGCACCTTGAACGTCCGGCAGCGGTATTCGCGCCCGCCCTTCAGGTTGCCCATCTTATCCACCTTGGTCTCGCCTTCGGGGTCCTCGGGCAGCACGCATTCGTCGTCGACAATGTCGGCAACGGTTCCCTCGGCGTCAATCACCTGCTCCATCTTGGGCGCCGCCGGCCCTCCCTTGCGGCCACCCCGTCCCCTCCAGCCGCCGCGACCTCTTCGGCGCGGCGTGTCGGCCTCCTCCTTGGTGACGGTCACCATGTTGTCCCAGTCCGGCGGCCGGTTCTTGGGCGGGCGTCCCAGGCGCTTCCGGCGGATCACGGGCTGCGGAGGCGGCGTCGGCTCCTTGGCCGAAGCCTCTGACTCGTCGTGCTCTTCCTCCTCGTCGCCCTCACCACCGTCATCGTCGTTGTCCGCGCCTTCTCCATCGTCACCAGACTCCTCTTCCCTGGCCTCGTTCTCGTCGACGTCCTCGTCCTTTTCGTCGGCAGTGTTCGCGCCCGCGCCCGCGTCGACGTCAGGCATCGGCTCGTCTTCGATGTCGGCATAACCCTTGGGCGTGCTTCCTGTAGGCGGGGGACCGCAAGTTAGCTTCCGTTGGATGTCCATTGCCGTGATGTTTGTCTGCTTCAACAATTCAAAGAGTCGATCGTGATGTTTCGTTCCAAGTGCGATGGTGGAAGAGACTCGGAAACAACCAGGAAGGTAGGCCCATTTTGAGAGCAGCGCAGCCAGATTCCTTCCCTACCGCGCAGACACACCAAGCGGCAGGAAGAGGCCGTCTATCGAAGCCCTTGGAGGACATATAGGTAATAAAGGTAAAAATCAACGTACCAAGAGCTGCAGCAGCCTTCTTGGCCGCCGCGCGACCCGACCTGCGACTAGGCATATCGTCGCTTCCCTTTGTCAAAAGCAAAGCAATCACTTCCCCCGCCAGACAAGCTCGTTTTTTCCGCTCTTTCCCCGGATTTGTAAACTGAAAAGTGAGAGAAACAAACAGGTAGATTGACGGGTAAGAATTCGGTTTTGATCAGGATTAAAGATCGTGGTTGGGGGATTTGGAGAGCTGAAGTCGGAGAGGAAGATGCAGAGCCGCGCGAGAGTTGTCGATCCAGCTGCCGCCGCTGTTCGTTTGCCCTTCCCTTGCGATTGGTCTTTTTTTCGCGGCGCGCGTTCGTTGCTTGTTAGCGGTTGCAGTCGGCGATCCGATTGGCCAAAGGGAGTGACATAAGCACGGTGCGCTAATTAAATCACACTGTATTTACGCACTGTCTCGGACCAGACTCGCAACCGCAGTTTGAGAGCAACAACTGAGCGTGATAGAAAGTCTCATACCTTAGACTACCTACCTCTGGGTAGGTATGTTTACGAGGCCACACGCAGACAGAGTCACCTCATGCAAAGACAAAGATGATACCTCGATCAGTTTGCTATGAACACACCCAAGTCTCCCGTGTTTCAAAGCACATCCGCAGGCGTCAAGGCCCATGAACCCGAATATCCTACACCATGGAAAAGGCACCTCGTCTTCCAAGTTTCTTGAACAACATGCCCCCTGCGTAAGACATTAATGGTCCCTACACGGCAAACGAAATAATGTCCCCTTCTATAAACTCCTACAAAATCACCTCAAAGGGCCCATTCTCCTCCATACGCCGAAATAATGCCAATCTTGCCAAATCTCACCTCGAGTCTGTCGAAGCGGCAGCGTCCTGTCAGGTCCCAGCAAACCCCCTTCTCTTTCGGCCATACGAGTGTCCAGAAACGCCTCACAGCGTGTCCCATCCTCCATTGTTGATTTCCGCCTCCAGCTTCCGGCTAATGAGACTCGGGACTCCATGCTTGAGCACAGTGCTCCTGATCATGGAGTCGTATCGTTTTTGGTTCAAAAACAGCTGTCGCCCGTGCCGCAGCTGCTGGTCCGTCTCGCCGTACTTGTCAATGTATGGTGCCGGTGTAAAGGACCCGGACCTGTGGTATAGATAGACCGTAGAGCACTTGCGCACATTCAGAAACACTCCAATGATCCTCTGACACCTAAAGAGAAGGGGATAAAAATGCCAGTTAGTCACAGAATAACCTTTCACAGAAAAAGACAAAAGAGACAACTGTACCTTCGCATGTGTTGCTGGGCACCGCCAATCTTGGTGCCGTCAGCATCCATTCTCTGACAGCATGTGCTCTGGCTGCAGAGCATCTCTCCGCAGAAGAGGCAGAGGATGGGATCTGTAAGATCTTTGCCCGTGGTCGGACACTTCCTCCTCGTTGATTCTTCAATCAAGGTGTCGAATGTTCGCGGAAGGCCAATGAGCTCGAAGATGCCCGGATGGCTGACCATGGCCGAAGGGACCAGGGTGGGCGAGCCTTTAGTCCAGAGCACCTGATGCTTAACCCAGCCTGTCACCAGGCCCAGTGTCGCATTGGGCCATCCACAAGCCATCGAGTCAGCCGTCATGACGGCGCACATTTCATCAAACGACGGTAGCCGCAGAGCCTCGGTGAGGCGGTCCAGCTCATCGGCGCTGTTGTCGGCCGAGACGTGGCTGTTAAAGTCCACGCCGTACTTGACGTGGAGGAAAATGGTGCATTTTCGCAAAAATGTCGTCGCGTACTTCTTCACAAACGAGTACCATCCTTCCAAGGTGTCGACTCCCGGCTGCTGGAAGCCTCGGTTCTCTCCCATGTCCGGGAGATTGGCGTTGCTCAGCCTTGCTTGAAACTCCAAGCTGAGCTTGCTGAGAGCCAGGGCGAAGTCGGCAAAGTTGTTCATGGCTGGGTCCTGGGTCTGGCGGTTTGCCAGCGTTCCCAGCCACAAGCCCACGGGCATGTTGCGGCCCATGTGAAAGACAACCTTGACAATCTCCGCCAGGTAGCATAGCCGGACAACGTGCATGATGTCGACATTTCGAGCCGGCACTAGAGCGTAGCTGCATTCTACCAAGAAGAGAAAGGGATCCAGAGACAGCAAAGGCGGGTAGCTGTACAGCCGCCGACGCGCATCCCCAACCTCTGCTCCAAAATGCTGCGCCATGAACAGTTGACCGTGCTGCTGCTCTGCGTCCGCGATAAATTCAGTCTCAATCAGACTTCCCGGCTGCGGGCGCATGCCCCCTATCTTGATGTATGCCGAGGTGGTTTCTGCCATGATTCGCAAATGAGCAATGACTTGCTCCGGAATCTTCTCAATCAGCGTCATTCCCGGCTGAGCTTCGATTCCACGCTGCTGTATCTCCACTGCAGAGATCGTGTATCCAACCACTTGAACCAGCGTATCGCTTCCATGGAGCTCATCTCCTGCTCGAAGCTTGTTCACGGGATACCGCGTGTCAAGCCTGTTGAGAACCATCGTATCTCTCAGTCGATGGTAGGCGGCGACAAGTTCAAATAAGGGCTGACCACTGCCGGCGCTGGATGCCTGGCTTGCCCCTGCTTCCGAAGTCTCAGCAGCGGCGGAGGCCGAAGAGCTACCCGAAGGTCCTGGCGGCACTGAGGATCGCGGCTCCGGACCCTCCTTGTTCCAGATCGAATCCAGGGGGCGAGGCTTCGCTGGCGTCATTGTCTGCAGTAGGCTGCCAGGGAGGCTTGGCGTGTAGATATCGGGCAGTCTTGAATCATCCACCTCACGAGCCTTGCTACCGCCGAATGGGTAGGACGACATCTGCTTGTCGAGAAAATCTTCAAAATTTTCCTCTACCTGCAGGCTGCCTGGATAGGACTCCTCCAGCCCTTTCCACACGATGGGAATAAAGGTATTACCCAAGGCCTTGCAAAGAGGGCATACGAACTCGTTTCGAAGGATATTCTCTGGATGATGCCGCGCGATCTGATGGGAATGACGACGATTGGTAGCCTCGTAGTACTGCTCGAAGCAACGGTAGTGCATCATGTGCCCACAACTGCTCGCCACGGGCCCTGCTCGTGAAAGCGATGCCTTGAATCCCCTGCCAATGGTCTGCCTTTCGGCAAGGAATACCTCTCCCTTGGAATTCAGCTTCTCGACCATCCTTCTGTTTTCTTGGGCGATACCAAAAGGGCGAATGTCCTCTGCCGACCTGTCGAGATTGCACGGGGTTTGCGAAGCTTCCCGAACAAGGTCGGGATCCTGGAAGTCCGTTTGGCGAAGGATGAGGCTCTCGTTCAGGAGCGCAAATGTACCATACAGACGTCGATCGTCAGCTTCCTCCTGGCAAAGGATACAAGTCCCCGACGGGTATTTCCAGTTGTGCTTGCGGTCTTCGGCTTGGCCCATGGACTCTTCGTCCTCATCGAGGTCCGAGCCCCAGTCAATGGCGCCCTGATTCTCCAAGAAGCTCTTTTGCTGCTGCTGGAACTGCGCCATGACTTTGGCCTGGCGACTCATCGCCGCTTGCTTCCTCCTTTCGCGTTCCTCGTCAACTGAAGCATTTGCTGGCGACGCAGTGTTGATGCGATCTACAGGCAGACCTAGCTTTGTGAATTCCGCATTGAACGCCCCTGGCCGTTTCTGCTTAAGACGCTTGAGGATGAGGGCTATCTTGGGATGCACTGCTTTAAATTCATCGCGGGTGGATAGCATATTCAACAGCGAAACGATGGTCCTCGCGTTACTTGCGTCAGGCATGAAGTTGCTCCGAGCCACTCGCGTGACTGCGGTGTAAACAAAGGACTTGGAAGCCTTTCCCGGACCATCATTTTCGGTACTCTTATCTTCCAAGGTGGCAAGGAGAACGAGGTGAAGAACAACTTGTAGAAACGTCTCGACTCGGGTGACGGGCACAAGCGGTGTAAACTTTTGCGCGCTGAGTGCATATAGCAACGAGTAGTAGATGACCTGCGCAAAGACGCCCGTGCTGGTGAAGTCCGCGAGATGCTGGAATAGCCCAGACGGGATCGGTCGAAGCTTAGGCTCAAAGACAATTTCTTCCAGAGACTTTCCCGTCTTCTTGGCCATCTTTCTACGATAGGCCAGCTCGGACTCCTCGCGTTGATTCTTGTTGTAGTGGGCAATGTAGGGATCAATCTCTTCGATAAACTCCTGGCGGAGCTCAAAAGTACCCACGTCAGACACGCCCTCTGGTGGCTTGAATGTGGCCATCTCGTCTAGTACTTGGTGGAATTCCTCTGATTCCTGATATTTCTCAGGAAGCTTCAGAGAGATTTCATTGAAGGACATCGGCTTGAGGCACAGAACATGGATAATGTCTCTGCGCATAGCCAGTAGACGAGAGTTTGGCTCGTCCTCGGGGGCAATGAGGCATGTTCGGTCGCTCAGGAGAACAATGAGGAGGTGAATCATGTCCTCAACAACGTCGAGGTGCTGGATGTCGTCTTGAGCTTCCGACAAAACTTCGAAGATTCCTTTGACCCAGTTCTCCATGCCGAACCGGTCGATAATGGAGGCCAGGACTCGAGAGGGGTCGCAGACCACCATTGCCGTTTGCAAAAGGAAAATGTCTCGATGATGGGAGACATCTCTCTGCCCAACGCCACGGTAGGTACTGGCTTGATGGCGAAGACTGATTCCGTTTCGAACCCACATGTTGGCCTTGATCTGAGCTAGCCAGGCACAAACTCGGAGCGGGTAGTCAAAGAGGGCCATCATGTAATCCTCGGGGCTATAGTCCGCCTTGGGAATTTGCGAAGGCCCTACTGTCATGAGTCTCGGCTTGGACTTGAGCTCATGCCTAGTAAAGCTCAGGAGAGCGCGCATCTTTGACGCCGGCAGTGACCTTCCGCACTCGATCAGCCAGGACAAAGTATAGTGCAGTCCATGGTGGAAGCTGATGGCTTCCTTTTCGACGACGAATTTGACGACTTGATATAATCTGTCCCCAGCATCAAACTCCAGGTCGCTTATCGTCTTGAACTTCACTTCGTCCTTGATCTCTGCCTGTTTGAACCGCAGCCGGTCCGCACCAACAGAGTTGAAAATGGCAGCTTTGGCGGCGATTCGGATGGCACGCATGAGGTGGCGCATCTCGTCGGGTGGGCAGTTGCGAAACGCTTCGGTTAGGTTTCTTGCTTGCAAGTTGATCTGTCTAGTGACGAGGGAAGCCGTGATCCAGGAGTCGGCTTCATATTCCACGTGTTCGACCACTGCGCGAACATTGGGTCCAATGCCCTGATGAAGTTTTACCAAGTCCAGAAACTGCATGAGATATCTCGGCTCGCGCCTGATTCGCTCCTGCACATGTTGGGAACTGAGGAGGTACTTGAGGTCTTGGTAAAAGTGATACATGCGCCGGTTGGTGACAGAGCCGCTGTCAAAAGCGAGAACGGCTGACGGGGAGACATCCCACGGGTGGCCGACTTGCCTGGTTGTTAGGAACGTGTACAGGATCGCCAGTAAGTTGGTCAGGAAGTTTCCTCGCTCTATCACCTCGGCAGTGATGGATGGCGTCGTGAGCATCTGAAGAGAGAGATTGATGATGGAGTGATCTGGCTCTCTGTCGCCGATGAGATAGAGCTGGGCCAAGACGGTGTACAGACTAGCAAATCGGAGGGCCACGATTCGCTTGAACTCTGGGATCTGGACCACCGTAGATATGTAGAGGGCGCGGAGATCGTTCCTCGCCCTCTTCCACATTCGCAAATCGAAAAGTAACAGCCAGTCTAAGCGAACCCGCTGGAAAACGTCTTCTGCCGGCGGCACGTCTCCAGGTTGCGTGTACGCGGCTGGGGTTTCCAGCCAATAGAGACCCGGGTTAGGCAACACCTTCTCCGTCTTGCCGGGGGTCTTGGGTATATCGATATTCGCTTTTGTGTATATGTTGTGAGAGATGAGAGGTTCTTGCATGTCTGAGTCGGACGGTGTACCCTCACGCTGCCGAGCAGCCTGCGAGGGTTCCCCCTGCTCCTGCTCGGGAGCAACCGTTTGGGCACGAGCAGGCGGAGGGGGTGGAGGGGGCGGATATCCAGCCAAAGTCGCTTCCTCTTCTTCCAACGCATCGTTTTGCCGTTCCGTCAAGTCCAGTTCACTCAGTTCGCCCTGTGCATCAACCATGATAACATCGTCATCGCCATCATCCGAGTCGGAGTGATCCTCATCGTCTTCAAAATCCTCCTCATCAAGGTCGTGTTCATCCATGTCGGCGTCGGGATCATCATCGTCGGCATCGTCATCGTCATCGGCATCGCCTTCATCGACAATCTCAAAAGTCAAGCCCGGAGCCCCAGCCGCAACTTGCAAGGCGCGAATGAACCGGGCGTTAACGGTGTGCAATCTGGCTCTTGTCTCAAGGCGTTGATCGTCTGCCTCCTCGTCGTCAATAAGGCCCGTAGTATGAGCCGCGGCGCTCCCTTGCCTCCACGGCTTCATGAGCTCTTGGCAGATGGTTCGTCGAAGGATGTGGTTGTCATGACCGACAGAGCAGCCAGAAATATCACTCAGCCACTCAATCAAAGTGCCGCACATCTGTTCTCGAAACGTGTCTCTTGCCGATCGAATGGTGACAGTGACCCTGATTGCCTCCAATATCTTTGACATTTGCAGCAATTTGTCAATGTCGTCCATGAAGATCAAGAGGCTTCGTCCAACTGCGTCGGTTTCCCATGCATCTTTGTTGGCTTGCCGCCGAGACTTTCTGCAAGCTCTGGCAACCTGATCTCGCACTTCATCCACAGTGTGCTTCTCATCGTTCCATAGCACTAATGCAAACTCTGAGCACGCCTCACTATCCGAGCCATAATAGTCTGACTTGAGGCGGGATACTTCTTCATCCTTCAAGATCGTTTCCTTTGTTTTTTCCAGGCGCAGCTGTTCGGGGGAGCAAGATATAACGTCGCACATGTAGTCGAACGCCCTGCTAATCGTCATCTGTATGCTGTTCACTAGCTCTTCGGGAAGCTCTTCGGGAAGTCGGGGCTTGGTCGCGTGCGAGTCGGAGGCCACTTCGGAGTGGATGGTGCAATACAGCGGCTTCTTCCAAGCTTCGTCATCTCCGCAGTCGCAGCAGCCGCTGTTTCCCACCGAAAGCTGGATTCTGACCATGTGCCCTGTATGATCGGTAGCATCGAAGCATCGGCTACAGAGACAGCACGTCTCGTCTGTCCCACAGGTCCTGCACATGTAGGATGCCTCGCCTGGCTTGAAGATGTGGCCACACCGCTTCCCTCGAGCTGCCTCTGTGTATTCGGCGCCCTCTACGGCTCCTTGGGCATCGCTCAGCTTCAGGCTGTCGGACGGCCTGCCCTCGGGGAAGAGAAGCCGCATGTATTCATGGTTGCCACCGGCTAAGGACCAAAAAAGGCTGGTTAGGAGCTCTCGGGAAGCTTCCTCCGTGTACCGATGGGCGAACCGCGCAGGCAGATCTGCCAGTAGCTGACAGAGCTGCTGCTCTTGAGTAGACAAAGAGTTCTCCATTCTCACGAGCTCATGATGCAGCGACGCTGTGCAACTGGCAGACGGCGCTGGGCGATGGCGGGAGGTGGGGAGTTTGGGTTGGTAACGTCAGCGCTGGTCCGGCGTATAAAGGAAGCTGTGAAGAAGGGTAAGTTTGATGGAGACAAGAGCTGGAAATAAATGGCCCGATCCGGTAGACGAGGGCTAAAAGAGAAGCGCGCAAGCTGTCTGTGGCGTCGGGAGCGCACGTATGCAGAGGAGTGGAAGGTATGATATCAAATGTTGATAATTCTTGGTTGCAGTAGGATCAAGGTCAGAGAACCTTACGTTGAAGATAAGGTAGTCTATCGCGGTAGCCCACACTGTATTGCTATTGGGGTACCTACGAGCAGTGGCGAGCAGGGGCTGGGCGGAGGTATCTACCTACCTGAGGTAATAGGTAGGTAGCTTGCTGCAGGTCACCCGTTTTGACGGTGCCGCAGGTCAGCTGTGATAGCGGCTGCTTTTCTCAGCCCGGCCTTAATTGCCTGCCTGCGCTGCCCCTCTCTAGTTCGACGACGTCAGTTGATGCTGAGGCATCGCCGGAATGACCCCACGGAAGTCGGATGCATAGGTACGTTCATCACGGTGGTTTCGTTTACGGTATGTGAGACCAAAGAGCGCCAGGAATAATCAGCAGAGAATCATCTCGTGGAGAGCATTCAAGAGTTTGTGCACCAGCCGCAGGGGGCCGGGTCTGAGCATCGTATGACCCCAGACATATCAGCAAACAATGACATGGGCCAGTAAAGGAGGATGCGAATTGTTCTATTTTTCGTTGCTTTTGTACATTTTCCTCAGACACTCCCACGCCGCGCCCATTCTAGCCATAGTAACCGGAAGCTTGATCTGCGATGCCATCCTTACTCCTCGTCCTCGCCGCCCTCAATGTACTTGTGTCGGATGTCCTTCCATTGGCGCTGGTTCCCTGGTTAGCCCCCCGTCCGACAGCTTTGGTTGTCAGGTCGACTCGGAACTTACGCCTCGGTTGTTGCTGTCCCAGATCTTGTTCATGGTGGAGTTGAAACCGCTGTTGACCGTTTGTTAGCTGTTTGCCTTGTTCGGGTGCTCGATCGATGGTAAAGGTTGTTCGTACATCTCCCAGGCAAAGCCCGCACCAAAGACGGCCGCAAGCATGGTCCAGTTCTTGCGGAAGACGGTGCTGCAGAGTAATGTGTTAGAGTGCCGGTTCGACGTTCGCCGGTTCGTTCGCTGTCGCTGCGACTTGCCTGTAGATTGACTGTGCGAGAGACTGCGCATGTGCGCGATTAGCCGATGACGCGGTCACGGAGCAGGCCGGGCCTTGTTGATGCTTACCATGTTGGCGATGACGAGCAATTGAAAGCTTCGGGTGCAGTCAAGCGTGCGTAGAGACCGAGGTACTGCCTTTGGCGGGTTTTTTCGAGGTTAGGAATGGCCTCAGAAGAAGTTCTGCTAGGGAAATGCGCGAAGTTGCAAGCAGGAAGTAAGCAACGCTGATTGGCCAGCAGCAGTCTGCAATGCCGCCCCACACTTTTCTCCCGGCGTCTCCCGCCTCTTAATTGCCGTTATCATTGCTCGTAGCCTTGGCCATGATGGAAGGAAGTCTTGTCCATCTTATAATGCTATCTAGGTAGATGAATCTGCTGGACTACTCTGCGAGAGAAGCTAGATTCTAGATTGTAAATTTAGTTTAATTGCCGCCTCATCAGGTCACGGCGAGGCTTGTGTTTTCTGGTGCGGCCACGAGCAATACTACCTAGGTATCGGCTGCGGACCGGACTGGGCTTCTCACCGGCCGTTTTCAGAAGATGCGCCATGATGCTTCTTCTCTCTCGTATGCACTTGTTGATCTATTTTGCCCTTGAACAAATCAGGAGGTATCTAGATTCTGCGATGCAATTGCTCCTTTACAACTACTTGTGTGTGCTTATATTGAAGATTTAGAGAGCTGGATTTTCACAGATGACAACTTTGATGTCGGATAATAACTGAGATGAGTCCTGTGGCTCATGATTTTGTTATTAAACAAGGTCATCTAACCTGTTTCTAAATGATTTCATTATGCCCTACCTTACCCAGGTATTGCCATTCAAGCAAGAGACGTAATGGAAGCTGCTCCTAACTTTGAGAGTCAGCCATCCAAGCTGCTTGTGTTTCGTGCGGTGGCTTGACGGAGGCGCCTATCTTACCTTACTTCAGTTGACGCCTCGCAAGGGGCATAGAGAGTCTATTCAATGTATCTCGCCTCACCGAGAGAACACAACTAAGGTACTACGTGAGTAGGTAGTAGGTAAGCATGCTTGTCGATGGGAAGCACGAGTCATCTGGCGCCTCATTCAGACATTGAAACAAGCTCAGCCACTGGGAGATCGATGCAGAAGGAATAGTGGGGTTGCAGCAGCAGCAGACCCTTGAGGGCTCTACTGTACATATTTCTGCCCGTTTGCCGGCTGCTGTCGTCAAGTCACATCCTCGGTTCCATCCGAGCCTCCAGCAATCAACACACCACAGGCACTGTGCTACCAATTGCCTGGCCAATCTGCGAGCTGTGCCCGAGAGCACCAAAACTGTTGCACCGGAAGCCTTGCTGCCGTAAGAAACCATCTTGTGCATCACCACCATCGTCGTCAAACGGGCTGTGATTGGGCGCTGCTGAGTCACCGGCAATCTACCTATCGACCTCCCTGCAGCCGCGACAATGGCGCCCTCCACGACGAGATCCGGCATTGCGACAGACGAGGCCAGCGGAGAGCGCCACATCCCTGAGTCGATCCGAGCCGACGGCAGCAAGCGCAAGGCCATCAAGATCCGTCCCGGCTACCAGCCCCCCGAGGATGTCGAAGTCTACAAGAACCGAACCGCCGAAGCCTTTCGAGAGCGCGGGAAGCGGATAGGAATACCTGGCGCTGCGGCCCAGGACGAGAAGCCGGATCAGGGCTCTGCCGCCAGCAATAAGAACGCAAAGCGACGAGAGGCTCGGAAGAAGGCCAAGGCCTCGGGTGGTGACGGCGAAGGCGAGGCCAAGGCTGATGCTGCTGCGGCGACCATGGCGAAGGACGAACAGCCCAAGGCGGAAGAGGTCGACCCTGAGGTTGAGCGCGAGAAGAAGGCCAGGAGCCTCAAGAAGAAGCTCAAGCAAGCCAAGGAACTCAAGATGAAGAAGGATGGCGGCGAGGGCCTACTACCCGAACAGATTGCAAAGGTCATCAAGATCAATGAGCTTATCCGCGAATTGGACGCCCTTGGATTCGATGCCGACGGCGAACCGAAAAGCGACGCGAAAGAAGCCGCGGCAGAGAGTGGTGAGACCACGAAATGAAGGGCAATATGGCACAAGGACCACCTGGACAAAGGACTCTGCTGTTCCTCATAGCCGAGACGACCCGTGCCGTCGATGATGGCACGTTATGCCACACCAATCACAGCTTTGCGCGGCCCTTGCGGAAGGTATCATGGTATCCTCACCAAAGTCAGAGTCCCGCTCGCTTGTTTGAAGGCACATGGTTGGAGATGTCTGGCAACGAGGGGCTCAAGGACTTCATCAGGCTCGAGAGTCTTGATAGCGGGGCACTGGAAGACCCCTGTACCTCTATCCCGAGAGTTATGACGCATGAAGCGTAGAGCAATTGAAGGCTCGAGAAATCGGCTACTTGTATGCACATGTAAAAAAGGAAAAATTGCGCGCCAACAGCCTATAAATTGGAGTCATGGGTATCGATCTTAGATTGCTATCTACCTATATAGACATCTTAATTACTTGGGCAGACGCACAAGCTCTATCACGTCCGACTTGGAAGGTACCTTCTTTGTGTCGTCTGTGCTCCATATCTACCTACCTAGGTACCTAGGTACCTTGCGGATGACGTCTTAGAGATTTGCAAAGCACAAATTACTTGCCCGCTCACCAGGTCGACGCCGAATTTGAGGAAGAAGAAACTCTAGGCCTCTTTGATCTGATAACACCTATCTATAAGATACATCGAATGGTCCATCATCTTCTTCATCGAGAAGAGTTGGCACAAGCCACCAAATTGGAGCTGTAAGTATAGCCGACCTTTTGCCGAGAGGCGGCAGCAGGGATCAGCTCAAGGCTCCAGCGAGTGAGGTAAGCCTCCACGATTGCAAACAAGCAGCCCGCCACGACCCGATCTAGCACAACTGAACTCCCGCCAAGCTCCCAGTGAACCGACAAGAACGAAGCCCGGAATCAGAGACAGCATAACCGAGATCACAAACCCGCCATCGTCGCAGCTCGCCCAACCATGTCTGCCGAAGAAGAGCGCCAGGCGGCCCTCAACGCCTACCGGGCGAAGCTCATCGAGTCCCGCGAATGGGAAGCAAAGCTCAAGAACCTGCGGCTAGAGATTAAGGACCTGCAGAAGGAGTACGACCGGACAGAGGAGAACATCAAGGCACTGCAGAGTGTAGGGCAGATCATTGGCGAAGTCCTCAAGCAGCTGGACGACGAGAGATGTAAGCGCAATCCGCTGCTACGGGTCCTGAGGGGATGAGGGCAAGCTGGGTTCATTCACACAGGATGGTGCTAACAGCTGGTTGCTTTCCAGTTATCGTCAAGGCGTCGTCGGGTCCTCGATATGTCGTCGGCTGCAGATCCAAGGTCGACAAGTCAAAGATGAAGCAGGGCACACGTGTCGCGCTCGATATGACGACACTGACCATTATGCGTATGCTCCCGCGAGAGGTCGACCCGTTAGTCTACAACATGTCACTGGAGGACCCTGGCCAGGTCAGCTTTGCGGGAATCGGTGGATTGAACGACCAGATTCGAGAGCTGCGAGAAGTTATCGAGCTCCCTCTGAAAAACCCAGAGCTCTTCCTCAGAGTCGGCATCAAGCCGCCCAAGGGTGTCCTGCTCTATGGCCCTCCCGGAACGGGCAAGACGCTTCTAGCCAGAGCCGTTGCAAGCAGTCTGGAGACAAATTTCCTGAAAGGTGCGTTGGTGTTTTGATACATGATTTCAAAAATCTTTGTGTGTGTGTGGATGAACCAGGCTGACAGCTTCCAGTCGTGTCATCTGCCATCGTCGACAAGTACATCGGAGAATCAGCAAGATTGATCCGCGAAATGTTCGGCTACGCCAAGGAACACGAGCCGTGCATCATCTTCATGGACGAAATTGATGCCATCGGCGGCCGACGATTCTCCGAAGGCACCAGTGCCGACCGTGAAATCCAGAGAACGCTGATGGAGCTCCTCAACCAGCTGGACGGTTTCGACTACCTGGGCAAGACAAAGATCATCATGGCTACGAACAGACCGGATACCCTGGACCCGGCGCTGCTGCGTGCCGGTCGTCTGGACCGGAAGATTGAGATTCCCCTGCCGAATGAGGTTGGACGTCTGGAGATTCTCAAGATCCATGCCTCTTCTGTCGTGATTGATGGAGATATTGATTTTGAGAGCGTGGTCAAGATGAGTGATGGACTGAACGGAGCCGACTTGCGAAACGTGGTCACTGAAGCGTGAGTTTTTGATTCCCACCACTCCTCAAAAGATGGCTCTACGAAGTGCTCTTTGCTAACGAGAGACTATATAACAGCGGCCTGTTTGCCATCAAAGACTACCGAGAGTCGGTCAACCAGGATGACTTCAACAGGGCGGTGCGCAAGGTGATGGAGGCGAAGAAGCTGGAAGGCAAGCTCGAGTACCAGAAGCTGTAAAGACCCCCCGCGGGTGTGAGGGAAGGGCTGTCGAGAAGGGTTTCTGGCGCCGGCGAACAACACAAAGCAAACCAATTATGGGCATATTCTCCTAGGGACTGTAACATTAACGAAGCAGGTTAGAAGCAAATGCTGAGTGAGCTCTGGCATAGAAATGACATGCATCAGCTGAGACGGGAGCTGGAGGGCTACGTGGAAGTACCTACACGCCCCAGCCCTACCTTAACAGAAAGGAATATGTCGATGATGGTGATTGATCAGATGTCGAAGGCATGGTATTGCTGGGTAATCCTGATATGAATAGCAAATAGTTACAGAGGGCTTCCAGGGGTGGTGCCATGCTGGTCCTCAGGGATCAAGAACAGCATTATGAGTGGGCTGCGTGTGTACATGTAGCTTGAGCACATGTCAGCTCTTCAAGTCATGCGGTATCATGAGCCTACCTACTAAGTTAGGGATGCAATGCCGCTTAGCATGGCACACATTAAAAGAGCGGCTGAAAAGCGCTCTCTCTCTCTCTCTCTCTCTCTCTCTCTCTCTCTCTCTCGGTCTGTTTACTGTTCACGACTTCTCACTGGCTGCCAAACCAACTACTAGGTAGGTACTAGTAGAAGGAGGAGGTAGGTAGGTAGGTAGGTAAGGCAGACTGGTCATGGTTGTGCTGATGTCAGATATCACAGGCCATTACCCAGATGATACCACTAGCAGCAAGGCGGCGGGTTATCAGGTACCTTAGGTAGGTAGCAGCTGGAGACGAAGGCTTTCCCATGGCGGAGAATAACAAGAGAAAGGACAAAAAGGCCACTCGAGATGACGTTTGGTAATTCTTTTCCCCTCTTTGCCTCATCGGCTTTGCCATCGTTATCATTGTGCATACCTCATCTGGCGCCTCGTTCATGTTCGAAAATGCTGCGTGATCAGCAGATCTTTCAGCCATAAACCCTACAGAGGGACAATAAGTAAGGTGGTTGATCCACGATGGCGGGTGGCTTTGCTGATATGCCGGAACCAAATAGGTACTTAGGCGCTTGCTAATAATAAAGTTTTTGGAAAAGCAGCAGTCTTGAGATTGGTTTCTCGGAAGGGCAGATTGGAAGAGCGGAAGCATGCAGAACATCTATGTACTGTACGCAATTGTCGACAACTCCATATCTCAGCAGCGCAGCCAGTTTACGATGCTATTCTTGGAAATCTTAGGCAAAAGGTGCTACTAGTAGAGGGCCAAGCTAAAAGAGGCCGTTCGTTGCTAGGGGTGCCTAGGGGCAAAATCAGTGAGGCTGTGAGCGCGATCTGGAAATATTTTTCTTGGCTGTCGCGACAAGGCAAAAGGGTCCAGATTGATTGATTGACTTTTGTTTTTTTTAGGGCCGTAGGGGAGGGCCTTGTTTCTTTTCTTGATCATGACAATCGGAAGGCGTGCGCCACGCATTAGTCGAGAGCCCTGGCTCGTTCTCCCGTCCTTTCTTGGTGCAATCGGCGCCCGGCGAGTCGGAGTGGTAGCGTTCGCATCACGGGCATACGAGGCTGCAATTTCACCAATGGACCGGGTGGGCTATTTTCAGCACTGCGACTCCGTATTTTGGGGAGCAATGGAACCTGGAAGCTGCCGGCATGCTTCTAGGCACGGTGCCGGCAGAGACGGACAGGGGTCTGCTTCTCTATCTGAAGAGGAGCGGAAAAGGGAGAGATGGAAGGATCTGTGTAAATGCGACACACCGCACACCACATCCCAATGCAGCCCTGAACAGGTCCGTATCAATGGCACTGCTGCTACCTTGACGGGGTGCTTCACCTTCACCGGGGGAGGGGGGGCAAATACGAACTGATGACGTCCTCTCGAGGTGCCACAGCCGCGACAGAATCCCTCCTTTTTGTGCTTGTTTCCAGATTTTCCCAGGTCCAAATCGTGAAACTTGTGCCGGCCGTTTCAATGGGTCTGTCTGTGCTTGGTGTACTGCTACTTGCGCACATGCTTTGATGGAACTCGAGTAGTACTACTAGGTAGGTACTAGGTAGGTAGTAGTCGTAGCAGAACTGCGCCAGCGGCTGACATACGTATTGCCTCGCCCACTCAGAAACGGCAAGGCTACGGAGTATTAGATACTGGCGAGCCGTTACGCAGAAAAGCTGGTGAACGAATCCCGGACGGAACATGGCACGGATCCTGTGTAAGACGTCTTGCACGAACTCGAGGGCCGCGATTGGCCAGGCTCAAACGGTCGGTCGGTGGGCATCGGTGGTGAGTCGCTGGTGGACGCCACACGAGGCTCCTTTTCCCCTTGATCTAACGCATTCCGAGGAGACATGGGATGGCCACAAATGCTAGCGTCCGGTTGGCGAGGGCTAGGCTCTGACTAACAATCCCGCGACTCACCCCCTCCGTGATAGAGCGACTCAGTGTACCCCGCGCCGCAGCCAAACTCACATACAAGGTCATGTACCGGTTTTCGCTGCAAAACACCAAGATTGCAGCATCATGGCTAATTTCCACCCATAATACAGTAACGCATGCCTATTTTTTAAAGAAAAAAAAAGCCAAAGTAATAAAGATACTATTACTTAATATCTCAAGCGCATTTTTTTTTCTTTTTTAAGTCTGTAAGCAGCTATTTAGCAGGGGTTTAAATGTCAAGTTGCCTTTGACGTGCAATCTGCGTCTGACTAGATGAGGACTAGCGGGGAACCTGACCTTGCATATAAATTTCTATAGGATTTGGCGTACACAGTCGCTCTATCACGGAGGGGGTGAGTCGCGGGATATTTAGTCCTAGGCTCTGGTCTTGCGTGCCAGCAGTGGAACGCTCAACTCAGCCGTGGCTGGCGGTTGCCCTGGCCAGGGAAGCTTCTTTTTGATGGCCTGCCACCAGCTGGTCGTTGTCGGAGCCGAGCCCCTCGTTGGGCGTTCGAGCCGTGGACTGGACAACACGGAGTGCCACTAAAGCTTTGATGAGAACATCAGTGGCAGCGGTTGGGAGGTCGCAGCTCGTCTGTCATACATGCTTTGCCCGCTGACGACGGAGCCCCACCAGTCTGAAGATGTCGAGAATACCTCGAGAGAGGGGCGCTTCTTCTTAGTGCGGGAGAGGTGCAGGGCTGGTGTCCAGTCCCTGTCTCGACATATGGACTCAAGGGACTCTAGTATGCTGCTCTGCTCACGACGAGAGGCATGGCTGCCCGATATCGACGGCAAGTGCTTCGTATGCACACCCGCAGGCGCTGTGGATGGCAACGAGATGCAACAAGTGTATGCCAACAAGTTTTTGGGCGTCGATCTGCCCGTCGTTTGTTTGTCGTCCGAGGGCGTTGCTCGTCTCTGGATCTGCACAGAGCAGACGCCTCAACCCCGCCTCGTTGAAGCCAATGCGGCCAGTAGCTGCCAGGCGATGGCGCACGCAGCCAGCCTCTCCGAGTAAAGCATGTGTCCAAGGCCTCGTCAAAAGCTGCCGACGATGAGCTGCCGAGGCCGTCCGCGTCTGTGGCACGCGCAGCTCCAAGTCACACGCCCCCTGGGCATCAATCAACTGCAGCCATGGGCGAACTGACGCCTTGGGCCGTGAGCCGCATTCGGCAATCGAGCTTACCGACGGGTGATAAGTGGTTGTCGAGGTTGCTTCACGCAGCCCCCGTGCTGATATCAGGCGTGAATGGCTTGGTTCTGTCGTGCTGATGGACAGAGTAGGTACCTTGGGGAGCACGTAACTCTCACCAATTGCAATTTGTTCAGGCTGTTTTGTTGGTGGTCAGAGGGCGGTGACGTTGTGGCCAAGACAAAACGCCGCCCCCCGTCCCTCGAACTTGCATCAGATGAGAACCCCAGATCGGCCAAAGCAAGGCAAGACAAGGCAAGACAAGATAAGCAAGGCAACGCAGCTGAGTGAATGCCCATCAATCAGTCAATCAATCAATCAACCAACTGGTCAATCACCACGCCAAGCAACAGCAACAGGCTGGAAGCTCGTAAAAAAACAACAACCTGGGCCTGCGACGCAGGTACGAGGTACCGGGTACCGCAGCGACGAAAAAGCCAGGCCTTAGCCAGCATCCGAGGGAGGGCAGGAGGGGCAGCAGCTCGACGACGCTCTCCGTCATCCTGCTCGGCGCATCAGGAGAAACCTCCGGAGTACACGGTCGGCGGCAGCAGCAGCACTGTGTCCGGCGTATTGTCCGCGTACCGGCTGCTTGCCCACCTCTGACCCTCTCCTCTTCCCCCCCCTCTCCACATTAAGCTGAGCCCCAAGCCTCGCTCCGCTACTTCTGGCCAGTGCTCCTTTTCCCACTCACCAGCCAAGGGAGTCACTGGTACATACGAGAGCGGGTGTTCCTGGGTCCTGCTCTGCTTAGCACTGCACTGCAGTCACTGCCCAGCCAGCACGGCTCGACGATGGCCAGTCAGATAAGGTCAAAGAGACCAAGTCATCGCAGTACTGGTACCGGCCGCAAGTACATATAGAGACGAGGGCGTCCCTCCTGCGCGTGCAGCCCAAAGCCAAAAACTCCCGTCATCTGTCCGCGCCTCCCCTCCTTTTCGCTCTTACACCAGACCAGACCAGACCAGACCAGACCTTCCCCTTACCTTATCTCGTCTGCTTTGCCTACCCTTATAAACTTGTGCTGCCGGCCTCTCTCCTCCTTCTTTCTACCTCTTCTCTTCATCTCACTCCGCGCTCGACTCTCGTTTATCCTCGTCGCCTTCATCACCGCCACTCGTTCTCCCTGATCTTTATTCCCATTCAAGCAACCAGCAGCAACCATGTGGTGAGTTCTCCCATCCCACACATTTCACCGCCCCGCTCCGCATCTGTCGTCTCTGCCGTGATGCTGCCAATGGCCTTGATGGTGATGATGACGGACGGCAATTGGCAATTGGACTACGACTGACATATTCTGCTTCTTCTCTGTTAGTGGTATTTTCGGATACGTCAACTACCTGGTCGAGAAGGACCGCAAGTTCATTCTCGAGACTCTGCTCAACGGTAAGGACGAAGTAGCCTCCACCTCGTTACCTGGGCTTCGTTGGGAGGCGATTGCCCTGCAAACGAGGCATCACGCATGGATGGAGAGCAGTTGATGGCTAACTTTTGCTCGTTTTGCAGGTCTCTCCCGTCTCGAGTACAGAGGATACGACTCCGCCGGTCTGGCCATCGATGGCGACAAGAAGAACGAGGTCCTGGCTTTCAAGGAGGTTGGCAAGGTGGCCAAGCTGCGGAAGCTCATCGAGGAGGCCCCATTGGACCTGACCAAGGTCTTTGACTCACATGCCGGCATTGCCCACACTCGATGGGCTACTCACGGCCCCCCCTCCACCGTCAACTGCCACCCTCACCGGTTTGTCTCTCCCCGAGCATCTGCGCATAGGAAATCGAGAACGGGCTAGCTGATAGAACGCGTTTCAACAAACAGATCTGACCCCAACTGGGAGTTCACCGTTGTCCACAACGGTATCATCACCAACTACAAGGAGCTCAAGACTCTCCTGACCAGCAAGGGCTTCAAGTTCGAGACGGAGACCGACACCGAGTGCATTGCCAAGCTCGCCAAGTACATCTACGACCAGCACCCCCAGATTGGCTTCACCGACCTCATCAAGGCCGTCATCCAGGAGCTTGAAGGTGCCTATGGTCTGTTGATCAAGTCTGTCCACTACCCCCATGAGGTGATTGCTGCCCGAAAGGGCTCTCCCCTCGTCATTGGCGTCAAGACTCAGCGCCGCATGAAGGTCGACTTCGTCGATGTCGAGTATGGCGAGGACAACCTTCCCCTCTCCGCAGAGGCTGCCTCTCAGACCGTTGCCCTCAAGAAGGACGGCGAGCTCCTCGCCCCCTCCAGCGCCCTGGGTGCCCCCGACAAGTCTCTCCTGCACCGCTCTCAGTCGCGTGCTTTCATGACCGACGATGGCATGCCCATGCCCACTGAGTTCTTCCTCTCTTCTGACCCTGCTGCCATCGTTGAGCACACCAAGAAGGTTCTGTACCTCGAGGATGACGACATTGCTCACATCCACGAGGGCTCCCTCAACATCCACCGCCTGAAGAAGGCTGATGGCAGCTCCAACGTCCGCGCCATCCACACTCTGGAGCTTGAGCTTCAGGAGATCATGAAGGGCAAGTTCGACCACTTCATGCAGAAGGAGATTTTCGAGCAGCCCGAGTCCGTTGTCAACACCATGCGTGGTCGCCTTGACATTGCCAACAAGACTGTCACTCTGGGCGGTCTCCGTTCCTACATTGCCACCATCCGCCGATGCCGCAGAATCATCTTCATTGCTTGCGGTACCAGCTACCACTCTTGCATGGCCGTCCGTGGTATCTTTGAGGAACTTGCCGAGATTCCCATCTCTGTCGAGCTGGCCTCTGACTTCCTTGACCGCAAGGCCCCCGTCTTCCGAGACGACACCTGCGTCTTCGTCTCCCAGTCTGGTGAGACTGCCGACTCTCTGATGGCCCTCCGCTACTGCCTGGAGCGTGGTGCCCTCACTGTCGGCATCGTCAACGTGGTTGGCTCCTCCATCTCTCTCCTCACCCACTGCGGTGTCCACGTCAACGCTGGCCCCGAGATTGGTGTCGCCTCCACCAAGGCCTACACCTCCCAGTTCATTGCCATGGTCATGTTCGCACTCTCCCTTAGCGAGGACCGACTGTCGAAGAAGGCCCGCCGAGAGGAGATCATGGAGGGCCTGGCCAACGTCTCCGCCCAGATCAAGCAGATCCTTGAGCTAGACCAACCCATCAAGGACCTCTGCCAGAAGGTCTTCAAGGATCAGAAGTCCCTGTTGCTGCTTGGCCGCGGCAGCCAGTTCTCCACTGCCCTTGAGGGTGCCTTGAAGATTAAGGAGATTTCCTACCTGCACTGCGAGGCCGTCATGTCTGGTGAGCTGAAGCACGGTGTCTTGGCCCTGGTCGACGAGAACCTCCCCATCATCATGATCCTCACGCGTGACGACATCTTCACCAAGTCTCTCAACGCCTACCAGCAGGGTAAGTCTTGAATCATATCCCCCCCCTTTCTGCATGCATGAAGCTAACGGTAGTGATAGTCATTGCTCGTGGCGGCAAGCCCATTGTCATCTGCAACCCTGGCGATGAGGAGTTCAAGGCTTCCGATGCTCTCAAGATTGAGATCCCCAAGACGGTCGACTGCCTGCAGGGCATCCTGAACGTTATTCCTCTGCAGCTGATTGCCTACTGGCTGGCCGTTCTCGAGGGCCTTAACGTGGACTTCCCTCGCAACCTGGCCAAGTCTGTCACTGTCGAGTAAAGAAAGAGACGCCGGTCGGCTCTAGGCTAAGGTGACGTCTAGGCAGAGCGTCCCTACTTATACTGCCACAGGAATAAAAAAAGATAATGAGGAGTTGGCTGTCAGGGAACATTTTAACGGCTCAGCAATGATTTTCTGTTTTAGGAGGATGCTCTCTTCGTTTTTTTTTGTATGTAATGAGGAACCCGACAGGGATTCCATTGTTCAGGGAGGCCGGGCTCGATTTTAGACGAGCGCAGGGCGGATTGTTACTGTTCTGCATGAACACGCGGGTGGCAGAGCGTCTTGGTGTATCTGTCTTTCTGATGGACGCCACATGTGTGCTGCTGTGCGTGTATGCGTATACGATGCGCCATCTTCTAGTTGAATATCTAGAGAAGAATTGACAAAGAGTAAAACAAAACAGTGCAGTTCTATTCCACCCACCTGTGAAGAAACTCAGAGCTTGTCTAGGTCAAGTGTTCCTAGAGGCAGAGACTTTTCGATATTTTATTGGCCTTGTGGTTGTAGAGCCAAAAGCAATCTTTATTTCTTTTGCACTATAAATAACGCGACACGCCACATCTGTATCTTTGGTGACTATTCCGTGACCCCTTAGACCGTCTGAGTGCCATAGCCCTTGATCCTGTCTGCGAACGCCCAGCTCTGATCCTCTAGCTTCTCATTCTCCTTCAGCTCGACGCCGTCCTTGGTAACCACGGCTAATGAGTAGGAGTCGAGACTTCGAGCGTCACGGTAGAAGAGCACCTTCATGGCCTCCTTGACGATGTTGACGGCCTCCTCGCGGGAGAGATTCTTGGCGGATTCCTCGTCGGGGACGTAGCGCCTCATGATGGGCTGGGCGAGCATGGCGCCGAAGCCGGTAGCGAGAGACGGGGCAGAGTAGGTGCTGCCGAGGAGGTCGGCGGCGGCGAGGAAGGGCTCGCCTGCGTCGTCGAGGCCGCCAACGAGCAGGTGGTTCCAGAGGGGGTCGAACTTTGAGCGGCGGCTGTAGAGGAGCTTGGCGAGGTAGCGGTGGAGGTTGGCGGCGCTGAGGCGGGGCTTGTCGGGGGACTCGTAGGCCTCGGAGAGGGAGAGGTCGATGAGGTGGCGGTCGAGGTACTGCATGTCGGAGATGTCGCCGCTGAAGCCGAGGATGGAGGTGCCTGCGAAGGGGCGGAGGCGCTTGACGTCGGTGAAGCGGGCGAGGGAGCCGTATGATGCTGATTTGGGGGAAGGGGGGGGGGGAATGGTTAGCGATGGGATGCCGACGCGGGATGGGGTTATTGAGGTCCGTTTGATTCTCGCTTTGCGGGGGGTGGTGTAGAAGGGGAGAGGAGAACTGACCAAGGTTATCGGCGGCCATGACGACGCCGTCCTTGAACTTGATGCCTACTACTGAGGTGCCGGTGACGATGGGCTGCTGGGTGTTTTGCTTGGGCCCATTGTCCTGCATGTAGGAGTGGTCGTAGGCGCCGTAGACGTCGTCTCTCGGCTAGGGAACAGAAGTCAGTGACTTGCACCACTTGAAGCTGGGAAATTGGAGGATTGCTGCGTACTCGGCCCCAAGCTTGCGGACGGTGATCCATTTTGGGCTATTTGAGGAGATGTGAGATTGTTGCTTTCGAAGAAGAGCGGCGACGTGGGGTAAGAATTGGAAGCTGGGCTGGTTGATTCTGCGGCAGCGCTCCAGAGATTGAAGTCACAGAGACTGTTCGCTTGTCTCCGAGTCTGCCCGGGTCTAGTAGATACGGGACTCGGAGTGATTGAAGGCGGAGGATGAGCAAGGCAAAAATAGCTGTATGGTATGAGTGAGAGAGACGGTGCTTGGCTGGAAAGCTGGTGATGCAGCCAGTCAGTCCGTGGTCGCGCGTCCCAGCGGTGCCTGCAAGCCAGAAAGGTACCGAGTTACCAGCCAGCAGCGAGGGGCGTTACATAAGCAGATGTCGCAGCTGGTGATTGGCCACAGCCAGAGAAGCTTGGACCAGCTCCAGGTCGTAGGTACAGCATACCTGCCAGACGGCGGGGACTGTAGCAGCAGGCCGAGTTTTCAATACCTCTGAGCTGTCCCCGATAAACGACGTCAAAGGCGAGAACTGGAGGGAAGCTGCAAGCAATAAGCTTTGAGTCGCACCTACCTGGCTGTTGACCTTGCAATTGATAGCGTCTCCTCCCCCTCTCAGAACCCTCGTCATTTCTCGACACACAATCATTCCACAACTCCACCAGCTTTTCAAGCAAGGGAAACTTGAAGGAGAAAAAAACACAAAAAAAAAGTAAACATAACAACAGCAATCAGAACGTCTGGGAGACTCTTTACGGCTACGAGTTCCGACACAGACTGAGCGTCTACATTTGCAGCTTCAGCAACGTCTCGCCGCTTCTCGCGACTGCGCAGTACACAACTCCACGTCCACAGCTCGATCCGTCAAGATGCTGTCGTCCGCAGGTCTCGCGGCCGCCCGTCGCGTGCTCGCCAGCCCCGGCGCAGCAGCTCCATGGCATCAATTCTCCGGCCAGGCCACGCGCGCCCTCGTCCTGCGCCTCGCCGCGCCCTCGGTGCGCACCATCAGCTTGTCGGCGTCTATGCGCTCGCCAGCGGCAAAGGCCACCGCTGCCAAGAAGACGACGACAAAGGCAAAGAGCGCCAGCACCACCAAGAAGTCGACGACGAAGAAGGCGGCCAAGCCCAAGGCCAAGAAGCCCGCCAAGAAGGCCGTCAAGAAGAAGGCCGCGACCAAGAAGCCCAAGGCGGCCAAGAAGAAGGTGTTGACGGATGAGCAGAAGGAGAGGCTGGAGATTCGGAAGCTGAAGCAGATGGCGCTGCTCAAGGGACCGACGTTCCTCCCCGAGACGGCGTGGAGCGTCTACATGGTGGACAACATGCGCGGCGGTACGGGCGGCGACGCTCTGGGGGACAAGGTCAAGGCGCTTTCTACGAGCTTCAAGAACTTGCCCGCGGCTGAGAAGGAGGTAGGTTTTTTTTTTCCCCTTCTTTTCTTCGTTTCTCCATGACTTGACTCTCATTCCATGACGCCGTCATACTGACTTGAACTTTCTCGCAGCGCTTGACGGCAATCGGCAACTCCAACAAGATTGCCAACCAGGAGGCCAAGAAGAAATGGATCGAATCTTTCCCCCCTGAGGCGATTTACACGGCCAACCTGGCCCGCCGTCGCCTCGCTCGCAAGACTGACAAGAGCAAGCTCTACTTGCTCCACGACGAGCGACTCCCCCACCGCGGCGGATCCGGCTTCACCCTTTACATCAAGGAGCAATTTAGCCAATCAGGCGCCGACTCGGCCAAGGACGCCATGCGCGCGATAAGCGAGCGCTGGAAGTCGTTGAGCGATGACGAAAAGGCTCCTTACGTGAAGGTAGCTACCGAGCAGAACAAGGTGAATGGGGACAAGGTCAAGGACCTGCGGAAGAAGGGCGAGTTGTACTGGAAGGAGAAGCTCGCCTCTCCGTCACCTGCGTAATAGGGCTTCTTCTTCTATTCAAGCAGCCTTTCCCCATAGTCGGCCTTGAGGTAGTGTGCTGCATGGTATATCCGTCCCCCTACCCCTGGAATTGGAAGAAGGAGTGCGCAGAGCGAGGGAAAAGGGAAGGATGAAGTACTCTCTAAAAATCCGTTGGTTTTCATTGGAATTGATTTTTCTTTGAGATTCATGGGAAGCTTTCTTTCCGCGGAGTGTAACAGTAATGTTTTGTATGCTTTACGATGTTCAGTCGTTGAATATTATTTCATGCCTCAGCTATTTCTCTTTTGCAGAGAATGATTACATTGTTCCGTAGAGCACCCCTGATTTCAAGAGAAAGGTCGAGAGTGAGAGATGCATAGCCCCCAAACCCGATCTCTTGGAAAGGGTCGACTGTTGATATAGCTCTCGCCCATTCCCCCCTCTCGAAGAATATGTATTTCACTGTGTACGAAGCAGCTACAGTTGCTACTTCTTCTCCACGGGCAGCACTTCCAAAGCAACCTCCCCATCGGCGCCAATCCATTTCCCCCCAGTACCCTTCATCTGCCGACCGCTGGCAAGATACAGCAGCAGATACGTATGCTTCGCGACGTGCGCCCAGCAGTAGAGTCGGATCCAGCTACGCGACTCGTCCCGGCGACACCACACGCCCCAGCCGGCCAGGCCGCTGCGGAGGTAGTTGCCCAGAAAGAGCCAGCCTTCGCGGAAGACGTCGTCGGACCAGCCGGTGCAGTCGATGAGCCAGTAGCCTCGCTCGAGGGGCTCCAGATCGCGTCGCGCTACAGGGCGATATCGAGAGGAGAGGTCTTGGGCTAGTTTGGCCAGTTTGTCGGGGACCAGGTCGGCAGGCTCGAGGTCCACGATGCCTGCGGGAGGTGAGGGAGGTCGAATCTCCAAGGCGTCGAGAGAATTCCTTGACACAGCTGGGTGAGAGCTTGTTGGTCGGGTGTTTAGGGCTGGCCCGGCGTCACTGGAGCTCCGCTGCAGATTCGTCGATGCGGCTTCCTCTATGAGACCCCTTTGGCGCTTCGACAGAGGTGGTGCGGACTCAGCTCTGGGTGAGGCTTCTTCGGAGACTGCGTCATCGTCTTGAGCACCGCTTGATATGTAGATGGTCTCGTCGATCACGGTAGGGGAGAATGCGTCTCGCTTTCTAGTCGATGCCTCTTTCGATACTCCGGGGGTGACGGGGATGATGTTTGCGATCTTCTCGTGTCCGAGGGAATGGCTTCCGTCTTCGCCAACGTCGGGGGGTATGGGAACAGACGACGGAATGTGAGTGTTCTCTCCATGCGCATGGTCTGGTGCGGCGGCTGCAGAACCGGATTTGTGATTCCAGGGAGGAGATGGGACTGGCTTCTTCATCCAATGCTCTAGGACCCTCGTTGGTGTGGCATGGCGTAGCTCGGCATCCGGCAAGGGGTAAGAATCGCTGATTTGGCTTGGAGGCGCTTGCCATGGGGACGCGAGCTGGGTTGACAAGGACTCGCCATCCTCTTCCTGGTTTGGCTGAGCCTTGTCTATCAGGTTGCGCCTCTCTTGCAGCGGTGGCGAGAAGCGGTTGTCGTAGACGCTCCGGAAGCTCAAGTCCTGAGACTCTGGAAGCCAGGGCTGTCTTGATGGCGCTGGGAACTCTTTGGGCGCCGAAGCGGCGGTGCTCTGTTGCTGCTCTTGCGTGGGAGCATCCCCCAGTTGGCCGGCAAGTTGCGTGTCTGAAGGATGCTGCTGCTGAGAGGCATCTGCGGTGATGAGGAGCCGATGCTGCGGCTGGAACGAAAGGTAGGATTGGGCCAGCTGTCTGTAGGCAGCGTCGTCTGCCGTCCTGCTCGGTGCTGTGACGTGCACTAGAATCTCGACCTCGGGGGGCTGAAGCTCCCGAGATGCCGCCATTTGGTGGTTATTATCCGTGACCGAGCTAATCGACAGGACATTGCAGAGATGACAAGAGCATGGCACTTGTCGGCCTCATCAGCTGTGAGGAGGATGGCGGAATCGATCAGGCGATGCAGACGAATCACGATGATGCATCATCTATACATGTTGAAGTGGAGGGCGGTGGTTGTGTGATGCCGAGTGCCTGTGTTTCAAGAACTCCGTCTAATTCGCAGTATTGGATGACAGCTGTCGATTACCAACTGTGAGTTGCGTAATTGAGCAACTTCTTGAGTTGAGAAAGATGAGACGTTGGTCTCTTGACGATGGTGAAAGGACGGGAGCGCATGAAGACGAATCGTGGACGAACCAGACCGGAATTGAGAAGCCGACGGCAATCCTAGCGCCTGTAGCCAGCCGTATCCCCCCCACTGAACTGATGCCACGTTCTCCAAAGACCGCTAAGCTTCAGGTGCACCCCCCCACTAACTGTCACTATAATTCCAGGCACGGGCATGGAGTTCAGTCCCTGAACCCACTACTGAATGCGACCCGACCCTTCATGTCGTTGTCGTGATACTAGTCCGACATCAACCTCATCCTCCACGAACAACCATCTCCCTCCCCCCCCCTTATACCCCCCCAAAACCCTCCCCTCGCAGCAATGGCCAGCGAAAAGAGAGGCGACCTCGGCAGCGTCCTGGTCATTGGCGGCAACGGATTCCTGGGCCACCACATTGTCAACCAGGCGCTGTCCTCGTGGAACTGCTCGGCCGTCGCCTCGGTCGACCTGCGCTGCACGCGCAACATCAACGACCGGGCCTCGTACCACGAGTGCGACATCACCGACGCCGCCAAGCTGACGGAGATACTCAGCAAGATCAAGCCCGACGTCGTCATCCACACCGCCTCGCCCGTGGCCAGCGGCGACAGCAAGACGGCCCACGACCTGTTCCGCAAGGTCAACGTCGGCGGCACCCAGGCCGTCATCGAGGCCTGCCAGAACTCGGGCGTCAAGGCCCTCGTCTACACCAGCTCGGCCAGCGTCATCAGCGACAACGAGAACGACTTGTACAATGCGGACGAGGACTGGCCCGTCATAAGGGGCGCCCAGCAGAAGGAGTACTACTCCGAGACAAAGGTAGCGATTCCCCTAACCCTCCGCCCATCATCACGGATCTGCTCGTTATAATTATATATACACCACAAAAGCCCGACACAAACCTACGCAAACAATCAAAACTAAGTTGATGAAATCCCAATCTGTAGGCCGCCGCCGAAGAGCTCGTCATCAAAGCCAACCGCCAAGAGCCCTCCAAGCTGCTCACCACCTCCCTCCGCCCCGCGGGCATCTTCGGCGAGGGCGACGTCCAGACGCTGGCCGGCTTCCTCCGCGCCTACGACAACAACAAGTCGCACGTCCAGCTCGGCGACAACACCAACATCTTCGACTTCACCTACGTCGGCAACGTCGCCCACGCGCACCTGCTCGCCGCCCGCCTGCTGCTCGCCACCGCCGCCTCGCCCATGATCCCCCTCAGCCACGAGCGCGTCGACGGCGAGATCTTCTTCGTCACCAACGACTCGCCCGTCTACTTTTGGGACTTTGCGCGCGCCGTGTGGAGGGCGGCCGGCAGCGACAAGGGCACCGAGGGCGTGTGGGAGATTTCGCGCGGCATGAGCATCGCGCTCGGGGCTGCGAGCGAGGCCTTCTTCGGCTTGATCGGCAAGCCGCCCACGTTTACGAGGCTGAGGGCCATGGTGTCGACCATGACGCGCTACTACAACATTAGCAAGGCGAAGAGGGTGCTGCGGTATGAGCCGCTGTGGACGCTGCAGGAGGGCATCGATCGGGGCGTGGGATGGTTCATGGAGGAGAGGAAGAAGGACGAGGCCAAGAAGGCGCAGTGAGAGGGCGTGTGAGGAGTGAGTGTTTGAAACGTGGTTGAGTATATAAAAGGAGGTGGGAAGGGGTTACCCAATTCTGGATGAGTGGCACGATTTGGATGCGCATGAAGCAAGGTTATTTAGCCGTGTGCGTTGACATATAAGCACATCAACATATATCTTATACATTAATACATATCCCCTTTGTTTTCAAGAATGACAGAGTGGATATGGAAGTTGAGCAAGCAGAACATGATATAATTTACCTACCTAACGGTCTCACAGACTGTCAAGGGCGAAGAAGCAGTGAAGCCAAGCAAGGGGTTTCTTTTTCACATATCCTCACAGTATCCCCAATCTCCCTCTGTCTTTCTGTCTTTATGAGAGATGAAAACCCAACCTCACCATCCCAACACCTCAGAATTTACAAGTGTTTCTCCCCTTGCGTCTCAAGAAAGTATACTCAAACAATCAACAGTGAAGAAAGTGGAAACCTAAACAAATGGCAAGAAGACGACTCTTATGACCGTAAGACTACATGTAGACGGATCCTGCTCATGTTCCATATTCCCCCCCTCCCCCCTCCTTCAAATGTAGCAACCAGTCCTCTTCAGTCCTTGAACAACCAGCAAAAGCAGTTTTGAAGAAAGAAAGATTTGGGGCTCTTTCTTATCTTTTTGCCTTCACGACATACCACCAGCAACATCACACACAGTCTCTCAAAAGGGCAAAGGAAGACAAGAGGAAGACTGAGAGGGGAAAAAAAAAGAAAAAAAAAAAAAGAAAGGCAAGTCAAGATCCCGGCGGAGAAATCGTCTTTTCCAGTTCTTCATCATTTCCCTACAGCTAAAAGAAAGACTACACCAGAGAAACAAACAAAAAAGGGGGTAAGCGAACTGCAACATGGCGACAAAAACTCGCTCGCTCGCGGGACTGCATTATGCCACTTTTGTTTTTCCTCTCTCTCTCTCTCGCTTTGCTACAGACAACCACCAACATCCAACTCGCTCGTACAGAAAAATGTAGACTTTTTGAAAAGTGCCAACCAGGACCGTCTCAAGAGGGGGAAGTAATATCGGATTCAAAGTTCAAGAAGCGGGGTTTAGGTTGAAAAGGGAAAAGATATGAGCATAAAGAAAAAAAAAAGGGGGGTTGAAGAAGAAAAGTATAGCGACAACGAACAATAGGAAGAAGAGCATCGCCAGACTTGTTGTGTCAAACGTCAAAACGTAGAGAGACTTTGGTCCTGACTGTTGCATGCAATGAAGACGGGACAAAAAGCGATCAATAAAACGCCTGAAGAAATGCTACAAGAAACGAACAAATGACAACCGTTTCCGGGCCGTGTTTCCTATAAAAGGGACAAGACTAAACACACATGAACACACACAGACATACCAAACATATCATGCCTGGCCCCTCCCCTGCCAAATCAGTAAACAAAGCACAAAATCGATGCTTGAGGGAAAATCAAAAGGGTTCGCCAACACCTACCCCGCCGCCTTGTTGGCGGCCCCAAACGCCGGAATTCCGCCACTCTCCACGTTGACTGTGCTCAGGGTTCTCCGCCCGGGGGTCCGGGTGATCATGTGGAGTGGCATCATATGGAGAGGGCTGGTCTTCGGGGGGCCTGAACCGCGGCGGCGGTACCGGTGTGCTGGCACCGCCCGGAGGGAGCGTATGGTTGTCCTGCATAGGCCGGACTGATCTCTCGCCCTGCCAGACGGAGGGATCCGTCTGGCCTGGCTTCGGTGGCGAGCGCGTCGACGTCTCCTGCCTGTTGTAAACCTCGCTGGGCTCAGAATGGGCCTGTCCCCTGATCTCCTGATATCGTTTCATAATCTCCTTGGTGGAGATCTCGCCATTGTTGCCAAAGAGGTGGGGGTCGTTGAGCAGTGTGAGGATCTCGTCCGGGACCTGAACAGCTCATTAGGTTTGCTTCATCGCAATGTTTCGTGTCGGGGTTTCACTTACCTGGCACATCTCTTCGATATTGTCAATGAGCATCTCCACTGCATCAATGACATAAATGGTCTCGCTATCCATGGAAAGAGTCCTCGCAGGGTTCATCAAAATGTTGGGGGCAATAACCGTCGCCAGATTACGAACATCCATCTTGGACCCAACCTCCTCATCCAGTTGGTGGAAGGTTCCCGCCCATTTGAGAAAGCTGAGGAGAACTTCCAGGCAATCCCGATGGCACTTGGGGAGAAGGCAGGTGGCCATGTGAAGACACTGCAGCTTTCGAACGGGGTCCTGTATTTTGGCGACAGTAATCCACAGCCGATAGAGCTTGTGAGTCATGAGGGGATCCGGAAGGTCCCGCAAGTACCTCTTCAGCACCGCTGCCAGCTGTATCACTGGCTGTTCCATGAAGTTGACGGCATCGCAGCCTTCCGCGTTGATCTTGTCCACCATTGCTTGCTGCTTCTTGATGTTGCCATTCTTTCGGAACACGCCTTCGACGGAGAGGTCCATCTTGCGCATGGACGAGATGATGTCGTCCACCACTGCGGGAATCCGCAGAGTGCCAGGTCCCACGCCATCCGTAGAGTCGGCGCCGTCTCGCTCGATGATGACCTCCAGGGGCACGCCAAAGACGCCCTTCTTCTTGACGCTCTTGTTCTTGTCGTTTTTGAATGCCTTGCCCAAATTCTTCCAGAACGTGGCGGGTTTCCTGGACTCGATAAAGCTCAACAACTCCTCTAATGTAAAGTCCTGTTCGACCACGGGGTGCATAATCAAGACGGCAAGGTGTCGGACGTTGAAATATTCGAGGCCCGACAGCTCGGTGAAGAATTTCCTGCCAACTCGGGGCGCCACGGTTTCGGTTGGCTGGAGATCCGGCCCAATCGACTGTGTCCTGGAGTGACCGAGGCCGAGACCTTGGTCTTGGCCGCCAGACCGCAGCACATCGCTGGGTGGTAACTTGTCTCGGCGCTGTTGCTGCTCACGAGACTGCTCAACAGCAACAATACGGGAGATGTCGTCCAAGGTGATGGCGTCGTTTTGTCCAAACATCTGGTCGGTGGAAGCCTGTGTTCTATCCTCTCCTCCGGAAGATGCAGGACGGGGACCTTGCCCATCAGCGTCCATGACGCGAGACGATCGGGCCTGCCTGACACTAGATGACAAGTGTCGGTCGAGACGCGTGCTGCGAAGTCTTCGAACCTCATTAAGGGTAGTCTCATAAGTTGACTCGCGGCGGCGGCTCTTGTCATTTGGACCGCCTGGTTGCCCTGGCCTGGCATCTGCGTTTTGGCGGAAGTTGCCATTCTTTCCGTCGGGGCCGATGTCGCCAGACGTCAGGGCGCCGTTGCTCCTCAGGATGTCCAGCAGTCGTGCCAGAGCTACTTTGAGGAGGAAAACGTATTGTTGAAGTTTGGAGATGTGAGTGAACGGCGCGAGGCCGTCGAGTCTGCCTCCGACACATGTGACGCAGTAAATCTTGCGCTCTAGCGCGTTGAAGTGCGCTTCGGACAGTTTGCGACCAAGCTCGCGTTGGCAACGAGAGCAGTTGACGCAGCTGAGATGCCATCTCGATTCTCCGGTTTTAGCGCATTCATCTTCGACGGATCTGCCACACTGCGCACAGTGATCGGAGTCTTTGGCCGAAAGCCGCTTGCCACCCATGGTGACTTGCAAGAGGCCTTCGTCACCCTTGTAGCTCTCAAAATCGTTCAGGTCGTCGAGGAATTGGTGAAGACCATCGCTGGAAGTCGCTTCTCGCTCAAGGCGCAATGCCCCTTGGAGGCAAATCCGGATCAGCAGCTTGAGGTAATGGGCCAAGCCAGTGACGAGGGACAAGAGTTCCTGCGTGACACCAAGCTGCCTCGTTCCATTGTCCTGAGTCTTTGAAAGCAAAGAGAAGAAGGCTACAATCTTCTTGCAGAGAAGCTTGGCCTCCCGGCCATAAGACATGCCTGTAAAGATGATCCAGTTAGCGCGCCAAGCTCTGTAAGTTCATCTCCCCCCTTGTGGCACTCGACGTCGGTCTTTCTTCACGCGCCCCTCCCCCCCCTCCTGAAGAGCTTACCTTTCTCACTTTTACTCGAAACAGAGGCATCTAATCTATCCGCAGATTGGAAGAGTATTTCAACGTGCCAGATGAAACGCTTCGCAACCAGCACACCGTCCACATACGAGGCATTGCTGACGTGAAGCAGCATGTCGGATATGCACGCGGCAGATGACTCTTCAAACGTTGACAGCACACTCCATATCCTGAAGACCTTGTCTTCCATGCGCTCCTCGTCCTCGCGGATACGATCCCTGTCGAGGTCGCTCACATCGCCCTCCTGAATCTGCGGCGCCTCGGCCGGTTGGGCCAGGCGCACGTTCCAGAACTTGTGTATCATGTAACACTCTGGATGCCAGTGCTGGTTCTGTCCGTTGCGGAAGATCTCGACAAACTGCTTGAGGATAGCCGTCTGGCAGCCATTGCACCGCTGGGCAAACTGGGTCGAGTAGTGGTAGTGACAGTAGACATGTCCATCGTGTTCGTAGTAGCTGTCCTGGGCGCCAAAGACGGTGGCACAGAGGGAGCAGGTGAAATGATCAACATGATACTTGTGGTCGAGGGCGGTTATGTATGACCCACGGAGCGCCCCACCACACTGGTGGCATAGGAGGCCAAGACGTCGAAAGTAATCCGTCTCGCAGAGAGGATATTGTCCATCTTCGTCTTCGGCGGGGAAGAACTTGGACGCCACGATCTCGCCGCAGTCCTGTCAAGCGAAGTTAGTACACATCCTCGCGGGCAGAGAGGTGGTAAAGTGGGGGTGGGAAGAAAGGAGATGGGATCAAAGAGCAAAGGACGGGGGCCAAGAACAGAGAGGTGGAGGAGAGGGGGGGAAAGGCATTACTCGGCACTTGAAGCAGTCCAGATGAAATGTTCCATCCAGAGCCCGCACAAACTGTCCCGTCAATTGCAGGCCGCACTTTTTGCAAACTCGCGCCTGGGCACTCGCGGATCGTCCTCCGTTTCGCGGTCGAGGCCGGCTCGCATCGCCGCCATTTGTGGGCTCGTCGGCGTATCCTGCTGGGGGCGGCGGTAAGGGGCCGCTGGGACCTGATGCCGGCGGGTTGGGCGCCTGTGCTGATCCGTTCTGCCAGCTGGCGTCTGCGTGGCCGGCGTGCTCGTTCGCGTGGTCGTTGGGGCCCTCGCCGCGGGCAGCGTCCACAGGCGGTCCGTTGCTGTGGTCGGTTGCCATGGCGGATGTAGCTGCGTGTTTCCTCCCGAACGCGTGCTCGTCGTGCAGCCCAGGGGACGGAGATGGCGATGCTGCCCCGTCTTCAACGCCAGGGTTCTAGCAGTCGTCGGCGAGGGGTGGCGGCAACGGCCGGCATGAGCTGGGACGGGCGCTCGTGGGTGAGATACGGTCCAATTGGGAGCGAGGCCACGGCCGCAGGCAGAGCGATGCGCGGGTAGCGTTCCTCAGGTAGTCTCTCAGGGTCCAGAGCAGAGCGCGACAGGCAGCATTCGCGTGGCTGCCCAGCTAACGACAGAGTTGGCCTCGCTTCGCACCGAGGGTCAGGTCGAGGGAAGGGCTCGCAGAGGATCGCGGAGTGTGCTGAGATGGGGAGAGGTCAGATCAGATCCGCGTAGCGTCAACATACGCTCTCGTCTGGAGGGGGGCGGGAGCGAAATAGCGGCGGATGAAACGACGGCGCCGGGTCAGGAAACGAGGGGATGCGAAGAGAAGGAGGAGTTGCAGAGCCGCAGAGAGAGCGTAGAAGCAGCCCGTGATGGCAGAAGCAGCAGCAGAGCAGTGCCGTCGAGACTCGGCCAGGCCCGTCGGTGGAGGAGAGCTGGGCGCACTTTGTTGGATGGATTGTTGGACTCACGGGACTCGCTGGCCTGGGGGGGGAGAGGGCGGTCGAGGGCGGCTGCTGACAGCGCGTGGAGTCGCTGTGGCCTCTGTGGCCTGTGGTCGCTGTGGTTGCTGCTGAGGGGCGGCTAGTTTAGAGGTAATTTCCAGGCCTCAAGTGCTGAGCTCCAGCTCTTTCTAAGGCTTGGGCCGCTACTGAGCTCCCCGTCCAGGTCGCTGATACTCCGTGCGGCGCGTCGCAGGCCGCGGGCGGGCATGTACTGTTTACTCTGCAGCTGCCGGGGCGCAGCCGTGCATCAAGCAGTGACGGAATAGGAGCTGTAGGGCTCTGGAGTGTTGGATTGAAGCATCATGACGCTTAAATACTACCTTAGGTACTTTACCTCCATGTAAGGCATGTACGGTACATGTACGATGATTTCTGCAGCAGGTCGCTGATGAGAGCCGCCTCGCCGATATCCTCAAACAAGGCGCACTTCGTCTCGGTCTGCTAGAGGCTGCGCCACATCTAGATTCCCAGCTCAAGGTGTGGAAACCCGCGGCAGGCACTGAAACTTTTCAGGCACTATCCCTGAGGGCGGGATGAGTAAGGCGGACTGAAGACTTCATGTTTCTTGACAACGATATGCGCTCCGAGTGAAGCTGATATAGGTACCTACTAGTAGGTAAGGTACGCAAGGCTGTGCTGCTCGTCTGGAAGAGATGATGAATACCATAGCAGCCAATACACAAGGTACTCGTAGCAGTGGATGTACGGCGTATCTAGAAGAATTCCACACAGCTGATTCATGCATAAACTGGGTGACTGAATGCTACAGAGAGGGGAGGGAGGGCAAACATGAATGCTCTTGATACGCCTCGTCCTCACATGTCATGGTATTACACGCGAAGAACGGAAGAAAGAGGCGGAATTCATTGCTTGGCCAGTTCAAGATTGCGCTCACTACCATATTGGTAGCTATCGCTGCGGGATGTTCTTTGGGTGGTCTTGCATGCGGCTCTCTTTTGAATACGTCCGTCTGTTTCCTGATCCCTGTCGCCATCTAACCTCTGAGCGAAACAGCACAGAGCAGACCCGACAGGAATTATTACCCCGACGTCACTCTACAACAAAGCCTGCAAACCATCAAAAAACAAAAGACAAAGACAAATCGAAATCCAACAGAAAAAGACAGCCACTATCTATAATAACCCAGCCCTCCACCCATCGTGACGGCTCAAAGCGACACCAAAACACCGCCGACACACACGAGGCTCCCCTAAAAAGGACGCCCGGTTTCAGAGCCGTTTGGAAATCAGGCCAAGCGCTCCAGTTGCTTGTTTAGATTTCGATATTCATTGCCAATACGGAGTTCGCCTTATTACAGCCGAGATCAACCCGGAGCAGCAACGAACACACACCTACAAACCGGCCCGTTCCATTAGATCCCCTTGCTGTCTGAGCATAATCTGCGTAAGCATAAACGGCTCCCATTTTTATTTCTTATTTTCCATTCAATTTTCTCCCCTTCTGTTCATGTAGTAATATCATGCTTCCTCTTTACTATTGGAAACATTTTGCAGACATGAGGGCCCGATAGGTATGTAGACGAGAAAGTCGATCACCACGCTTAGACGACAGGGGACCGCGATTCCTCACACTTATTACGAATTAGGGGCTCAAGTTCTTGGGCCTTGCGTTTTGTAAATGCGACAAAACTGCTTTCAGCGTCTGTCGCATTTTGCTTGACAAGAACATGGGTCTTCCCTCTCTCTCTCTCTCCCCCCCCCCCCCCCCCCCCCCTGTCCGTCTCTCGTCTCCCGGTCCAATGCTTCGTACTTCGTATCTTGCACATAAAGCACAGCTCCTGAAATATATTCAGATCTAGTACCATCGCATGTGCCTGGGCCACACAAACTTACACGTATCTCTAAACCCGCCTCGTCTCCCCCCTCTCTCCTCGTCTTTTCGTGCTTCCTGGCGGCGCGGCACCTGCACGGCACTGCAGTGCTTCAATGTGCAACCCTGCGCGCTTATTCGGCCGGCATCCCTAAAAAGGAGGCGAACCGTCTTTGCTATGACGTCTAGCCACATGCTTTGAATGCTTGTCCTGACTCTCTCTCTCTTTTTTTTTCTCCAATACTACGTCCTTTGCGACAAGACGCCAAGTGTCACCACCACCACCACCACCACCCATGAAGCAACATGAATCCTCATCACGAGATCCCGCAACTCTCACAACTTCAATCATTGCTCTTGGGATTCAGACATTCTTAAAATCTTGATTTCTTTCTCTTTTCTCGTATCCACCAGAACGAGGCGGTAGTACGATTACGAAGAACGAGTCCGCCCTTCGAGGCACGTAGCCTGCAGCTATTCTCGGCAGTTACATGTAAGGTATACCACTACCCACCCCGGGGCCTGCTGTCAGGGGCCGCTGCGTCACTCCGTCATGAACCCACCCCATGCTGCAGATTTTTGCGGATAACTACAGTGAACACCTCGTACTCAGCAAATACCTAGGTACTTTGCAGGTCGAGCGAGATTCGCAAATGAATGAGAAATATGGCATTCAAGCGGTAAGTAAGCAACGCTACAATCTTGGTACATATGTTCAAGGCTTCAAGAGGCAGTACTAGTACAGTGCCGCAGCAACAAAAAGACATTTCAACTGGTAAACCTCAAAGACCTCCCCCCCACAGTGCATGCATGCAATCGTATTCATCCAACCACACAAAGAAGATCCATCAATCAGGCATCGACACACCCAAAGTCCTACATGGCGGTATCGTCGACCTCCCCTCGGTTCTTGTCCTGCCAGGCACCGTTTGTGCTGCTCGGTGCGTCGTACTTCGTACCTGCGTCCAGGCGTCGAAAACAAAAGAAACTCCCGCCGTATTCGCTCTTTGTCCTTCCGGGCAACCCCTTCACCCCTTGCCAGCAAGCCCAATAGGTACGAGTAAGCCTCAGCTTTATTTTTAGACCATCTTCTTCAGCCTTTTCTCAATCTTCTCCCGCCCTTCCAGCGTCCGCCACACTTCGTGGGGTGCCCCGTCGACAATGTCCCAGCCCAGCAGCTTGTCAGTCAGCCCCGTCAGGTCCTTCTGCTTGCTCGCCCACTTGTCGTCGTGCTTGATCTTGTCGCCCGAGCTGATGACGGCCAGCGCCGTGTCCCTCTCCTGGATCTGGCGGCTGCTGTCGACGTCGCGCTTCGTGAAGGAGTTGAGCACCAAGCTCTCCTGCAGCTTGGCAAAGATGAACTTGCCAGACTGCGGCGAGGAGCGGCCGTAGATGCGGTCACGGCTGCTGCGTCCTCTGAAGAGCGCACCGGAAAGGCGATCCAGGCCAAGCGGCGAGATGGCGCCTCTCAACCACAGCCAGAAGCCTCTGCCTGGCGCCGCGCCGGGGCCCAGCAGATCTTCGTGCAGGGGATCGATCAGCAGCAAGCCCCGAACGTCGTGACTGTGGCGGGCTGAAAACACGCGCGAGTACAGTGAGCCGATGCCTGCGCCAGCGAGGACCCAGGGACCTCCCTCTCCTGCCTTGGCCAGGGCCTCGCTCAAGGCGTCCACGACAAAGCCCGCAGATGACGGCGACGGGGCGGTATCAGACCAAGCCAGGCCCGGCCGGTCTGCGAAGCAATAGCGAGAAATGGACCCGTTCTTGACCGCATTGTCTGCAAAGTCCCATAGGCTGTGCTCGACGGGCCACTCGCCCCCCTCGAACAGCACCGTCGTGACCGTCTTGCCGTTGTCGTCCGTCTTGTTGCCATGGCAGTACAAATGGATACGATATTTGTTGTCGTCAACCCAGTACAGCTTTCCAGGAGGCGCAATCCTCGCGTCGAGGGCCCGCAGGATGATGTTCAGCGTGATCAGGGCCACAGCCACCACCATGACCGAGTAGGCAATGGTCGAGAGCAGCACCTCGAGCCATTCCGCGAGTGATTTCCTCGTCTCGGCGCGGCCCGTCAACCGTTCCTCCTCCTCGGCCTTGCCCCATTGGACGGTTCTGTCCGTGATGATGGACCACACGCTCATGAGCAGCGCCCATACAACACTAACGACTCCAACCCATCCTTCCTCGTACCTCGTTTTCTGGACCGCAAGGAGGAGGATCACGTCGAGCGCAAGGAAGGCCTACAGTCCAGGTCGTCAGGTTAGTGTCTCCCATCAAGTGATGGAGCTCTCTGGAGCTGTAGGAATGGAACAGTACTTACGGAAATGACAATTGCCGGCACCCTGACCGCTTTGGACGGCACGCTGAAGAAGAGCAGGGCAAAGAACAAGTTGGCAAAGGTCAAACTCGTGTAGCCAAACGCAAGGAAGCCGCTCCCCTTTTGGTGAAACCCGGGCGGCGTCGCGAACACAGAGATGAGCAGGACCAGCCACCACAGAAACGTCAGCGCCGAGAAGAGGAACGTCAGGTAGCGGAGGACGCGGATGCTAAAGAGGTTGTACGGCGACACGGCAGGGTCGTCGGGAGAGAGGAACTCTCTGTTGGAGTTGACGCGGTTGGGCAGCAGGCGGGTGTACTCGTCTGGGGGAGGGCGCTCGCCCTCGCCGCTGTCGGCTCGGTAGTCGGGGCGGGATACCTGTTCGTCGTCGTCCATTCTAGTGGAGGAGGAAAACAGTGGCATCGTTGGTGTTGTTTGGAGAGGCTCTTGTGAGGGATGGTGGATGATGGAGGCTAGGTATCTGGAACCAGCAGCTACCCCATATATCCCAATCTCTCAGATTCGAACAGCTTCAATTCGAAAGGCCCGTCGCTTAAAGAAGGAAGGAGAAGAGAATACAAAGAAGAAAAAATCGCCATCCGCGCCATCCTTTTAGTGCACCGAATCGTCAAAGCAGTGTCATAGTTGGCATCCCATCATTCCCCAAAATCGCAACCAGAACCTCGGAATCACAGCCAAGCAGCAAAAAGTGCATACGTCATTCCGCCGACACCATGTGCTATGTACCGCTGTAACCCGGCCCTCCACCCAATCGCCTTTGTCCCTCGCCCATCATTTTAGCTTTGCTCCGGGCTGGTCGATTGGATCGTCCCAGTTTGCAGCTCTGTTGGAGGCGTTGCCTTTCTACGGGAAGCTCAGGTTTTTTTTCTTTTTTTCCCCAAGCTTGTCTTGTTCAGTGTGTTACTGTAACGTGCTAATTGAGGCGGCGGGAATTGGCGTGGCTGATGCGCATGTGATGCGTTGACTGGCTTCTGTTTTAGGGTTCGAATGGGTGGGGGGGAGCTGAATTGGAGATGGGCTTGGCAGCGCAAATGTATGACGCGTTGGCTCGAGATGCTGATCTGCGATTGGAAATGCACAAGACAGATGGATGGTGCTACTTTTTGTCAAGGATGAAGCCAATTCAAGTTTAAATTGCATGGTATCTGGAGAAAGCGTCTCGGCAGCAGGCAAGCTGCATCAGGATATCAATTCGAACTCATAGCTATCTACCTTAGATCTTCTTTAACCACCGTTTCCAGTATAGATAAAAGCAAGCAATGGGATACTGTTAACACCTTTCTGGGTGCAGGTTCCCAGCTGCTCATGCAAAGATGGGTCTCTCTCCAAAGCCCAGATCAGCCGTTGGATGTTCGAGCCCTTTCGATGCAATGTGGGAACGTGAATGCGAGATGGTTGAAGATAAACCGTAAACCGTACTGAGAGGCATCAGTTCCTTCTCGACGTAAATCATAGCCTCATAAAGCTCATACAAGATAAATACAGGTGCATTCAGAGAAGCTGCGGAAAGGAAGAATGGACGAAGAAGGAAAAAGTCTGAAACCCTTGGAGCCATCTGTCTAGGCTCCTCACTCGGCCCAGGGCGTGATGATGTTGCTGCTGCCCTTGCCACTGTTCACGCTCGGCGCGCTCTTCACGCTCGGCAGCGAAGAGAAGCTGCTCGACACCGACGACTGAGTACCGCGGCCATGTCTGCCAAAGGACGCCGCTCTATCCTTTGCCCGGCCCTTCTCCTTGAGAGCTTGCTCAGGAGTAGGGCCCGATGTGGACGTGACGGCATCCGTGGGCACCTTTCCCATGGGAGAGTGCATCTTGGCAGCAGCGAGCGGATCGTTCAAGTCGATGCCGTGCTTCTTGAAGACGTTCTTCTTCTGGTCCTTCATCGCCTGGACGGAGGGCTCGCTGGTCGCCAGCCAGTTTTTGACCTGCGACATCCATCGAGGTCGCTTCTTCTCGCTTTTGCTGGACAGCGCAAATTCGGAGCGAGGCTCCTCGCTGCTCAAAGAGGCCTCGTACTCGACGCGCGAGAGGTTTGACGTGGTCATGGAGCCCGAGCTGTTACCAGCCGATGCCGAGGTCGTCATCTTGGCCGCTGGCTTGGACTGAAAGAGGAAGATTGGGTCGTATCTGGAGCTGCGAGAGGTTGAGCCCGTAGCTGCCCAGTTCAAGGGGTTATCTAGAGGAGCGTCTGTAGAGAAAGACACCGGTCGGCCATCGACTTGGACCTCATGGGCGGCCAATGCCTTGTCTTGATGGCGGAGGGAACTGTACTGACACTGACCCAGAGACAGCCTTTGAGAGGACGGAAATCCCTTGAACTGCCGATCTGAGTTTGGCAGTGTCGCGCCGGTTGGCGATGGGCCTTGGCTGCCTGTGCTCGGCGACGAGTACGTGTACGCCTGGCCAGGGGTAGGATTGCTGGAGGAGCTCCGCGAGAGGAAGCGGTTCAGGAGCGGGCTTCTGTCCACATCAGACAATGCCGGATGCTATCCGCCGTATATCTGAGAGGCCGAGGGCGGGCTTTGAGTCGGGAGGGCGCTCTCGACGATGGCCGGGCGAAGGTAGTTGATAGGGGTTGGAGTTGCGTAGGGGGTCCGCGCCGTGTCCGGCGACAGCGAGGCGGATGGGAGGGGAGTCGTCTTTCTAGTGAGATAGAAGGGGTACGAGAAGTTGCGAACTCCAGTGGTTCGGGTCAGCGAAGTTGGCCGCAAGGCGAGCTGATTGTTTGAGCAAGGCGGAGAAGCGTCGACTGGCGATGGAGGTGCAGACATAGTCTTTCAGTAGCATTCGATGAGCTGGATGAAAGATGAGGGTATGCCTTGGAGTCGATAGAATACGTAGGTAGGAGGTGCTCCCAACGATCAAAACAGATGGCGGTTGGGTAGACTTCCAAAATGGTATGGAAGACGACAAGGTGTTGACCAAGGACAAGATGCTCAGAGTAAGGGGAAAGGGCAGAGGCGACGCGACGAGGAGACGATGTTGGCCAAGGAATCACTCGTGCGATGTCGGCGAAGAGGTGCAGGAAATGTAGGGAAAATGCGCCGCTGATGGCAGAACCTTGAATAGTTTCTTTGTCAAGTTGAAGAGTTGAACCAAGGAAGCCGTTGGGCGGACGAGTCAAAGACTAGAAAGAGCTGGGCAGGACGAGGAACCAAAGTTGTCGGGATGTGGGAGTGAAGAGGGCTGGCCCAGAGGGGTGGTAAAGATTCTGGGAATTACTAGTATAAACAAATCGTGGCTCCCAGCCCACGAGGTGGCGAGCGGCAGAGGCTGTGGGCACCTTTGTAGGCAGAGGGGTGTGATTTTCACCTCTCGCTCTTCTTTGGCATTTCTGCTATTGTCGACGGCAACAATCACCATATTATGGCTGTCAACTGTTCGTGTATTGTCAACAATGATGTATAAGCTTCGGACATGTTGGTCGCCATTGAGCGCCGAAGACAATGGAGAGCTCGCCGAAGAACTTCACTGAAGAAGACTCTTCATCTCTGCCTACCTACCTAGGTATTTATCGTCTCTTCGGCCTCACCTCACCTTGCATCGTCACTTGTTCTTCCCGCCCCGGCCGTCCGCACCCAGAAAGCGATCACTCACATGTCCTCGCACGAGCGGCTTCCACACCATGACCCTTCTAGATCGATATCCGGCACTAGAGGCGAAGCATTCTGGTTCAGCATCAGCAACGGCTTCTCGCATTGGTCACCGGCCTTGTGCGATAATGGACCTAGATCTCCCTCAGGGCGGCATGCTGCAGATGGCCGCCCAATAGTCCGACTCTCCCAACAGCACTTCTGTCATATTCTCAGGCCGTTCTCCCTTGCGCCGGACCTTCGCTTCACGTCTAGTCAACAGCAGATGCATGCGACTAGTGGTTTCACCCTTGGATATGTGCCCATGTGCTGCGCAACGTACGCAGCACAGGCTCTGGAAGGGGAAGCCCGGCAGCATCCGCGGCCAGAGCTGAGCATCATGTGGCGCCCACGTTGCCATGGATCCCCAGGGCAAAAGAAGGTCGATAAGAATATTGTTTCCGCAAGCCACAATGACCCCCTTTGGAGGGTCAAGATGTACTAGGTAGCGGCGGAATGGGGGAAGTAGACATGCTCAGCATGCCGATTGGAGCGACAAGGCGCATCTCCACATAGGGAAGAGCCAGAAGTTCCAAACGTCGTGCGTACCGCCAGCCACTTCGTCATGAGACCTAGCAGCCGGTCTGCGTTAGCATCAAGTAGCGACCTTTGGGAACAAAGCAGAGCATCGTAGAAGAAGGTAGGAGTGTATTCATTGTCATTCTCCTGCTGAGTTCATGTTTCTAGCTATCGTGTCCATTGAGAGGATCAACTTGCGCCGCATAAACGCGAACAAAAAGTGCTTGGGCACGCATCCCCTTGATTGATACCACGACTTCACTACCAAATGTTAGATAAACATGCAACAGCAGATAAGGACCGCGGTGTCTCGGTACTGAAATACCCAGTGTCGTCGAGTCAATTGGCCTGTTGTTGGCTCTGCCTGGGAACCCGTTGCCGCGGCAGGGTTGTTGTTTTGGAGAGCTTCTAGTACTACTAGGTACCTACTACTGCTAGTTCCCGAGGGTGGAGCGGCAAATCGAGATGCTGGTCGATCCCCGTTGATAACCACGTCTGCAAGCTTTGAGGCAGAGAAGAGTCTAGACTCGGGCAACTGGCAGATCCATATAAGAATGTATTAACATGCCTTGATTCTATTCAGAAAGATGTTCAAGCTGAGATGGAACCTGGCAGCATTGAACCCTGGAGTTGGTTGCACCGCCAAGGGCATTGTGCATGTGTGCAACCTCGGTCTGCTCACACTCACCGTAAAGCATTCAGCCGCACGCCAATTCTTGCCTTGCACTGCTACGTGTATCACACTAGTAGGGCCCTGCCACGAGATGCGAGTACCGTATCAGCAGCCCATTGCTGTGACGTTTCGCCTGTGCGTGTCATCTCGTCGCAGTAAGGCCAGCATCGCTGACGGCTTAGCTACAGCTACCCTGCAACGGCCTTGAATCTTCAAAGTTCACTGATAATGACTCCTTTCAAACGGCGTCCTGGGCTAGAATGGTAGCTTCTCTATAGCCCGTGACTTTCATGGTAAAATTCACAGGGTGAATATTGAGAAAAAAAAAATCGCAAATGCCGGGTAATTCGACATCTTTAGATAAAGGGAACTTCAAGACCGTGTTAGCCTTCGCTAACCTCACCAAGCCGCGGTTGACTTCTCTTGCGACAAGCGACAGCGTCGCATCACGAGCTTACTAAGGCAGCAGCTCAACGATGACATCGTCCCATCACCTCCAGACCCTCTACACCAAACCATCTCCTCTCGCCTCACCCCCTCCCTCAAACCTCACCGAAAGCCCGCCTCAACCCTCCAAAACCACACCCGAACCTCAACCCCTCAAAACAAACAAAACCAGACAAACCACCCTCTTCGCATCTGGGATCTGCCCTCTTTCTCCCCCCCCGCCGCTTGGCCTCGGCGCATCCCGCGCTGAACCATGGCCCCGGCACTCACAATCTCAACAACAATGGCCTCCTCCTCCCGACCATCCTCCCCCGTCCCGCCCCCGATGTCGCCCATCACACCGACTCTCCCGCCCGCGCACCTCGCCAGCGACACCAGCAGAGCCCCCGCCGCCATCCAGCCTCTCCCTCCTCCCGCGACCACTACCACCACCACCACCACCACCGCCGCTGCGGCGGCGCAACAGTCACAGCCCTCCTCCTCGTCTAGGCGGCCAACATATGCGCATTCGCAACAGCCAGACCAAGTCGGCGTACCGCCACCTCCCCCGCGCCCCATCGAGTTCGACACGAATCCCGACGTCATCGCCCTCCGCTCCGCAATCACCGTCCTCCAGATCCAAAAGAACCGCGCGACGGCAGACATCCAGACCCTCAGCCAGATCAAGAACGCCGCCATCGAGCACCCGGACGAATTCGTCCGCGACCTCGTCCAGGGCAAAGTCGGGCAGGGAGCGCAAGCGCAGGCGCAATCCTCCTCTGCCTCTGCCTCTGCCTCTGCCTCTGCCTCCTCCGCTGGCGCCAACAACAACAACAACAACAACAACAACAACAACAACAACGAGGCTCGGGATCGCGAGCCGCCGTGGATCGCGCATTCCATACCAAAGGCCCAGGACGTTGTCCGCTGTCCGCCCATCAACTGGTCGCAGTACGCAGTCGTCGGAGAGTCCCTCGATAAGCTCCACAACGAACAGGTGCGCCGGCCCACGCAGGGCACGCCGGCTACGCTTGGCGCTGGGGGCGTGTATCAGTTCAAGGGAGGTGATGGAAAGCAGGAGGAGTATCCTGGCGTGGCGGCGCCGTATGCGCCGTTGAAGGACAAGATTGAAAGGAAATCCAAGAGCAGGAAATGAGCGCCACCGATGAGGGTGGTGTGCTGTTGAGCACAGCTTTATTATTGATTCTTGTATCGCGGCATCATGTTTTATGGGACGGCATCTGGGACGGAAGTCATGGGAGATTGCATACAATACGGCGTTTGGGTACTACATGAACGTGTAGCCGCACCAGGAAGAAACGACTGGACCAGTCAACTTTAATCTCTGCTTAGGGATGCTTCCCCCCCTATTAGGAGCTATAATGAAAATAACGCATCAATATGAACCAAGACAATGGTATAGCAAATGTATCTCGTACTCTTGATCCTCGGGTGTTAGCCTGCAAAGGCGTCGCCACTCTCCTGTGCCCCAGCTGTCGTTGAGAGATGAGTCGTCCATGACGAGCAGCCATATCAATCTAATCTCTCTCCGCGCCATCAACAAGTCTTAGAATTCAAGGTCAAACGCCCCATGATCGCCAGGCGCACTGAAATGCCCGACTGTCCGTCCGAGAGAATAAAGAAAGAGAAGACAAAACGGACGAGGGAGGCAAAGAAAAATGATTGGGATCACTGGAACGCCGCCACCCTATTGTGTTATGCACCTGTAAAAGAAAATGAAGACCAAAGGCAGGAAACCATAATAAGAAAAAGGGGGGAAGAAGCTTGGCAAATGGCATCATGGCCGCGCCAATCAAGAGATACCTTGGTCAAGATCACTCGGGAAAGTCTCTGTAGCCGGGTCAGTCACTCTGCCGGATGGGAGAATAGAATATACTGAGAAAAGGTCAAAGGTAAAAGGAGGGTATCTTACTCCATGCTCTGCTGCACTGATCTACGCAGGCGGCGATTGTACTGTTTCTTGTCCTCGGGCTTGTTCCCCCAGAACATCTTGGTGGCTTCAGGGTTGACAATCTTTCTCGGGTCGTATGCAGGCTCCTCTTCTTCAAGCACACCAAAGATGGCATCGATGTGAGACTTGACGTCCTCTAGCTTCATAGGATTGGGGGTGTAGCATGCCGTTCCATCGGATGCGATATGGTGATGGAAGATCTTGGTCTCAAACTTAACGCGCGGTTGTTCGTCTGGGAAACGAGTGCTAAAGTGCATTCTGATGCGAAAGAGTCCGCCGTCGAGGTTCGTCATGGGCCTTCCAAAGTAAGTAATCAACCAGACGAAAGGATTTCCGTTCTCGAGAACCACGCTATGAGGCATATCGCCCTGTTTCAGGTAGGTCGACACTTGGTCAAATTGATGCTGCAAATTGACGGCAACTGTCGACTCTCCTGCCTTGGACGCGAGGCCTTCTTCAGCCCAGCGTGCTGTTTCTTGGTCAAGCGCTTCTTTGATGGCCTTGAGCCTACCCTCAAGCTCCGTATAGTTGAAGCGACCATCCATCGAGTTGGAGTTGGGGGTCTCAAAGGGCATCTTGACAAACGGCGACAGATCTGCCACCTCCGATTTGCCTCGCGCCACGCTAGCCATATATGAGTCGTAGTACCAAAGAAAACGACGTTTGCAGAGATCCTTGAATGGCTCAAAGGGTACATTGGCTTCGTCCAAGTCTTCCTTGTCCAAATCGCCGGATCTGAGGGGGGTGAAGAGCGTGTTGGCAGCATAGCTTTGCAATCCTAGGTAGCCTTCGAGACGCTGGATAACAGAGATTCTCAAGGTTTCGTGACGTATCTGCAGACAAATTAGTCACCCCTCGACGTCTGCGCGGTATGGGCGGAGAACGTAGCCAAACCTTTTGAATGTAGTGCTGCTGCAACTTCTTATCCGCCTCTCCATTTGCGTCTTCGAAACCAGGCTCGTTTTCATAAGGATTGGCTGACATCAGACTCTGTATTGATAACAGGATCGACTCCAAGCCTTGTGCTGATGACCACTCTTCACCGCGCTCACCTCTCCATGTGCTGTTGAAGAGTTAGATTCTTTCTGCTGCACTGCCTGTTCTGACCATTTTGAGGAACGTTACCCTAGGATTGATCTTTCGTTGGTTGTTAGCACGCGGTCATGGACGTGAGTAGTTCTGGCGTAAACTTACAGACAAACTTTGCCCGTCGAGTAAATGTTGGGGTTGAACCGGCAACGCCCTCCGTTGGTGGTGAGGCACTGGACACTGGGTGATTTTGAAGGGTAATCTTGGTACCTGATGTCAGTTATCTGCGTGTAGACAAATGGAGAAGGGCGAAAGACGTGGGGACTCACCTCTGTTGAACCTTATTGCAAACTTGATCATGACGTTAGCGAAAGATGCGAGTATGCATGCGATGCCATCGCATGTATGCCAGGCTACTAAACTGCCGTAAGCTTACCTCGAAGAAACCAAACTCATACGGCGTCTCGTGTGGGCCCATGATCAGGGCCCTGACATTGCGAACGTCGACATCACGGCAGGCAACTGCAATGGCTGTGGTGGTGAGCAGCTCTCGGTTAGCCCCCCCACTGATCAAATATCCATCAGAGCCATCTTGAGCATGGAGACGTCACGTACCCAGATCTGAGCCCTTCTGGATGTCGCTGAGTTCCTAATGAGGCACCGCTGATCAGCCATGTGACAGAAGCACGTCGACTGGAGAGTGAGCCAAACCTTGGAGATTCGAATGATGGACTGATCCATGATGCTGGCCTTGAAGTCGTCGGGCTTGAGGGCGAGAGGCTGTGACGGGGACGTATCAGACTGAGGTGGGCATCGGCAAGAGGCGACCAGGCGTGAGAATTGCAGCGCGAGACAGCCTCTGGCAGCCGGAAGACTCGTATGCAGAGGGCTGAGTTGTGCCAGGCTGGACGCAGTCGAGAGTAAAGGATTTATAACTTTTATGTCACTGCCCTGCCTGGTCTTGCGAGTGGTAGAAGATGGAAGGTTGTCAGGCAAGGAGGGGTTGGCCCAACAAGGTGAATGCGAGTTAGCGGGTACATGTATCTGCCTTGCCGATTGGCCTGAGGGTGCGAGAGACGAAGCACTGGAGCTTTGGCAGGCAGTCGGGCCGGAACGAGACGATGTGAGATGTGATGTATAAGATCGGAGGGAATTGACTCAGTTGGCCCGGGGACTGATGTGCTGGAAGGGAAGGAAAAATGAAGAGAAGGTTGATTCCATCAGGTATGGATGGTCCAGTGACAAAGTGAAGGTCCCAAGGCAAACTGGAGGGCTGCTGAATGCATCAAAAGAACCTTGGAAGAGCTCTCCGGCGGGGGTACTTGCATTTACAGGCGGGGACTCTCGCGGGTCCAGTACAGGTACCTCTAGCTCTGTTCAGCACAGCCGTTGCGGCTCAAGGCCAACTAGGTAGGTAGTAGAGGAGAGTTACAGCAGTTGCAGGGGACGGGAGTGACGCCACAGGCGGCTCGTAGCAACATCAAGCTTGAGGGCGATTGTTGATGCCGGCTACTTCCATGTATTTGCTCGGTTCGCGATGAGGGTCTATCATGTCCTCGAAACACGCAGTGCCTTTTGATCAGTATCGAGGTATCAAATCATGTCTAAAATTGCCGGGCTACGCAGAGCTACAATGGAATCGTGATCGAGCAACGAGAAATTCTTCACTCCTTTGCATGAAGCAACCGACGGAAACGCCACGTTCAGCATCATCCATCTTCACCTTGAGTTCTTGACCACATGCACCGTCCCCGGACCAAGTCTTCAGGTTCCTTATCTGCCTGCACCTTGACGGCATCCATACAATCTCCATGCCGACCTTTTGCTGCCTAGTACTTCTTGTATTACAATTACCAATGGCATGCATCCGACCAGCTCTTGTTCCTCTCTTGACCCTCCTTTGGTGAAACTATGGCGGCCAGAAATCTTTCTCGTCAGGTGAACGTATGGCCTCCAGGCTGGAACAGACGAGGTGAACCTAAGCTTCACACCTTAGGGATCTATGGAGGCTCAGCAGAGGGTGGGGTTATGCTAGTATGGGGCTGCAGCTCGGTGATTGATGCGCTGAGGCGCGGGGTTCTTCAGCCTTGCAGCGAATTTCGGGGCCACGCGCCTCGCGCCCGATCTGACCGACGCGTTAATGGATTTTGGCCGTTTTCTGTTCACGCTCGTCTTGGCACCAAGCAAGGAATCTCGGCATTGATTTCTACGAATGACTCCCCGCCGAGCTGTTGATACCATCCATTCTTTCTGATACCTATCATCAATAAGCATCGTCATCGTCAGTTGCACACCTCTTCATTGAGCAGTGGATTCAGCATGGCCAGCTTCTTCGACCTCAAGGCCAGAAAGGCCGCCGCTGCAAACGGAACTTCATCGCAGAAACACGACAAGCCGGCCGACGTGCGAGTACAGCCCTGGGTCGAGAAATAGTCAGTCAATTCGTCATCAAATATGAATCCAGGAGGCTTTTTCTTGCTGACACTGAGTGCTCAGCCGTCCCAAGAGCTTAGACGATGTCACAGCGCAAGATCACACGGTCACGGTTCTCCAGAGAACACTGCAAGCTTCAAATGTCGGTGGACCTGTTCGCAATCGAACCCGGCAAGCATGATCATACTAATGGCTTTCTTTCCTGCAGCTTCCGCACATGCTATTCTACGGCCCTCCCGGCACGGGCAAAACCTCGACCATCCTGGCCCTTGCCAAGGAGCTCTACGGCCCCGAGATGATCAAGTCCCGAGTTCTCGAACTCAACGCGTCCGACGAGCGTGGCATATCGATCGTTCGGCAAAAGGTCAAAGATTTCGCGCGGATGCAATTGACCAACCCGCCGCCTCATTACAAAGACAAATACCCCTGTCCACCGTTCAAGATCATCATCCTCGACGAGGCCGATTCCATGACACAGGATGCCCAGAGCGCCCTGAGACGGACAATGGAGACGTACAGCAAAATCACGCGCTTTTGTCTGATCTGCAACTACGTCACCAGAATCATCGACCCCCTGGCCAGTAGATGTAGCAAGTTCCGCTTCAAGAGTCTGGACCAGGGCAACGCAAAGAAGCGGCTCGAGTCAATAGCAGAGGCAGAAGGTGTGGCGCTCGAAGACGGTGCTGTGGATACACTCATCAAGTGCAGCGAGGGTGACTTGCGAAAGGCCATTACTTATCTTCAGAGTGCTGCCCGATTAGTCGGGGCTAAGCTGCCGGCAAAAGACAGCGATGGGGATGACTCGATGGACGTGGACAAAAGGCCGGTGACGATCAAGATTGTCGAGGACATTGCCGGTGTGATTCCTGATGCCACTATTGGCGATCTCGTCAAGGCTATGCGTCCTCGTACATCAGGCCAGACATATCAGTCCATATCCAAGGTGGTCGAGGACTTGGTAGCAGATGGCTGGAGTGCCGGCCAGGTCGTCAACCAGGCAAGTTTTCCCCTTACATGGCGTTCAAAGCTGATACTGACCTGTGAATTTACATAGCTTTACCAAGATCTTGTTTTCGACGAGACAATCCCCGACATTCAAAAGAACAAGATTGTCCTCGTCTTCTCCGAAATAGACAAACGACTTGTTGACGGAGCGGACGAGCATCTCTCAATTCTCGATTTGGCAATGCGGATAGCGGCCATCTTGTCTGAAAAATAGACCACAACTACTACAAAGGATCTAATGCGTATAGGGGATCAAAATTTGGGGGAGTAGGGACACCATGTGTTATTCTGACTAGACGGCGTTTGTATCATTTAACTACCAGAGATGTGCAACTACACTGGAATTTCCTCTTCGACATGCCAGAAGCCCTTCAGGGCCGTCTCAAGCCGCATCTTTCAGCACTCCCAAGTTTCCATGTAGCCTGGACCAGACATCGTACCCGTCATCTGAGACGCTATTCTTTGATGTATTCTTCCGGGACCCAAGTCTTGCTTGCCGAGTAGAGCCCGTGCCCGCATCCTCTCCTTCTTCAGGAAATCCCAAGAGAAGGTCAATCTCTCGGAGGTTCTCCAAGCAGTTCTCGAGAGCTACCTGTCCGATGTCAACAGTCTCTGCAGCATACTCAAGGAGTGCAATCTTGGCCGCATCAGCGGCAAACACCCATGGCTTGATGCGCTTGGATATGTCTGGCTGTTCAGACTTTGATGCTATCTCCGTCTGTATGCCAGACCTCCGGCGGAGAGAGTCCTTCATCGGGTAAGCCGGCAGCAAATGGCTCTCCTCGCCGAGGCGGCCGAGGACTTGGCAGGCATCCTGAGTCTGCTTGGACAATGCTGACGTAAAGAATGATTTCTGGCTGATGGCTGACTTTTGACTGACGGAAATGGAGGCAAGGGCCTTCAGATAGGGGGTAAGAAGATGTTCCGTAGGAATCGGAGGTTTGCTGCTGCTGCGATCCAATCCGGCAACGAGCTGTGCTGGCGGAAGTAGTGTTGGGTGGGAGGGTTGAGATAGCTGAGCTTGTTGTGTTTCCAGCTCCAGGAGGGTCTTCCTCAAGGACACGTATCTGGCGTATTTCTTGCTGATTGCCTCGAGATGGGCGGCGATTTTCGACGGATCGTCTCTCGACTTCTGACTGCCGCTTTTGCCCGCCCTCGAGCCTCCTCCAGTAGGCGCCTTGCCAAGTTCAGTCTCCATCCAAGTGATGAGCTCGTTGCGAGTCGTCGTCAAGGCTTCCAGGCGAGCACCGTTGCTGACCATGTCGAACTGGTTCTTGGACCGAGCTCTTGTCTCACGCAGGGTCTGCTCCTCTTGCTTCAGCAGCAGCTTTGCTCTCAAGACCGTCTTCTCCAGCTGTTGTATCCGATCACTGAGACCCGCGCCAGGAGGAGTCTGATCGGAAGCTAGGCTGTTGATGACATCGTCAGGGGCACTTGGCACGCCGGGGCTGCCCTGGAAGACGTGCCTGGCATCTAGAAACTCGCGCGTGGCAGCAGGCTTCTCCATTAGGAGGTCCAGAGACTGGCGAACCGCGAGAAGACTTTCCCTCTTCTGCCGCAGCTTCAACAGGCACAGTCGTTCTTCCAGGAGATCGGCGCTGCCTGCCTTTGCTTTTGGCGGCTCGGCATCCTCAGGGGCACTCTTCTGTAACAGGCCCTCGAACTGTCGGCGAGCTGCCGAATTCGCCTGAAGGGCTTCGACGTATTCCTTGAACACACCCTTCAAGTCCGAAGGCGTGGTGACTTCTTTTGAGCTGTCGACAAGAAACAGAGGGCTCTGGATGGCGCCATTGCCGGCACAGGTTCCCAGATGAAGAGCCAAGACGCGCCTGATGTAGTTGACCTGTTCGCGAGGCTTGATGTATGGCTCAAGCTGCTTCTGAAACCTCGTCAGGAGTTCCGGCTGCTGGTCAGACATGTTGGGCTCCTGAAGCTGTTCATCGTCCTCGTCTCCGACCTGCCAGCGTTGGGCTGCACATGTGTTGCCTTATATCGAACTGGCACATGCAAGCTCCAAGTTACAGCTACCCCCAGCAGCTGCATCCAGCCTATCACGACTCGCTGGGCTTCCAAGTACAAATACAGGGGGGGACCACTGAGTGAGCTGTCTGGCCGGCAGCCGAAAGGTCCCACAATGTGGCTGAGGCGCCACCTCACATGTGGCGCAGCGCACTACGAAGGCACTTTGCTAGCCTGGCGCGTCCAGGCAGATGCTGGCTCAAGGAAATTTATCGCGATCAACCTCCCAGCAGAAGCGGCCTCAACCAATTCAGCGACCTCGCAGTGTTGAGACACCTAAGGCAGCTGCCCTCCGCTTTCGACCTGGTTGCCTCGATCTGGGGGACAAGCACATGGTGAAGTAGACGCTGGGCTCACCGAGCGGTTGTCGAGGACATCGACGTTCTCTTTCCACTCCTCCACCTTTCTGTACATCCTAATCTTTCGACACAACCGCCACGATGTCCGACCCCCATCGCGATGTCTCCCAGTACAAGTACTCGGCCATGTCCAACCTGGTCCTCCAGGCGGACCGTCGGTTTGTCACACGTCGAACGGACGAGGCCACGGGCGACCCAGAGTCTCTTGCTGGGCGCCTGAGCATCAACGACATGGGCTCTCGAGTCGCTCGCGATGAAGCACCGAAGCCGAAGAAGCAATCGGGGATGCCCGACATCGAGCGCGGGAGCCTTCAAGAAGGCCAGGACGTCTTGCTGAGAGAGCAGCGAAAGCGAAGACCCGATGCGCCGCAAACTGGTGTCCTGGGCACGAATGACACCTTGATCGAAGGCATCACATATCGACCTCGAACTGCTGCGACACGGGCGACCTTTGACCTGATCCTGACACTTGTGGCGAACAGCCTTGGCGACGTCCCGTACGATGTCGTTCGCAGTGCTGCAGATGCCGTGCTGGAATATCTGAAGGACGATGACATGAAGGACTTGGATAAGAAGAAGGAAATTGATGAGATTCTCGGCACAACTCTGAGCCCCAAGCAGTTCAACGAACTGGTCAACTTGGGGAAGAAGATCACAGATTACGACGCCCAAGACGATGATGAGGATGTCAACATGGGAGATAACAACGATGATGACGCCGAAATCGACGAGCGGCAGGGTGTGGCTGTTGCCTTTGACGAGGACGACGAAGAGGACGACATCGTCAATGAAGTTCGGGATGAGTCTTCCGAGGACGAAGACGAAGCGGAGGAAGAAGAAGGGGCGGCCAAGGCAGATGATGATGCCATCGATGCCGAGGAGGAAATGATCCTCGATGCAGCACCTTCTGAAGACAAGCAGAAGAAGAGCGACAAGACCACAATACCTGCGCGAGATGTGGATGCTTTCTGGCTACAGCGACAGATTGGCATGTTATACCCGGATGCGCACGAGCAAGCAGACAAGACAAAGGAGGCGCTGCGCATATTGTCTGGAGAACCTGACGAGGTCGGCGGCGAAGAGAAGTCACTCCGTGAGATTGAAAACGATCTGATGGAGCTCTTCGACTTCGAGCATCACGAGCTCGTCCAGAAGCTGGTCGAGAACAGGGAAAAGGTGTTTTGGCTTACGAAGCTTGCCAGAGCACCAGACGCGGAGCAGCGTGCCAATGTCGAAAGGGAAATGGCCTCGGAGGGTCTGCAGTGGATTCTCAACGAACTGCGCGGCAAGACAGGGCCCGACGGGGACAAGGCAGGAAAGGGGACTATCAAAATGGATATCGATGTACCCGCCTCCTTTACCGCAGAAGGCCCCAAGGCGGAACGCCCTGAAGGCCAACTGGTGGGTGGTCTGCAGCCGAAGAAGCTCATCAACCTGGAGAACCTCGTCTTCGACCAAGGAAATCACTTGATGACCAACCCCAAGGTCAGATTGCCAGAGGGATCGACGAAGAGATCTTTCAAGGGCTACGAAGAGATCCACGTGCCCGCTCCGAAGAAACGCAGCGATCCAGACGATGTCCTCATCCCCATCACAGACATGCCGGAGTGGTCACGGCTGCCCTTTAGCACGGCCAAGTCCCTAAACAAGATACAGTCCAAATGCTTTCCAGCGGCTTTCGAGGACGATGGCAACATGCTTGTTTGTGCCCCCACTGGTAGTGGGAAAACAAACGTGGCGATGTTGACTATCCTAAGAGAAATTGGCAAGAACCGGAACCCTGAAACTGGTGACATCGATCTTGATGCTTTCAAGATAGTCTACATTGCCCCTCTCAAGGCCCTCGTTCAGGAGCAAGTTGGAAACTTTGGAAAACGCCTCGAGCCTTACGGAATCCGCGTGTCTGAGTTGACTGGTGATCGCCAACTCACTAAGCAACAGATTGCAGAAACCCAAATCATCGTGACTACGCCTGAAAAATGGGACGTCATCACGCGCAAGGCCAACGATCTGTCCTACACCAACCTGGTGCGCTTGATCATCATTGACGAAATCCATCTGCTCCACGACGACCGTGGTCCCGTTCTGGAGAGTATCGTCGCCAGAACCATTCGCAAAACCGAACAAACGGGAGAGCCAGTGCGAATCGTCGGTCTGTCTGCAACCCTTCCAAACTACCGAGATGTCGCCAGCTTCCTCCGCGTCGACACCAAGAAGGCCATGTTCCACTTTGACGGTTCCTTCAGACCGTGTCCCCTCCGACAAGAGTTCATCGGCGTCACAGAACGCAAGGCAATCAAGCAGCTCAAGACGATGAACGATGTCACGTACAACAAGGTCATTGAGCACGTCGGCACTCACCGGAATCAGATGATCATCTTTGTCCACTCTCGTAAAGAAACCGCAAAGACGGCTCGGTATATCCGAGACAAGGCTTTGGAACTGGACACAATCAACCAGATTCTGCGCCACGATGCTGGTAGCCGAGAGGTCTTGGCTGAAGCTGCAAGCCAGGCCACCGATGCGGATCTCAAGGACATCCTGCCCTATGGTTTCGGAATCCATCACGCCGGTATGAACCGAATCGACAGAACCGACGTTGAGGATTTGTTCGCCAGAGGCGCCATTCAGGTTCTCGTGTCCACTGCCACGCTTGCCTGGGGTGTCAACTTGCCTGCTCACACCGTCATCATCAAGGGTACACAGATCTACTCTCCCGAAAAGGGTAGCTGGGTTGAGCTGAGTCCTCAAGATGTTCTCCAGATGCTGGGCCGTGCAGGTCGACCACAATTCGACACTTATGGCGAGGGCATCATCATCACAACGCAGAGCGAGATACAGTACTACCTTTCGCTTCTGAACCAGCAACTTCCCATTGAGAGTCAGTTTGTGAGCAAATTGGTAGATAACCTCAATGCCGAAATTGTACTTGGCAACGTCAGGACTCGAGATGAAGGCGTCGAGTGGCTTGGATACACATATCTCTTTGTTCGAATGCTTCGGTCTCCTGGACTGTACCAAGTTGGTCCGGAATATGAGGACGACGAGGCGCTAGAACAGAAGCGTGTCGATCTGATACATTCTGCAGCAATGGTCTTGAGGAAGTCTAACCTTGTCAAATATGATGAGAAGACGGGCAGGATGCAGTCTACAGAATTGGGCCGCATTGCTTCGCACTACTACATTACCGCCAGCTCCATGGACACCTACAACAACCTCATCCAGCCATCCATTACCACCATTGAGCTCTTCCGCGTCTTCGCTCTCAGCGCAGAATTCAAATACATTCCTGTCCGTCAAGACGAGAAGCTGGAGCTTGCTAAGCTGATGGGCAGAGTGCCGATCCCCGTCAAGGAAAGCATCGAAGAACCACACGCAAAGATCAATGTTCTGCTTCAGGCCTATATCTCGCGCTTGAAGCTGGAGGGCCTGGCTCTCATGGCAGACATGGTCTATGTCACGCAGAGTGCCGGCCGAATCCTGCGCGCCATCTTTGAGATTACGCTCAAGAAGGGCTGGGCGTCCGTTGCGAAGACTGCCTTGGATTTGTGCAAGATGGCTGAGAAGCGGATGTGGCCCACCATGTCGCCGCTGCGCCAGTTCCCCTCCTGCCCGCGTGACATTGTTCAGAAAGCGGAAAGAATCGAGGTCTCATGGAGCAGCTACTTCGATCTTGATCCTCCCAGGATGGGCGAGCTGCTGGGCATGCCCAAGGCAGGCCGCACCGTCTGTGGACTGGTTGCCAAATTCCCCAGACTCGACGTTCAGGCGCAAGTCCAGCCCATGACCAGGTCCATGCTGCGAGTCGAGCTTAGCATCACGCCAAACTTCGAGTGGGATGATAGCATCCATGGCGCGGCCGAGAGCTTCTGGATCATTGTCGAGGACTGTGATGGCGAGGACATTCTGTATCATGACACGTTCCTCCTTCGCAAGGACTATGCGGAGGCCGAAGCAAACGAACACATTGTCGACTTTACCGTCCCGATCACTGATCCTATGCCACCCAACTACTTCGTCTCAGTCATCTCCGACAGGTGGATGCATTCGGAGACGAGGTTGGCCGTTCCCTTCCACAAGCTCATCTTGCCGGAAAAGTTCCCCCCTCACACTGAGCTGCTCGATCTTCAACCTCTCCTCGTGTCAGCGCTCAAAGTCCAGGACTACATTAACCTGTATCCGGAATGGAGGCAGTTCAACAAAGTTCAAACACAAACCTTCAACTCGCTGTACAAGACTGATCAGAATGTCTTTATCGGCGCTCCAACGGGAAGCGGCAAGACGGTATGTGCCGAGTTTGCTCTCTTGCGACACTGGTCGCAGGGCGAGGCTGGTCGAGCAGTCTACATCGCTCCTTTCCAGGAGCTTGTCGACGCTCGTCTCCAAGACTGGCAAAAGAGGCTGGGCCACTTGGGCGGTGGAAAACAGATTGTGAAGTTGACGGGCGAAACCGCCGCAGATCTCAAGATCCTGGAAGCCGGCGACTTGATCCTCGCTACACCGACGCAGTGGGATGTTTTGTCCAGGCAGTGGAAGCGACGAAAGAATGTCCAGACGGTACAGCTCTTCATCGCCGATGAGATCCATCTCCTGGGCGGTTCTATGGGCTACATCTACGAGATCATCGTCTCGCGTATGCACTACATCCGTACCCAGACCGAGCTGCCCATGAGAATTGTTGCTCTGAGTGTCTCTCTGGCCAATGCACGGGATATTGGCGAGTGGATTGACGCCAAGAAGCACGACATTTACAACTTCAGCCCTCACGTCAGACCCGTCCCCCTCGAGCTTCACATCCAATCCTACTCAATCCCCCATTTCCCATCCCTGATGCTGGCCATGGCAAAGCCCGCATATCTGGCCATCACCCAGATGTCGCCAGACAAGCCGGCGATGATCTTCGTGCCCAGTCGAAAACAGACGAGAAGCACTGCGCGCGACTTGCTGGTGGCCTGTGCTGCGGATGATGACGACGACCGCTTCCTGCACGCTGATGTTGAGCAAATGCGACCCCTCCTCGATCGCGTTCACGAAGAGGCCCTGGCTGAAGCCCTATCTCATGGTATCGGCTACTACCACGAAGCTCTAAGTCAGAGTGACAAGCGTATCGTCAAGCATCTTTACGATAACGGCGCCATTCAGGTTCTTATCGCGTCTCGAGACGTCTGCTGGGAACTGACAAACACTGCTCATCTCGTTATCGTCATGGGGACACAGTACTTTGAGGGCCGTGAACACAGATATGTGGACTACCCCCTGAGCGAAATCCTACAGATGTTTGGCAAGGCATTGCGACCATCAAAGGACGGCCGCGGCCGTGGAGTGCTCATGTTGCCCCAGGTAAAGCGTGAGTATTACAAGAAGTTCCTGAACGAGGCCCTACCCATCGAGTCGCACTTGCACAACTACCTCCACGATGCCTTCGTCACGGAGATTAGCACCAAGATGATCGAGTCCGGCGACGATGCCATCAACTGGACCACGTTCACATACTTCTATCGAAGACTGCTCGGTAACCCAAGCTACTACGGCTTGACCAGCACAACTCACGAAGGCCTTAGCAACTTCATGTCAGACCTGGTGGAAACGACGCTGCGTGAACTGGCCGAGTCCAAGATTATCGAATTCGATGAGGACGATGGATCTGTGGCGCCACAGAATGCAGCCATGATCGGAGCCTACTACAACATCTCCTACATCACGATGCAGACCTTCTTACTCTCACTCACGGCACGGACAAAGCTCAAGGGCATCTTGGAAATCGTCACATCAGCCACCGAGTTTGAGACGATCCAGGTCCGTCGACACGAGGACAGTCTTTTGCGACGCATCTACGATCGCGTGCCCGTCAAGATGGCACAGCCCAGCTACGACTCGCCTCACTTCAAGGCCTTTGTTCTGCTCCAGGCGCATTTCTCTCGGATGCAACTTCCCATCGATCTCGCCAAAGACCAAGAAGTCCTTCTCTGCAGAATTCTCAGTCTCCTCAGCGCCATGGTCGACATTCTTTCATCGGATGGCCATCTCAACGCCATGAATGCCATGGAAATGTCGCAGATGGTTGTCCAAGCCATGTGGGATCGCGACAGCCCTCTCAAGCAGATTCCGCACTTTTCGCCAGAGGTTGTCAAGGTTGCAAATGACTTTGGGTGAGTTGCCTTTCTCTTTTTACCACTTATACCAGTAGCCATGTACTAACTTCATGTTTAGAATCAAGGACATCTTCGACTTCATGGAAGCGATGAACCCCGATGAGAACCCGGACTACAACAAGCTGGTCAAGCAACTGGGTCTTTCGCAGAAGCAACTGGCACAGGCAGCAGAGTTTACAAACGACAAGTATCCCGACTTGGAGCTTGAGCACGAGGTTCTCGATGCAGACGAGATCAGGGCCGGCGAGCCGGCTCACCTGAACATCAAAATCACGCGTAACATTGAAGAGGACGACGAGCACGACCCTACGGTGCACGCGCCTTTCTACCCGGCGAAGAAGATTGAGAATTGGTGGTTAGTGGTGGGCGACGATAAGACCCGGAACCTTCTGGCAATCAAGAGGGTCACGATTGGCCGCGAATTAAGCGTCCGGCTTGAATACACTGTGCCATCTCCTGGTGAGCACAATCTCAAGCTGTTCCTAATGAGCGATAGTTACGTCGGCGTGGACCAGGAGCGGGAGTTTTCGGTGACGGCAGCAGAGAGCATGGACGTGGACGAGGACGACGAGGACGAAGACGAGGAGTAGATTGCCGGCGCGCGCTCTCCCACCGGTTTGATGACTCTGCAGACTGCAGAGAAGAGAAAAGTCGATTACCTATGTACAGTAAAGGCAAGCTACGGATACAAATCTTAATGTGTGATTCATTGTTGCTCAGCTGCCCGGACTCTTCTCGCGAGCCCCCGGCCCCGGTCTTGGCTCTGGGCGAGTCTAATGACGACGATCAGCTCCTTGCGTATTGTGTTCCGGACAAAGCAGGGGTTGTGGTGGCGCAACGGCTGTGGAACAGCGGTTTCGAGGCCCAAGGTGGTTGGTTGGTTGGGCTTGTCTAGGGCGAAGGCGCGAGAGAGACCTCTGCGGGCTACGGTTTGGGGGCCCAGCGAGGCATCACGGCGGTCAAATGGCGACGGTCGCACGGCCTCTGCCTCTGCGAGTGCCGTCGAGTCGACGACAGCCAGTGAGCGTGCAGAGCAGCTCCAGCTCCAGCTCCAGCTCCAGCTCCAGCTGCCAGCCGCCAGTTGGCCCGCCGGGGTTGCCGCCTCGGCAGTGTGAGGTGCTTATTCTGGAGTCGTCATTAATGCCACACCTGGAGACGGGTCACGTGACGCGACTCGGTGACGTTTGACGTGTTCCTGCGCTTCGTCTCGCTATTCGCTCCATGTTTTTCCTTCTCTCCCCCATCCATTTGATTCTTCGCACAACGCGGGCAAAACGCTGAACGAGAACCAAACCCGCGCCTTTCCATCGCCCCGAGCTTCACGCAACCCGCCCTGCGCCGCCATTGAACACGCAGCAACACGCCGCGAAACGCGTCCGCCGCACCTGTTTTGGAGCTTGGCCCCGGTCATCGCTCGTGCCCATCTTCGCGTTGAGAGCTCTCGAGTCATTGAGCTGAGCTGAGCATTGGAAGCTGCGCCGTCGCCACCCAGCGTCTGCCATGGCCGATAACTCGCCTGAGAAGCCCGACGCCGCCGCGCCCGTTGTCGGCAACGAGGACGTGCCTGATTCTGGAGCCAAGGTTGCTGGCGAGGGCGAATTGACTGCCAAGGCTGCGGTCAAGTCTGAGGGAGACGCAGTCATGGAAGAAGCAAAGGGCGCTGAAGGTAAGCTCCTGCAACGCGCTTCTAGCAGGCGTCTTCGCGCGCATTTTCTTCAAGTCTTCAGCTTGCGAGTTTCACTGCTTTGATCACAACAGCTTCTGGCTTTGTGGCGTTGCGGTCACGAGCTGCTGTTTGTTTGTTTTGGTTTTTTTTTTCTTTCCCCTTCCCTTTGCTGTTTGTTGACGTTACTCTGTGCACGCCAATGGACTTTGCGCTAATCGCAGCTGCCGCAGTAGAACCCAAGGCGCCTGAGAACGCCGAAACCGCTGATGAGGCGGCCGCTGCTAAGCCCGCCGAGGCTGAGAAGAAGACCGACGCTGATGGCGACGCCGAGATGAAGGACGCCGCCGACACCGCTGCTGAGCCTGAGGCCGATGCGACCGCTGCCGCTGCCACCGAGACCCCTGGTGCGAAGAGCAAGAGCCGACGAAAGTCGAGCGCTGGAGAGTCCAAGGGCAAGACGCTGAGCAAGAAGGGCTCCAAGGCGCGCCTAACCCACATTGATGCCCAGCCTGGCGACCACTTCCTCGTGAAGCTCAAGGGCTTCCCGGCCTGGCCCGCCATCATCTGCGACGAGGACATGCTCCCCCAAGCCCTCATCAACACCCGACCAGTCTCCGCCGCTCGCCCCGATGGAACATATTCCGAAGCCTACGCGGATGGCGGCAAGCGGGTCAACGATCGAAGCTTCCCCGTCATGTACCTCTCCACAAACGAATTGTGAGTATTCAACCCTACATGCAACCCGGCCAGGCGCCTGCTGTCGTGGCTGTAGCTGATTGGTTCTAGTGGATGGGTTACGAACACGGCCCTCTCCGAGTTGACTGCGGAGAAGGCTCGCGAGTCGATTGGAGACAAGATGCGCAAGGACTTGAAGCTCGCCTTTGAGCTTGCCGCTGAGCAGAACCCTCTTGAGCACTACAAGGAAATCTTGCAGAGCTTCCAGGAGGAGCTGATTGCGCAAGAAGAGGCTAAGAAAGAAGCCGCGGCTACGCCCAAGAAGTCCAAGAAGGGCAAGGCTAAGGCGAGCGACGATGAAGACGTGGACATGGACGATGTGGATGAGGCCCCGAAGCCCAAGACTAAGAAGCGAAAGGCTTCGGAGGAAGATGCTGCCGTAAGTTTTCCTTCCCCTTTCAAGGCCATGACGGGAGTGTCTACGTTTACTGACAAAGAAGCATGCGCAGGTTCCTCAGCGTTCTGACTCTGTCAAGAAGCCCAAGATCAAGCTCAACACGTCATCCTCATCCAAGGCGGCGAACGGCACGGCAGCGCCCAAGGCCAAGGAAGATAAGGCCGCAAAGGTTGCAAAGGCCAAGCCAAAGAAGGCTTCGGACAAGAAGGACGCGCCCAAGGAAGCCAAGCTGACGCCCGAGGAGCGACACGCTCGCAAGGAGGTGCGTCGAGCATGACCCTTGCCCTGAATCAAAGAATTGCGCTAACTAGTTGTACAGAAGGAGATTCTTTATCTGCGCCACAAGCTTCAGAGAGGCCTTCTGACCAGAGAACAGCAGCCGCGTGAAGAGGAGATGAAATCCATGTCCAGCTTCATTGACGTCCTGGAGAAGAACTACGACGATCTCGAGGTCTCCATCATCAAGAGCACCAAGATCAACAAGGTCTTCAAGGCTATCCTGAAGCTCGACTCGATTCCCAAGGAGGACGAATTCCACTTCAAAAAGAGGTCTCAGGCTCTCCTGGACAAGTGGAATAAGCTGCTCTCCACCGAGTCTGCCCCGGCGAATGGCGTCAACGGCGCCTCGGAAGCCAAAGAATCTAGCAAGCCGGCTGAAAACAGCGGTGAAAAAGAGAGCGGCGACAAGGATAAGGAGACCCAGGACGAAAAGGCCAAGGAGGCTGCCGAAGAGTCCGCTGCCGCAGCCACTGCCAAGGATGATGAAGCTGAGACGAAAGAAGATGTGAGTTTGGAAAAGGGCGAAAAGGCCGAGCCTGAAGCGGTGAGATGACACCACTCTCGGGTATTTCTGGGCTATATCCTAATGATTTGTGCAATAGGCTCCCGCATCCGCAGCCGTCGAGGCCACTGCTTAAGCACTCGGAACACGCGACATTCGATCACGGACAGTACGATCTCCACCCCAGAACGTGCTGTCTGGGGTTGCACTGCTTCTCCTTGGTTTTCTGGTTCACGCGCTTCCTTAAAGCTACCCCTGCGGCGCACAAGGTTTCTTGTTTTTTTTTCTATCTTTTTTTTTCTCACTATTGACGTACCTTTTCCTATACTATAAAAGGGGCCGTCCCCTACTGTGTTTTCGATTTGTGGTGTACAAGTAATCACCATTATGGACGAGCAAGACGGAAGGAAACAAAGAAGGCTCAGCTTGTGTCTTCTTTCTCGTGGAGGAGCCGTTTATTGACGTGGCATGTGAGAGGTCTCTGGTTGCTAGAGACTGACGAAAAGGGATATCGAACGGTTTAGCCCAGCATGTGCAGCGGACGGGATGGACGACGAGATGAGGAGTCAGTTGCAGTGCATGCATGCAAGGGGGCATACCTGGGAGACTATGCAAGACACGCTTGTTTATTCACGCAGCTCGGTCGGGAGGAGTGCGATTGCTGCTGGCGGGCCAAAAGGACTCTTGGTTTGGGAGGGGGGTGAGAGACAACCTAGGTAGGCGTGTTTTCGTGTTTGAGAATCAAGGCTCTCTTCTAGTATGATGAATTTAGCATGTACGATGATTGTATCAATTGAAGGCGAGCATTTGGAACAAGGATGGCGGTGTACCGAATTGGTTGGTTTGCTGTCGAGATGTAGGGTATGAAGCGCTTGATGATGAAGTGTTTTATGGAGTGCTGGATTAAGGTAGAGACTCAGTAGCATAAGATACAGTGTTCGTACTGTAAGGGGAGTACTGTACGGTGACCGTGTTTCTGCCAAACCGCGTTTTACATGAACACCATCTGAACGACATCCATCGAGAATCAACCATTTCCATCTCTAATCCAACACCAACCGAAATTGTTTGATGTGGTCGGTACAACAGGGCCCAAATGTCTACTGAAGAGCTACAGAGCGTGTTTGGCCAAGAAGACCATCAAGTGCGTTGCAATCTTGAAAACCCCCCCTTTTCACCGCGTCTGCCTCGTCGTTTGCTTGCTGGCTAGCTAACTGAACCCTTTGTTTATACGCATACAGGTGGCCTTCATCTTCAACCCCGAAGAAGACGAGCCACCGCGCCGCGAAAGGCCGCCAAAGAGGCGGAAAACAGCTCGCCGCTCTGCGGTAGCCGAAGACGACGAAGAGGATGAAGACGGCGGCTTGCGCTCGTCGTCGTGGTTTGCCCCGTTGCTGGGCGAAAGCATGGCTTGTGCGCGGCGGAGGGAGAGGCTGCTAGAGGAGAGTTGGGCCATGGTTGATGCGCGAATACAGGTGAGTCTTATGAAAACGTTTTGGGCGGCAATGAGTTTGTGAATGAAGCCTTGATGCTGATTGAGTGAGAAAATGTCCAGGAGATTTTGAGGGACTCCAATTCTGCGACGTTGGATGGGGTGTCGCGGTTTGTTCGGGATGCGAAGTCGGAGTGGTGAGAGCCGAGTTCCCTTCCCTTTGTCCTTTCTTCTTCAGAAGAGGGAGATAAACTCCATGAGATGAGATGAAATGTAATGAGATGAAAGACAGGGTGAGGCTAATCAATGGACTCCAGCGGCGACAAGATTCCATCTGCCTTCATCATCACGGGGCCCAACATTGCCTCCCAGGACCTGCTCTTTGAACAGCTGTCTGATTCCCTCCAGCGAGCGTCGACCAGCAAGTTCATCCGGCTGCGGTCTTCAGAAGCGACCAACCTGAAGAACGCCCTGAAGAAGATCATCCAAGACGCCACCTCCAGGTCGCTGGTGGTCGACGGCGAGGAAGACTTGCAGCTTGCGCAGGCATCGGGCCGACGCTACCTGCCGTACGATCTTGAGGCGCTGCGTGTCTTTCTGGAGCACCAGCCGCAAGAAAACATTTTTGTGGCGTTTCAGGACAGTGAAGGGTTTGATAGTGGGTTGCTGTCTGATATGATTACCCTGCTGAGGTACGTTTTTTTCCCCTTTGCCGCTGAAGCCTCTAATTGCTTCTTGTCGTGTTAACGGTGGTATCAGTTCATGGCGGCCACAGATACCTTTTACTCTGCTCTTCGGCATTGCTACATCTATCGACCTACTGGAGAGCCGTCTCCTCAAGTCAGCGTGCCGGTTGATTCACGGCGCGCAATTTGACTGTGTGCAGACGGAGACTATCTTGGAGAGCGTCTTCATGGGGGCAGTGGTAGCCAGCGATATTCCCCTGAGGCTAGGGCCGCACATCCTTCGGGGCATGCTTGACCGTCAACGAGACCAGATGGCAGGTATCCAGGCATTTATCAGCTCGTTGAAGGTATGTATAACGATGGTGATTGAAGCTCGGCTACGAAGCTGACGATTCTAGTACGTTTACATGTGCCACTTTTACGCCAACGCGCTCAGCGTCTTGATGGCTCCTGAAACGGCAGAGGAGGAAGGAATCCTTCAGGACGGGCACCTCGAAGCGCTGCGGCATCTCCCCTCGTTCCGACACGAGGTGGAGACGGCCGTTGAGCGTGCAACGGCCGATAGCCTCCGGCATGCGCGCTCGCTGCTGGAGGACGACGAGTATCTGCTCGCGCAAGCTCGGGCCAGTAACGAGCGTCGACAGGATTGGATGGACAACCACCTACGCTTACTCCTGGTCAGGGAGGCCGCCGGAGCGGTTCAGCCCCCATTCTCGCGGGCGTACGTCGACTCACTCTCTACGGCTTATCCCGAGTTTGGAAACGGCAGCTTGACGGAACACATCCGACGGATGGGCTCGGGTGCGCTCGCCAGCATGCTGCGTCGGGTCATCTCCATCTTCAGGGATGGAGAAACGAGCCTCCGCCTGAAGCCCGCGTCGAAGGAGCACGACACCGCATTGCTGAGCTTCCTAGAGGATACGCTCTCCCGCCTGGAGAAGCTGGAAGCGGACGCAGAGGGCGCGGGCATGACACTCCACACAAAGTACAGCAGTCAGAGCAAGGTGATGCGCACGACAGTCATTGCGCAGCGCGTCCAGCTGAGCCGCGACTCGGCGGCCCTCCGCGACGAGGACAAGCAGTTGACGAGCCTGGTAGACGCCGTGTCAGAGCGGCTGACGGCTCACTTCGGGTCGAGACGCCCCGAGTGGGAGCTCTTCTCGGAGGCGTGGCTGTACGACAGCAGGTCGCCCCTGCGGGACGTCATGGTGCCACGGCCGCGGGTGACGTTTAGGCGCAGCTTGGCGCGACCGTACGACTATCTCTCCTGCGGCTGCTGCAGGGGCAGCAACGGCGACGATGCTGGTGCTGGTGCTGGTGCTGGTGCTGGCGGTGTTGTGCAGGCGACGCTTCCGGCGGTTTCGATCCTGTACCACTTGTATCTCGAGGCGGGGAGCCTGATCAACGTGGCTGACTTGTGGTCAGCGTTTTATGCGCTAGTGCGCGAGGAGAAGGAGGGAGAGGATGGTGTTGAGGGCGAGCAAGAGGACGACGACGACGATGGCGAGCAGAGGGAGCTTCGGCGGCAAAAGGACGAGCGGAGGGCGCTGGTGCAGTTCTATCGCGGGCTGGCGGAGTTGAAGGCCATGGGGTTCGTCAAGAGCAGCAAGAAGAAGGCGGACCACATTGCAAAGGTGAGATGGCTGTGAAAAGGGGGGGATCGCATAGAGGGGAGGGGGGGGGGATGTACAAGTGAAGACGGGGAGCTGTTTTTCTGTTTGGGATGTTGGACGATGGAAGGATTCTGGGGGATGCGAAAGTACAAGGCATCAAGACATGGTGATGGATCGAGAGGAGGAGACGATGGGAACGTGTTTGACTACAGTAAGAAGGGGGGGGGGGGGGGGGGGGGCGGCAAAGGATGCGGAATCAACAAATGACACATCGATCAAGGCAATCTGACTGAATTTACATATATTATATTACACATGATGGGATGCCCAGTATCCATCCATCTACAATGGCTTCATGGCATCCCCCTCCTCCTTCTCCTCCTCCTCCTCGTCCTCATCTGTCTGGCCCCTCTTCTCCCCTCACACACAAGATCTTCCCTCATCCTTCAACAAGTACCCAGTGAAAGAGGAAAAGACCCCTCTCCCCCAAACGAGAAAGAAACCCGGCGCCTCACTATTAGAAAAAAAATAAGGCGAGCCTCTTGGATTGTCGCCACGTGCGGCTGAATTAGTCAAAGCAGTTGGAATGAATGAATGAATCAAGCAAAACCGGTACAGCTTTTCTCTTGATCAGCTGAGCAGCGCCAAGCACTCACCACTCTACAAACACACACACACACACACACACTCGCTCGCTGAATCCAGCCCTTCCCGTCGTCGCTTTTTGATCACGTTTAACCAAGGTACTACTACCTACTTAGTATGCCCTGAGGATTTGTCTTTTTTTCCCCCCATCTTGGGTGTGTGTGTGTGTGGACATGGCATGACATGTTTAAGAAAGTGTTTACGGGGATTTTGTGTCCGAAAGGGGAGATTTCAAGTACAGGTACATGTGTTACTTACACACTTACACTTACAGTTACAATTACAATTCACAATTACATTGCGACGGACACTTTTGTTCTAGACAGCGGAGAGTACTATAGGTAGTATTTGTAAAAGCAAATGCCAAAGGAAAGACAAAAGATTCTTATAAAGTTCAGATAAGGTAGGTAAGAAAAGTTGCCGAAATGATATTGGGGGGGCTGCCAAATCATTTTCCACTGACTCAAAAAACGGCCGCGTCAATCAAGCGAGACAAACAATTAAGAACAAAAAAATAATAATATCAGAATAAATAATGGGGAAATAAGGTGAGAAGAGAAAGAATAAACAAACGACAAGGGCATCGGACGTTTCATTGGGAAAATAAAAAATGTCTTGGGTTTGTGTTGCGTGTTTCTGGTCGAGTACATTGTACGTCACCTTTCAAGGTAGGCAAACCTGATGCTTGTTGGTAGTAGTAGTACTACTAGACGCCTTACAATAAGGTAGCGATAACAGCAGTCGGAGTGATACTACATAGTAGACAGATGGAAGAAACATGCCTGATGCAGGTGAAGCAGAAAACGGAAAGGTAAAAGTAAGGTAGTAGGTAGTCAGCAATGATGGGAAAATCGGTACATATCACGGCAAGTGACTCTTTGTGACAAGAAAGCAAGGTAAAACATGATGGAATAGTAAGCATAGAGTAGTATTCTCGCTGTTGGAGCAATGGACATGACATTTGATGAATGGCACTACGCCGGATTTGTCTCGTCACTTGCACCGACAGTATTACGCTGCCAAATTGAGGTTGTACTCGGTCAAATCTTCTCACCGACAATTGCCTAGAAGCTGGATTGACACGAGACAAAAGGCGGGCAAGGATTAGAGTCGTATGTGTCTGCGTTGAGTTGGTATTATGTAGTGCTACGCTCGTGTCTTGTCGTCGTTTGATAACCCCAAACGGCTCCAGCTGCAGAAGCATCTCATACGGTAACTACCTACCAGGTAGGATAGGGTACTATGGATGCGGTCTTGATAACCTCTCACCAATAATGCAGATCCAAAAGTTGGTAAAGAAATTGAACCGAAAAGAGGCCTTTTCAAAAATCAAGAAGAACTAAAAATCAAATAACAGATATTTCTAGGTACCGGGCAGAGACGGAATGCCTGACACAGAGTGTCACTCTCTAACATGAAGCGGCAGGTATGGTGGCTTGTTTCTATTTTTCGCTCATGGCGTAAAAAAACATGCCGCAGGGTCCAAGGGACAGAAAGAGGCTGAAAGCTGAAAAAAGAAAAGAAAAAAGGAGAAGGAAAAAAAAAAAAAAGAAGAGCAAACGGCATGACCATGCAAGGGCGGTCTGTCCGGGCACACGGGACCGAGTGCCGCTTGCCTGAGTGATTCACGTTGGTGATGCCGGAGCATCTGGGTTGAATCACGGTCCGGTGAACAGCAGCGGAAATTCCGTGTACTCACATCACATCTACTACATGTACTACTACTACTACTAATAAGTCAAGTTGGCCGAGGTTGCGGGCAACAGTTGGGCTGTCTCGGAGGGAAAAGAACAAGATGGACCCGGAATCCAGCAGCAGAAGATTTGGGTTTGTCAGTTTGTTTCTCAAATGACTCTTTCTGCTCATCCTCTTTCCTCGCCTTTCACCCAGGGGTCCCTTTCCCCAGCTGAAGACAAGGAAGCCCAGCTCGATGTAATTGGAGGGGGCCGGAAAACGAATCACATCACGATGCATCTCCAAGTTGCTCCTGTTCCCTCAGCTCGGGTCACAGCACCACCAACATGGGGGTGAGGGCCCTTCAGGGCACAAAGGAGCAACACAGGCGTTTTTTGCTCCTCCGTTGTCCAGAGTCGTATCGGGAGACGGCCAAGTCACCACCAGCAGGCGGGCAGTTGCAAGGCGAAATTGGGCTTGCTGGTTCCACCGCGCTGGGGGGGCGGATTTGAGACATGTAAGATTGAGAGATGGTGATGGGGTAACAGTGGCATTGGGCACGGAGAAATCTCACCTGCGCGGCGCCCTACGTGTATGTATGTATGTGCAACAGCCGGGTGCAGCGCAATGAGTCGTTTAGGCGAGGGGAGAGAGGTGACGCCTCTCATGCGACTCTCCGGCGGGATGTGCTGTGCTGTGTTGTGTTGTGTTGTGTTGTGTTGTGTTGTGTTGATGGCTGTCGTTGCCTTCACGGCTGCCACGTATGCTGTGTGTAGGAGAATAGGTGGCCTTTGTGAGAAATGAGTTGTATTCAGCCTGCAGATGAAACCGCACTCGGAGAGAGGTGCCAACTCATCGACCCAAGGCATGTCGCAGGACGAGGTGCGGCTCAGGAGGAGCATCGTGAATCGCCTCCAATGCAGGCGTCGACTGACTGACTCAAGTGAGCTTTGATGCTCACCAAGCCCAGAGTGCCACCACAATGACTCTCTCGACTCGCCCTGCAGCTGGCTCAACCCGGCCGTGGTCTATTTCTGTTTATTGTCTCTGCTAGTGCATGTCTCATGGTGACACACGCAGAAGCTTCGACTACTACGCAGGCCGGCTGAGCGGCTGTGCCGTAGACAGACGGTCCATCCAATGGTGACAGGCTGCCTCAAGGGACGTTTTTTCTCTTCACTTCAAGCGGCCGTTTAGCCAGTGGGCCGCGGTTTTTCTGGAAGCAACAGGCAAAGAAAGAGGCAGACAAGCGTGATCCATGCCATTTGAGGCTGGCAATAGGGATTGGCGGAAAGCCAATGGAACTTGCACATTCGGGGGTTGGACAAGCAAGAAACGCCGGCCGGAGAGTAACAAGTACTGCACATGCGCTGTCGATCACGCTCCCAGAACCGGCTGTTGACAACACCTTGTACATACATTAGACTCGGCTCTGTTGGTTTGAGAACAGCCGCTCGGGGCTCGGGTCGAGCTTGCAGCAGCAGCAGCAGCAGCAGCAGCAGCAACGGCGGACAAGCACCCAACTCGGCTGCACGGAGCAGTGGGATCCAAGCAAAGGATTGGACGCCATCCACGGCGACTTGCCTCTGCCCATCAGACACCTTCAAACCAATCCGCAGGGAGAGTGCAATAGTCGTATGCAGGCCATCTTATATGCAAGTATTCGGGTCAACAAGTGGCGAGTGGCTGGCGGCTGGTGTCCGGCGTGTCTGGCGGCCACATGGCTGGACGGTCTAGACGCCCATGTGCCACCCGATCCTTTGACGGCATGGGCAAATTGCAGATCGTGTGGTGTGCAAGGGCACAGGCAAACCATGTAGGGCACCAACTGTCTGCAAACGTGCTCTGGTTCGTAGCTTCGTACATAGTTTGAGCATCTGTGACCGAGTACTACTGAAATCCACGAATGAAGCCGGCGTGCCGGAAAGGAGGGGAGAAAGAAGAGCAACGCGCGAGGGATCAAAGGGCGAGCAGCATGCCGAAAATAGGACGCTCATGGGATTCGTAAAGGTGCCGTCTCCGCAGAGCATTCCAGCCCAGCGCACCGGCGCGACTTGGGGGACCTGGCGCTGTCTCTCCTTCATGTACGGCGTCTCCATACTGGCCGTCTCTGGTGGCCGGACTCAGCCCGGGTCTCCTTCTCTCGTCTTTTGCTTCCGCGTCCTTCAGGTGCTCTGTGCTGTCGCTGTGCTCATCACTCGAGACGAGACGTGGGGCGGCTTCTGATCCGGTCTTGGACGGTTGGAGCCTCTGCCCGGAACCAGCATCGCCCTTGGACCCTGTCAACTGTGTGTGTCGTACAAAGGTAAAGAGTACGACTGATACGCTGTGCAGCGTCCTCCAAAGCCTCGAGGCACGAGGGCACGAGGATCCGGTACCGAAGACTCCCGGCCCAACGTCGACGGAGACATTTTTGGCGGTCTCGGGCATCCCCAGGCTGTTGGGTTCCATGGCCGGCGTTGGCCAAGTGACGCTGTATGCGAAGCCAGTACGAGAATGAACTCGGCCATTGTTCGCTGGCAGCACGATGTCACCGCCGACGGAGCAAGCGAATCTCCCGCTGCTCATGCACACAGCCAAAGTCGGTCCTCGTACTCGTACGGTAGCATTCATCCATCATCCATCGTCACGCTTCTGTTTGTTCCTTTGGGGCTTGCGCCCAGGGTTCTCCTCTGGGAGGGTCAGCTCTGGCTAGCAATGTCTCACTCTGGGCGTCGTCGCTGCGTCCGTCGCAAAGCTCAACCCCCCCATGGAGGATGAACCCCCCCAGGCGAGGTAGCGTCCGACCGTCATTGTGGTAAAGGTTGGCTCGGAGTGGCAGCGCGCGTATGAGCAGTCGTATGTCATTCCTGGCTCTTCGTACACGTAAACTCGCAGGTACACGTAGTGATTTTTCAGGGCGTGTAGGTACCTACAAAGTGGCATTGGCCGGAGCACCCATCAGCTCTCGTCAGCTTGCCGCACACTCGCAGCCCAGATCGAGTGATGGCAGAGTCTGCATCTGGAGAGCACAAGGACAGGGGAATGCGGCACGAAGCCGCGGAAATTGGACGGGCAGCAAGTTTGCAACTTTGTCGCAGCGCTGAGGGTCGAGGTTCCAGCCCAGGTGTTCCAGGTGGCCGCTTTAGTGAGTTCAGGACTCCATGGTAGTGGTTGTCCCGCCTGTAACTCAGTGGCCACCCTACCAGACCAGCGGGCGGGGGCCCCTACAACCCCTAGAGCGTCCCCAGAGATGCAGCGCACGCGAGCGGCGGCTCCGTCGCCTACAGGCCAGGTACCGCTACCGCTGGCGACGACACCGGCGCGGCGCCTTGCCCAGAGCAGTAGCAGCTGCGTGGATGGTGGGGAGCGTCGCCTTGCAGTGATTTGCGTGAATCTCGCGGCCAGCAGAACGAGGCGCTCCCAATGGCATGGCGTGGCTGGCAGGCGGGCAGAGGCTGAGGGCCAGCTGCCAGGGTTGCCAGCATCCCGGCTCCAGACTCCGGCCTAGACGCCTGCGCTCCAGACTCCTGGGCTCGCTCATGGGACTACTGCCACCCCCCCCGAGGCGGTATAAGCCCCGGCCTGATGACGATGCAGAACCAGGAGCGCCGTGCAGGTTAAGGTAAGGTATACTTAGGTAGGTAAGGTAAGGCAGGGAATGGTACGGTATGGAGTACGAGTAGGAGGTGAGTCTAAGGCTGTACGAGTGAGCACATGTCGATTGCCTGCAGAGGAGGTATATGTATATAAGCCAGGCCTTGGATCTGTCTGCCTGGGCAGCCGAAGTGCCGTCTCATCGCTGTATGTATATAAGAAGGTGTATTCAAGAGCTGACCTCGGAATCCCTCACCTGTTTGCTCCTGTCACGCCCAAGTACTGCTACACCCTCATCACCAACTTCCAAGGAGTCTTGACTTGGAAAGACAAAGTATCCTTATTTGATTCCATCCATATTCCTTTGCCCGAATCAGTCAGCACCTGACCTCGGATTCTCCGCCCTACCAGTGACAGCACCAGCACCAGCACCAGCACCAGCACCAGCAGGAAGCAGCCTCGTCCTGTCGTCCAGCGCTCTTGCCGGTTGCCGCCGACAAGGAAAACGGAAAGACCAGCAGCCAACCAGTCCGTCATTTAAAAGGGAAGCTAGGACCTGCGGTGACGGGCAACTGCCATTGATTGTCTGTCTGACTGCTCGCGACTGCCTCGCATCCGGTGCACGGCGGCTGCGGTGTGAATACGGAAAGAACCAACAACCGCAAGTGGTGCTCCTTCCATCTATAAGCAGCCAGGGGCTATATCCGCAGCTTTGCTTTCAGACAAACCGCATTTCCTTTCTTTTTTCTTCTCTTCACTTCCTCTTTCGTTTGCATACAAAGGGGTGGGAAGCCCGAGCTGAACAAGCCTCGTTCGCCTTGTCTCCGGACTTTGTCTCTACCTAGTCTTTGAACGGACTCGTACTTTGTGGACGCCAAAACCGCCAGCGTCACCCGGGACAGACGCTCCGCATTCACACAGCGCCCTTCCGAGAACGGTCAGTCTGAGCGCAAAAGCAACAACGCAGCAACAAACGATTTTAAATCGCGATCTAAAGATCGATCGAGGGCTGAAGACTCTCGGACCTTATTTAAATCGAACCAATCTTCCCTGTCGTGCATCATTTCCGACAGACATCTACTGGGTTTGCATCGTCGAGCTGGGCACATCGACAGCGAAATCACCTCCACCACTACCACCACCACCACCATCGTCATCATCCTCCGCCAAGTATCGGAAAGTTGACATCCAAGGGACACAAGGACGGATAAGGGAAAAGAAGGGAATCCACCAAAGTCTATTCTTTTGCGACACACTTTACCTCATCATGATGCATCACCGCCGCCTGCCCTCTCACCACCACAGCCAAAGCGCCCTTCGGCGCCGTCTCGCCAAGAACCCCGAGCTCGCTCATAAACTACATCAGATGGCTCTGCCCCTCTCTCCTCTCGTCCAGCTCACAACTGGCGCCGTTCATCCTCACTTCCCGCGCACCGTGCTGCAGTTTTGGCTTCTCACAGATGCTCAACTCGAGTCTCTCGCCCACTTCTACCACCAGCGCACCCCCTCCCCCTGGTCTCGACAATACCCTTGCCCGGTCAACTGGCGATCTGACGCACCGCTGGAAGAGAAGCGTCGCAAGATGGGCAGATTCATTGGTCTGAGAGGCTGTGATAGCCCGGCTCTTATGCTCAAGACAGAGGAGCAAATTGCTAGAGATGCCAGCAGAAACGCGGCCGATGAGGATGCCTTGAGGCGGAAGATGAACCCCTTCTCTCAGCCATGACGGAAGATGCCCTCCTCCTCCTCCTTTTTCTTTACGACTCCACACATGTGGTTCCCTATTCACCCACCAACGGTCTAGAATCAGCATCCTGGTCCTGGAGTTTGAAGGTTTATGGCGTCTGTTTTTCTTTTTCTATGCTTTTTGTGTTTGCCATTGGATGAGGCGTTTCCCCCGGAACGGCTGTTACTTGCATTTTAGATTGGCAACTTGAGACCGTCACCGGCCACCCCATATGTTGCTTTCGTACATATCATGTATATATCCTGGTGTTGGACTACAGGTTGCGTTGGCTGGAATGTGCAATTACAGCATACACGGAGCATCGGAGGGAGAGGTGGATTCATCACTGGGAGCGACCTGTGTAGAACAACTTCAGCAATGATTTGGCATGATATAATCCCTTACTCTATTAAGACAATACAAGACAAATCAATCATCATCCTTCTTCTTTTCATCTGTGATGCCCAGTCAAACGCCTTGGAATTTTTCTAACCCATCAAGAGACCGCTGCACCTGTCGATGTGATGCAGATGCAGTTGCGGTGCGCGCGAATGCCCAGTCGTCATCCTGATCGTTCCTCTCTCCCTCCCTCATCATGTCTATATATGTACACTGGCACCATCTTGTGCCACAGCGATCTTCTGCCCTCAAGTCCCTCCCTTCTGCTGCCGTCTGGCCCCCTCTGCTGTTTTCTCATTTCTTGCTACCCTTCTTCGAAGGAGAGTCGACCACCACGGCATCATCCTCATGGCCGTCCTTTGTTGAGCCCTTTTCAGACTCGTCGAGCTCCTTCATGAACTCGGCCTGGATCTGACTCCGCTTCTTCAACCACCAAGCCTTCTCGGCCTCGGTTTGGGATTGTATCTCCTCAAGGCGCTGACGGAGCTTGGTGTTGGCGGCGATTTCGTGCGCAGACTGGAAGATGACGGGGCCCCAGTTTGGTGCCAGGGCGTTGGCCTGCAGTACCTGCATTAGCAATCTTGTTTGAAGGATCCTGAGAGGATAGAAAGTGTGCTTGATGACACTGTTAGGGCACAAAGACGTACCTCGGTAACGACGTCTCGTAGCTCCTCCTCCATCTCCTTCTCTGCGCGCAGAAACCGCTGCCACAGGTCGTCGCCGACGCTTCCCCTCTGGAGCAGCGCTCCGCAAGCCTGCTTCGCGGTCTTAATGTGGATCAGGCGCTCAATGTCCTCGACCGCGCGCCGGAGCAGGGCGGCTCGGAGGACACCGTCGGGGACCTTGGGGGCCTTTTCGGCGCCCTCTTCGGAATCGAGATGCAGCAGGGAGAGGTAGATGTCGCGCTGGAGGTGAGGGCCGAACCACGGCGCGAGGTTTGCGCTTTCAGCTGTATGGAAAAACAAGTTATTTGGGGTTAGCGTTTGCGGCGATGAAATGACGATGATGGCGTTTTGGAGGGGAGGGGGGAACAAGAGGAAGAATGGGTTGGGGTGTTTTGCTCTTTTCTTGCGTACCGGCTTTCCGTCTTCGATAGATTGTGGAAAAGGTCATGAGGGCGCCGCCGAGGACGATGAGGTAGGCGAATGGAAGGGCAAGGCCCTTCCAGTCAATGTCGAGCATTTTGACTGTGTGTTTGGTGGACTTTTGTGTCGCTGGATGGTCGTCTACCTATCGCGGGATGCGGTATCGAAAATGGAATTTTCGGGCGTTGGTGTTCCTCTCCGGTAAGATGCGTTGTATCTCCAGATACTAAGAAGTCGCACGCAAGAGGACAAAATGAGCGGACGAAGAAGAAGCGCAGAAAAGGTGCAGCGCTTGTGATATTTGCTAGTTGTATGTCGAGGGTTGCAGGCTGAAGCTCCCTGGCGATGGTAAAGAACAGAGTGCGCTGGCCCTCGACATAAGATTACTGGCGGCTTATCGACACGTCGCACACATGCCACCGGTTTCTTCTGGCCAGATTGGCGGCAGCGCTTGCAAGGCTGTCGCGGGGAGGTACTTTGGGGTACGTACCGGCTACCTAGGTACCTACCGATTGGCAACTGCCGCTTCCAGCAGAACTCGGAGCTGCGGGTCCACAATTCCAGCGACATGGAAGCAGCTTGGACCAGAGTACCTAGGTTCGTGCCTTGCCTTAGTAATCAAGCGGACCGTCAGATCTTCCCCCTCCATTCACAGACGACAGCGTGCTTACCTCATCTAGGTGGCGCCCGCTTCAGGCACACTGTGAATGACGCTCTTGCTTGCTTGACGTACATAACTCTGTACTGCCACCAGACCCGTTCCCGAGCTGGAGCTCTCATGATTCAATAAGCTCCAACCGCCTCTTCTTTGCCATTCTTCTCTTGCCATCTCCTCCGCCGTGCAGCTTTGATGTGGCTGTAGCGCGGCTTCTTTGCCGATTCACAACCCTCTTGCGCCTTGTCTTCCTTCTTCTTCCTTCTATTTCCTTTTTGGCTCCATCTATAATATCTCGAGTCACGTTTCTGCTTTAACACATCACGGCTCGTGCCGAATTGCCTACATAAAGCTGACGTAGGCCCGGAATCTTCCCACTACCCAACGAACACCTCGCAACGTCTCGTTCGCAGTCAAACCTCGCCCATCATGTTGATCAGACTGCGCGGGCCGGACGGCATGATCCGCCTGACGGTCGAGCCAATCACTACCTTTGGCGACTTGGGTCAACAGGTGAGGAGGACCGCATTCCTGGCCGTTGATGTGACCTCACGGTGGGAAGAAAGGCATCCTGACCGAATCTTGCTATAGCTGCTCACTCATCTACCATCGACCGTCGATCCCACGACCATCGTCCTGTCCAACTCACCAACAGGCCGCGACGCCAAGAGACTAGGTGATATTGTTCAGTTCCAGATCGGGCAGATCGGCCTCAAGTACGCCGCTGGACATGACCCTTCTCGTTCAACGTGGAGGCCCGGGACATGCTGCTAATATATCGACCTACAGACATGGCGACTTGATATTCCTCACCTACCAACACCAGTCCGATGGTGATGCTACGAACGGCGATGTTCCCGCGCCGGTCATCTCTGCCAGGCTGAACGGCAAGCCGGTGCTGCCCACGGAGGACCACCCGATTGACCCTAAACCCGAAAGAATCTCGAAGCCGTGGGAAGTTGTGAAGCAGTCGGCGCTGGATGACCGGCTAGACAAGCTGGATGGAAAGATTCCTCGGGGACGGGGTAGGATGTGCCGACACGGCCCCAAAGGCATGTGTGATTACTGCCAACCTATGGACCCTTTCGATCCAAACTATCTGGCAGACAACGGCATCAAGTACCTTTCCTTTCACTCATATTTGCGCAAGATCAACGCCGCGACGAACAAACCCGAGTCCGGAACGTCTTACATACCGCCTCTTGTCGAGCCGTACTTCCGAGTCAGGCGCGATTGTCCGTCCGGTCATCCGGCTTGGCCAGAAGGTATTTGCACAAAGTGCCAACCAAGCGCCATCACGCTGAACCCTCAGCCTTTTCGAATGGTGGACCATGTCGAGTTCTCCACTCCTTCCATTATCGATGGCTTTATTGACGCCTGGCGGAAGACTGGGTCGCAGCGACTGGGTTATCTCTATGGGCGATATGCAGAGTACACCAAGGTTCCACTGGGCGTCAAGGCTATCGTGGAGGCCATCTATGAGCCGCCACAAGTTGATGAAATCGATGGCATCACCATGAACGCTTGGGAGAACCAGAAGGAGGTTGATCACATTGCCAAGCTCTGCGGGCTGGAACCTGTAGGCGTCATCTGGACCGACTTACTCGACTCAGGCCGTGGCGACGGATCCGTTGTCTGCAAGCGTCACCTCGAATCATACTATCTCTCATCTCTCGAGATTTGCTTTTCCTCCAGACTACAAGCACAGTACCCTAAGCCGTCAAAATGGAGTGACTCTGGCCAGTTCGGTTCCAACTTTGTCACCTGTGTGATTACAGGCGATGAAGATGGAAACATTGGCATCTCAGCATACCAGATGTCTAACGAGGCTGTTGAGATGGTGAGAGCTGACATTGTGGAGCCGTCGGCAGACCCCAACTCCATGCTTGTTCGCGAAGAAGAGGAGGACGACGGCTCCGTCAGTCGTACGAGGTACATTCCTGAAGTCTTCTACTCCAAGATCAACGAGTACGGAGCCAAGGTACAGCAGAACGCCAAGCCAGCGTTCCCCGTCGAGTACCTCTTCGTCACCCTGACACACGGCTTTCCCGACGAGCCCAAGCCCACGTTCGCTACCCAGACAGGGTTCCCTATCGAGAACCGCGAGTACATTGGCGAAAGTCAGGAGCACTCTGCTCTAGCGCGGGCCCTGAATCTGCGACCTGGCCAGAAGCCTAGTGATAACGGCCAAGAGGTGTCAAACTTTCACATTCTCTGCTTCATTCATCAGCTCGGAGTTCTCTCAAAGGTTTGCCTTCTTACGACGTTCCTTGCAAAAGTGCACGTATCAATGGAACATCTAACTAACCGTGATCTTTACGCCCACTGTAGGATGAGGAGGCCCTTCTCTGTCGCGTCGCTACCCAGCATGACCTCGCCGACTCGTTCCAGCTCCGCTCTACGGGAGGCTGGCAGACACTACAAGTCATCCTGAACTCGACTGGTGAGCGAATCCCCAAGCGTCCACGAGAGGACGGTGGAGGTCCGCCAAAGACCTCATCATCGGTCGCGCCGCCTCCATCGTCTTCACATCATTACACAACCCCTTCTATTGTCGGTGAGCGGGATGAGCCACTAGCTAAACGGTTTGCTGCCTTCAGGCTGAACGAGCGTCGTGCCGCGACCCCAAGCAATTCTTCGCCGCCGCCTCCCTGAGCTTCCAACCAGGAGTTTGAAGAGCGTGATACAACGTTGACTGCTGGTGTTTCTCAAAGCCGGAGCACTGCTTGCAGAGTGGGTTTGGAAGACCGGGCTTATATCGTATATGGATTGGGTGAAATGGATCTTCAGAAGCATCATGATGTATACTGGACCTTAATGGTTTGATAACGGGCTTGGGCAGGCGGCAATATTGCTTAGGGACAGCGCGGGCATAGATTCGGCATAGGAAACAGTTGATATGCATTTGAGTTGACACGTAAATAAGTGTATGCAGAGTTGCGGTGCTATATGTTATACTATTCGGGGTTAATGAAGATGTCGATTCAAGTCCTTAGATATGCTGGATAGGATCGCGATATCTCTAAAGCCAGCCTTGAGTGGAGGGCGGCTCTAAGACATGGTGTTGACAGAGCTGTCTGATAGATTATCGAGATCGAGTGTTACTGGATTATCTACTTGGGAGCGTAACATCTCCTATGAGTAGGTAGGTAGCAGCTGGCATGTGTCTCATGTTCTTGGCCTTTAATTCAAGGCATCAGGCTGCCAGCTGCCTTGGCCCGGTAGTAATATAAAGTCTCGTTTGGCAGAGCATCTCCTTCGCTTCTTCTTCTTCTTCTTCTTCTTCCTCACCTTCCTCTTCCTCCTTCGGTTTCCTTCTTACCTTGCCCTTGAAACCTCCCACAAGCAAGATGGCGGACATGGAGGACATGGAGGGCATGGATATTACGGAGGACACCGAGGACATTGGTGACATGGAAGACATGGACGACAAGTTGTCATGTAGCTCGGAAGTGTCTATCATTGATCGTAAGCTGACAAGCCTTCCAATGTACGACAACCATCGTTGCCAGTATTGACACTCATATAGGCACAAATCCAAAGGACCGCCCGAGATCCATAGAGGATGCGGTTGACTTGGCCATCGGACACCTCTTCCCGTGGGTAAACCACTGCTCCAATGTCATCACGCGACAAGTGGGAAAAGCACTCAAGAGAGCGTATCTGGAGGAATCCCGAAGCTGGTCGTGGGAGATGAGCCTCGAGTTCAGACACACCGCGCCGACGCTCAACTTCTCCGTCTACGCGCAGACGGGATCCATCACCAGCCACATCATCGGCAGAAAAGCGAGGAACAACGGCGCCACCTGGGTTCATTTCTGGTTCCTGCGCGTCATGTTTGGCCCGCGAGCGTGCTCGAGGCAGCTCTGGTTTGCGGAGCTGGTCGATAAGCACCCTTGGATGCTCGACGAAGCCCCCGGGGGCGTCGTTCCTTCAACGGCATACACGATCATCAAGTCTGGGCAGGAGGACTGGGAGCCTGCGACGCCGAAGACCATGGAGCGGCCTGATGCCCTGGCTGTCGCACGGGCGAAGCGAGAGGCTGCTGCCGAGAGCACCTCTAACCCACGGCCCAGAAAGACGCCCAGAGCATCTACTCCTGCTCCACAGCCGCAGGAGGAGGCGGCGGTCGAGGGGGATATATGGGCCCAGCTTGATGCCGCGGATTTCAGCGAGGCTTTCAACGCCCGAATTCCTTTGAAGACGGATGGAGAGTTGCAGGGGCTCAAGGCAAAGCACGAAGCGTTGCAGTTGGCACACGAGACTCTTTGGGAGAAGCACAAGGCGTTGGAGGAAAAGTACCGCAAGCAGGAGGAGAAGCTGGAGAAGCTCTGCATGGGGCTTGTTCAGCTTGGGAACTTGGTGAAGCATCAGAATGGAGTTTGAGTATGGGATACGCATTGAGATGGGGCGGAAGGATCAACATGGGTTTCTCGGGATACTCATAACGGGGCATATATTGCATATTCATACAAGAAAATTGATAACCTGCAGACATCATGACATGTGTACAGCCCCAGGATAGAGCTGAGAGAGGGTGTGATTCAAATGGTGTCGGGTCCAAGACACGGCCGCTCAATATCTTTCAGGGGAATTGGCTATCCAGCACCCCTAATTAGGATACTCACCATTCTAGCAGAATCAGATCTCGATGGCTGCATGCTGCTGTTGCTGCTATAATGCTCTAAGTAGATATCATAATCTACTCTGTGCTACTATCGCTCCTTTCTTCTGATCTTAGTAGAAGCATCATTTGACACCTGCTCAGTAGATATAGTAGCTAGAGAAATCCATACTAGCACTTTGACGCCGTCTGTATGAATTGGGGGGACGCTGGATAGCCGACTCCCTTTCTCAGGGGCTGGTCTTGTGGAAGGCCAAAGTATGAAAGTACGTGGAGGAATCAGAAGCAAGTCTAATAGTCAATGGAGGACGGTATTCTAAAACCGCAAGTAGTTCAGACATGTATATTTCGCATTCACTGAATTCCATACGGCACAAGGTGAGCTAACCACATGACAACACATATAATGGTACAAAATAAAAGGGGGGAGGCGTTGCCAATAACGTGAACCTTGTCAGCCGGTAAACGACAAAAGTAGTGAAATTTAACCCTTTTGAATTTTTCAACACACCATGATTCTCTTGCGAGGGGGCTTCGGCAATGACCAGATAGCCTCTTCTCTCCCGTCTCGTCTCTTTCATCCCGTCAACATTCGACAAGAGTTACGGAAAGCTACACATCTTTTGCAAGCAGACTTAAGCCGCTCCAGCGTTGGTCTTGCGAATCGCGGCCCTGAATCGTGCAGCACGAGACCGTCTGACGTTGGACCCTGAAGAGCTCTCCTCATCGGCCTCGCTAGGCTCAGTGACCAGTGCCGTCTTGTTGGATGGAGGCGCGGTGGCCAGTCCCTGGGCAGTCAATCCTAGACCCAACCCAAGGCCAGGAGCTGTCGAGTTGAGGAGCCCAAGGCCGAGGCCGAGGTTTGCCGTGACGTTGACGGCGGGCAGCAGGCCAGCAACGGCCGAGGCCACGTTGGCTGCGGCGGCGACATTAGCTGCTGCGGCCACGTCGGCTGCGACAGGCAGAGCTACTCCCAGAGCAGCAGCAGGGTTAGCAGCAGCACCAGCAGCCAAAGCAGATCCAAGGACGGCGGCGGGGACGGCAGCTGCAGGGGACAATGACGAGCCGAGGCCGGAGAGGGCTGATCCCAAGCCTGAGACGGTAGATCCGAGGCCTGACCCGAGGCCGGAGACTGTCGAGCCGACGGCAGAGATGACGGATCCGAGGTCAAGGGGTGGAAGAGCTCCTCCCAGGCCGAGTCCGACGTTGGCTCCGACGTTGGCTCCCAGACCGAGTCCAAGACCTGGGACAGCGCCGGCGAGATTGCCGAGAGCTGCTCCCACAGCAGGAACTATAGATCCGACGCCGGGAACGACCGATCCGATACCTCCGGCAACAGACCCAAGGGTGGACGGAAGGCCGCCGCCGGTGAGGTTGCCGATGGCGTTGGTGATGTTGCCGATAATGGCGGCAGGGGTGGAGGTCAGGTTCCCAAGGGCACCCGTGGCATTGGACGGGCTGGGGAGCAGGCCTCCAACTGGGAGAGCTCCTGTCAGGCTTCCAACGAGGTTGCCAGGGTTTGGAAGGGGGGCGCCGCCGGTGAGGTTCCCGAGAGCTGCGGTAATGTCGCTCGTGAGATTCCCGATAGGCGCTGTCAGGTTGCCGACAGCTGCGGAAGGATTACCCGTGAGGTTTCCAAGAGCTCCCGTCAGGTTACCCAGAACTCCAGTGGGCAGCCCAGTCAGGTTTCCTAGGCCTCCAGCAGGGAGAGAACCCAGAAGTCCTGTCAGGTTACCGAGGGCTCCGGCGGGCAAGTTTGTCAGGTTTCCAAGAGCGCCGGTAGGGAGCCCAGTCAGATTCCCCAGGCTTCCGATGGGGAGAGAGCCCAGAAGTCCTGCAAGAAGGGCTGCGGGATTCAGGCCAGGGACACCTCCTGTCAGGTTACCAATAATCCCAGCGGGCAGACCAGTCAGGTTTCCAAGGGCCCCTGTGGGAAGACCAGTCAAGTTTCCTAGGCCCCCAGGCAGTAGAGAACCCAAAGTTCCCGTCAGGTTACCAAGAACCCCAGTGGGTAACCCAGTCAAGTTCCCCAGTCCTCCGATAGGGAGAGAGCCCAAAAGTCCTGCAATAACGGCGGCAGGATTGGCGATAGGCAGACCTCCTCCTGTCAGGTTACCAAGAGCTCCTGTTGGAAGGCCAGTCAAGTTTCCTAGGCTTCCAAGCGGTATAGATCCCAGAGGGTTTGTCAGGTTTCCAAGAGCCCCTGTGGGAAGGCCCGTCAAGTTCCCTAGACCTCCCAGTCCAAGTCCACCAAGCCCTCCACCAAGTCCGGCGCCGCCCGCGTTCAGAATTATCGCGATTCTCAGGGCGAGTGCAAGACGCAGTCCAAGAGCACCCTGAAGAGTCAACCCGCCGAGGCCACCCAGACCTCCCAGACCGCCGAGAATGTTGGTCAAGTTGCCAAGGGTTCCGTTGAGCCCGCCGAGGTTCGGGATCAAAGCTCCAGGAACGCCAGCAGCTGGGTTGATTCCGCCATTGCTGCCGCCGGCAAGACCACCGAGAATGCTGGTCAGATTGCCAAGGGTCCCGTTCAGAATGGGACCCAGGTTGAGTCCGCCGTTGCCGGCGTTTCCAACGGGGAGGCCACCGATGGAATTGTTCAGGCCACCAAGAGTTCCGTTGAGAATAGGCGGCAGGTTCAGCGGTACAGTGCCGTTTGAGCCACCATTGTTTCCGCTTCCAGGGTTGCTGGCGTCCAACAGCCGCTGCAGGAGACGAGCAAGCGCTACAGGGTCAAGGTTGTGTGAGGCAGCGAATTGCCTGACGACTTGCGTAACAGTGTCCTGGCTGGTGGCATTCCGGACAAAGTCGAGCAGCTGCTGGAGCTCCTCTCTGGTCAGCCTCGGGGCGTTGATTAGGGTGCCATTGGTAACGGTTCCGTTGGCAACAGTGCCGCTGCCGTTGGTGATGTTTGTAAGTGCGGAGGTCAAGGTGCCGAGGCCCTGGTCCATTACGCCTGGAATGCCGATTCCAGAAAGGCCGCCTCTGCCGCTGCTCAGGCCGTCGAGAGCCTCTACAAGTCCGCCGAGAATACCCTTTGATCCTTCGAGTACCTTGCCGAGACTGTCATCTGAGCTGCCGAACGCCAGGACGTTCTTCAGGCTCTGGAAGAGTGCGCCGGGGTCAAGGCCGTGCAAGGTAGCGTACAGCTTGATGTCGTCTGTGGCCTTTTGCGTGTTGCCATTGGCTTTCTTGATGATGTCGGTGAGGTCCTTGAGTGTTGCGTCGTCCAGCCCTCCTACCAGGCCCCTGAAAACCCCGTTCGTGATGCTGTTGCGAAGGTCGTTCAGGTTGGGAATCGCCGCCGGGGCACTCAAAGGAATAGGGATAGGAATAGCAATAGGAATGTTTGTAGTTGAGCCACTTGGGGCAGCACTCGACAGGCCGTTGAGAATGCCAGTCAAGCCACCCAACACGTTGCGCAAGTCTAGACCAGCCCTCGTAGCAGCTCCATTCAGCCCCTGAAGGATTGAGCCAAGGTTAACGTCTCCTTGGCCGGTGAGGCCAAGACCCCTGAGCAGATCAGGCGTCGAGATGTTGCCGTTTGGAGAAGCACCAAGGCTGTTGAGGAGGCTTGCAATGGCATTGTCATCGAGACCAAGCCCTCGCAGAAGACCGGTCAAGTTGAGCGTGCCGTTACCGCCTGACCCGCCAAGGTTGTTCAGGGCATTGCTCAAGTCCAAGTTGCCAATGTTGCTTCCGAGGCCAAGATTCTTCAGCAGAGTGCCCAGAGGCACGATTCCGTTGGCATCGGCCCCAAGCTGTCTGAAGATGTCGGAGAAATTTGCTGGGGCGAGTCCGAGCTTGCTGATGAGGTTGTTCAGGTTGATGTTGCCTTGGACGTCAATGCCGAGATCAACCAGCAGCTGGGCCAAACTGGGACCCCCTGGAATGCTGACAGAACCGTTCAGACCAAGGCTGAGTCCAGTGCCGCTACCCTGGCCGCCAAGGAGGCTGTTGAGGAGGCCAAGGAGTCTATCGATGACGTTGCCGAAGCTGGTCCCCAAGATGTTGCCTACAGTACCACCTAGATCACCAAACGTGCCTGCTTCATCTCGCTTCCCGAACGAAGCCGTCACCAGGAGGCTATTCAGGAGTTTGCGGTCTGACTGAGTGAGTTGACCCGTCGAAATATGAGAAGCCAAGAGCTTCAGGGCGTCCGAGTTGGGCCCTTGAGCTTGAAGAGCAGAAGACTTGGCAGGCGCTGCCACTGAGCTTCCCGCAAGAGCAGCGACGAGAACAAGAGCCGCGCTCAGCTTCATCTTGAATCTTGTGATTCAAAAAAAAACCAAAGATATCAAGAGAAGATCAATGAGTTGCAAAAGAAACTGGAGGCGCCGAGATGCCAAGCCAGATAAGAAAGCACAGAGAGACAATTCCTTCGAATGGCCTGACATGGACCGAAGGGGTCTCTCCTCTTATAATTAAAGATTCCATGACTTGATAATAATCAACCTCCTGTGTCTCGGGAGAAACAGTCCGCGGTCCTCTGGGGATCTTCATGCCTGTTGACGATGTTTTGGGGGGGGAGAACGCAGCTTTCGGCAGACTGCTACTACCAACACTCCTGTATGGAACGTGGACTAGATGAGGATGAACCAGGAGCCAATGGGCAAACAATACTGTCGGTATTTGATTGTAGCCGAGAAAAGAAAGCCAGAGCCATGTCGTCGGGAATTCCCAATGATTCAGGCGGGAGTATTCAATCCCGTGTCTCTAACACTGGGTAGCGTGCAACAGGAATCGGCGTGCAAGTAGAAATCGACCACAATCTGCCCTGAAAAGCTTGATTAGGATGCATTCCATTGTCTTGATCCAACGCAGTCTCACACGCACTTCGGGAGAAGAAGGGAGCAAGGGACTATCCGCTGCAACACGTTCTCTCCCTTGACTCGGGATGCGGATAAGGAAGAAACAGCTGGTGACGTGGAATTGCTCTGCGGGAATCGCGCAGGTTACCACGATATTTATAGCTGTACAAGCCCAAGTCCCAAAATATACTGTATCGTGTCGTGTCGACATCTGCTTAGTCCAATGCTCAGAAACTCAGGGGTAAATAGGTGATATGGTGCATCCGGCCGGGCATACCATCGATTTTTGGGTGGGAACGTGTCTTCTACTCTAGTCTCGTTATAACAGATGGGAAATCATCTCAGTAGATTGTGGTTATTCTGCTATTTGTGAGTTTCCATCATTCCTAACGAGAAGTTGGTTCCATGGTGTTGGGTTGTTGAAATAAGGGGGGGGCGGAACAGCAATGGAACTCGCGCTTACATTCCAACTTCGCGTATGGGAAAATGCTCTGTAACCATCACGCAATATCTATCATGGAATCTTTGAAAAAGAGAAAAGAAAATGTGCATGTATGCAGCATAGGTAATCATGCGTGTCCATAAAACCAGAAAAAGTGGTGGACCTGTGTCCCAGCGCCTCTCCCACGAGACACCTCTCCAGCCTCCCTCATCAGCCGCACAAAGTCATCCTCAATCTCCAGCGTAAGACTCTCCATGTCCTCGCCCAACACGCCACAGTCAACCCGGCAGTCCCTCATGAGCTCTCGCAGGTGAAGCAGGCGCTCCGACACCCTCACCAGCTCGTACGCCACCTCGCGCAGCCCTCGTGAGACCAGCCACGGGTCCTCCGTCTGCCGCTGTAGGGCGGAGGCCTCGCGGAGGTAGACCAGCCTTTTTTGCCTCAGTACGGCGTAGGCCCTGCTGAAGCGGTCTGTGAGGGCGGCTGCGGTGGGCTGGGTTGACATGGTTGGAAGGTGGGTTGTTGTGTTTGCAGTCTTGTTTTGATGAGAGACTGTTTGTGATTGATGTTGTTGGGTGAAGATGAAGCGAAGATAGGTAGGCAGACAGAGGATGGATGAATGACGGGAGGACGAGTCGCTTAAATACTTATGGAAGATGGTAGAAAGAAGCCTCAAATGTCTCCGTAGGCTCCAAAGGCCTGGGATGTGTCCGGCTTTTATATCCATGAGGCAGCATAAAGTTCGAGGCGAACCTCTGCTTCCATCTCTCCATCTGTCGTAGTGCAAAGTAAAGCCTTGAACCTTGACTGGAAGGGAATGATCTCTAGAATATGGAATAGTAGGATCCAGCTAGACTTTTATTAATTCTAGACAGAATAAGGTAATAAGAAGATAGAGAAAGTAAAAAAGTAAATCTAGTAAATATATTATAAAATATTAAATTCTATATATTCTATATATAGTAATAAATAACCTACACTTATCTTAATAAATATATTAGTATTATATAAAAATAAATATATATAGATATATATAGTAGCTATAAAGAGTATAAATATATAGATATATATATATAGCCTATGATATTAAATAGGTTATATATTTTACTCTTGCTTATTACTGTTATATGACTTGTCGTGGTGTAGGCTGATGCTTGATAATGCCGTTAACAGAACGTTACTGACAGAGCATTGCTGACAGAAGGTTGCCTACCCAGCTTCGCGAATGACGGTAGCAATCACTGGTCATAGGAACAAACAACAATCATTCGCAAAGACAAAAGCTTTCTAAATGTGAAAAAGAACGCCTAGTTATCCTATATTTTTCTTCTCTCTTCCCGCTTACCCATCCGTCCATTTTTTCCTACCTACCCCCTAATGTTTTCTCCTCTACCCTGCCCTTTTGCATATAGGTGACGTAGAAGATTCGTTACCTCAAGGGTTATTACAGAAACAAACTAGAAACGAAGATGGTTGTTATACAAGGGTATATGATTTACAGAGGCTTGCCGCCAATGAACTCAGACCATGCCCGGACCTCCGAGGGGATGCCCTCGGGGCGAGGGAGCTTCTCGCTCATGCACTGAGCGAACAGGATGGCGGTCTAGGCAAATCGTTAGCATAGGTGTTACTTGACATGATGGCACAGAGATGGAGTGTAGGACTCACCTGGGGCTCCATGAAGAGGGGCACGCCAAAGTCGACGGCATTTCGGCGCATCACGTAGTCGACGTCCTGTGTGGTCTTGCCGCGGGCAAGAGCGAGGTTGAAGACGCCGCGGATGTCGTACTTCTTGAACACCTCGCGGAGGGCACGCTTGTCGTCGGTAGGGAACTCAATCACCTCAACCTTGACGTTGTGTTTTGAGCTGGACTCAATGAACTTCTTGACGTCGTTGCTGGCGGCGTACAGGGTGTAGCCGAGAGGGGCCAGGTAGTCGACGACCTGGGTCAACCAAGGCTTGTTGAGCTCACCACCAAACAGCAGACCCTCGCCAGGCTCAGGAACGCGGAAGTTCATGGTGGACTGCAGGGAAGTCCAGTAGGCGTCAACGAGGTCCTTGCCAAAGCAAGCAATCTCACCAGTAGAAGCCATCTCAACGCCCAGGAAGGGATCCGCGCCAGCGAGTCGAGTCCATGAGAATTGAGGAACCTTGGTGGCAACGTAGTCACGCTTGACAGTCATGACATCGGTAGGCTCAGGGACATCCTTGCCAACGAGAGCCTTGGTGGCGACGTCGATGAAGTTGGTGCCAAGAACCTTGCTGACGAAGGGGAAGGATCGGGAAGCACGGAGGTTGCACTCGATGACCTTGAGCAGCGGCTCACCACCCTCGGGGTTGTCGGCCTTGATGATCTGCATGTTGAAAGGACCGGTGATCTTCCATGCCTTGGCGACCTTCTGAGCAATCTCCTTGAGGCGTTCCATGGTGCTGGCATCAAGGTTGACGGGGGGCAGGACCAGGGTAGCGTCACCAGAATGGACACCAGCCTGTTCAACGTGTTCACTGACGGCGTGAAGGATCAGGTTACCCTGAGAGGCAACGCCATCGACATCAATCTCCTGCGCGCCCTCGATAAACTTGGTTATGACAACGGGGTGGTCGGGAGAGACATCGGCTGCAGCCTCAAGCTTCTCCTTGAGGTCCTCCTTGCTGCGGATGACGGTCATGGCAGCTCCAGACAGGACGTAACTGGGACGAACCAGAACGGGGTAGCCCACCTGCTCGGCGAACTGCGCAGCCTCTTCAACAGAGGTGAGTTCCTTCCACGCAGGCTGATCAACGCCGATGCTGTCGAGGATCTCAGAGAACTTTTGGCGGTCCTCAGCCTTGTCAATGTCCTTGGGATCGGTTCCCAAAACTTTAGCGCCGCCAGCTTCCTGCAGGCGCAGTGCGATGTTCTGGGGGAGCTGGCCTCCTACAGACACCACCACACCTTGGGCCGCCTCCAGCTCGTAAATATCCATGACACGCTCATAGCTCAACTCATCGAAATAGAGTCTATCAGCACTGTCGTAATCGGTGCTCATCGTTTCCGGGTTATCTCGGGAATGTTAGTTAGGTTCTGGTGTTCTGGGGGTTGCGTTGGGTTGCGTGGGTGTTTTGGAGGTTTGGGGGGTCAGGGGGGTGGACTTACAATTGATCATGATGGTCTTCTCTCCAAGCTTTCGCAGGGCCTGAGTAGCGCCAACAGCGCACCAATCAAACTCGACGGAGCTGCCGATACGGTAGACACCACTGCCGAGAATAATAGTGCCCTTATCATCGAAGGTGACGTCGTGAGAGGAGCCGTTGTAAGTAGTGTAAAGATAGTTGGTGTCAGCAGGGAATTCCGCAGCCAGGGTATCAATCTTCTTGACCCAAGGGTGAATGTTGAAGCTGCGACGACGGGCTCGGACTTCATCCTCAGTGCTGTTGACAGCGTTCGCGATTTGCTTGTCAGAGAAGCCCATCTTCTTCGCCTTCAAGATCTGCTCCTTCTGCAGCGCATCGAGGCTACCAGCAGCTTCGAGCTCGCGGGTGCAGTCAACAAGGTTCTGGAGCTTGTACAGGAACCACTTGTCAATCTTGGTCAACTCGTGCACCTTGTCAACAGAGTAGTTCTCGTGCAGCATGGCCTGTCCGACAGCGAGCCATCGACGATCGGTGGGGTTTTGGAGCTCATAATCGAGGTCCTCGAACTTGTCGCCCTGGAAGCCGACAAACTTGGGGTCAACCTGCCGGATGGCCTTCTGGAAAGACTCTTCAAAAGTTCGTCCGATGGCCATCACTTCTCCCACCGATTTCATGGCGCTTCCAATGTCTCGCTTCACGTGCTGGAATTTGGAGAGATCCCATCGGGGAATCTTGGTGACAATGTAGTCCAGCGAGGGCTCAAAGTTGGCAGTGGTGGTCTTGGTCACAGCGTTGGGAAGCTCGGGCAAGCTGTGTCCCAAGCCGATCTTGGCCGCGGTGTAAGCAAGAGGATATCCGGTAGCCTTAGAAGCAAGGGCAGAAGATCGAGAAAGACGGGCGTTGACTTCGATAACCCTGTAATCCAGACCATCTGGCTGCAAGGCATATTGAACATTGCACTCCCCAACAACTCCCAGATGGCGGACGATCTTAATGGCGGCTGTACGAAGCATGTGATACTCTTCGTCCGAAAGAGTCTGGGAAGGCGCGACGACAATTGAATCACCGGTATGGATGCCCAGGGGGTCAAAGTTCTCCATGTTGCAGACGGTGATGCAGTTGTTGTTGGCGTCTCGGACAACCTCATACTCCACTTCCTTCCAGCCCTTGAGGGACTTCTCGACCAGGATCTGAGGAGAAAGAGTGAGAGATCGAGCGGCCATGTTGCGAAGCTCCTCCTCGTTGTTGGCAAAGCCCGAACCCAGACCACCCAGGGCATAGGCAGCGCGGACAATGATGGGATATCCGATTTTTGAGGCAGCATCGAGCGCCTCATCCACGGTGTTGACAGCAATTGACTTGGCGATGGGAATGTTGATCTCCTCAAGAGCCTTTGCGAAAAGATCTCGATCCTCGCTGACCTCGAGGGTTCTCACGCTGGTTCCGAGGACCTTGACGCCGTACTTCTCAAAGAGGCCGAGTCGCTGCATCTGGACACCCAGGTTGAGAGCAGTCTGGCCGCCTATTCGCGAAATATTAGCTCATCGTCATACACGTATTCGCTTCGCAACGGAGGTCCACTTGCCGAAACTCAGATAGATTCCATCGGGACGTTCACGCTCGATGACATAGCTGACATATTCGGGGGTGACGGGCAGATAATACACCTCGTCCGCAAGGGAATGGTTGGTTTGGATAGTGGCAATGTTGGGGTTGATGAGGACGGACGCGACGCCGGCCTCTTTGAGGGCCTTCAGAGCTTGTGCACCTATGAAGCGTGGTGTTGTTAGCAAATATGCACGGTATAGCGATAGAGAGTAGTGGGTTTGGGAAGGGAGCGGCAGCAAGTGGCAAGGAGGAGAGCCATGAAGCAAGAACTCACCTGAGTAGTCGAATTCACCGGCCTGTCCAATCGCCAGACCACCACTGCCAATAACCAGGACCTTCTTGACATCGACGTTGACCTTGGGCTTGATGACGCCGCTGTCGAGATAGGCCTTGGGGTTGGGCGCCGCCTGAGTGGTCGAGGAGTACGGTCGGAAGACGGAGATCGTGCCCAGCCTCTTGGGAGCCTTGGCCGGCAATGAAGCCCTGGCCTGCGTCCGCAGAGCGGCTGTGGTGAAGAGACGAGTCGGGAGCGTTCGCGGGAGTCGGGCGCCGCTCCGGAGCAGAGCCGGCGCCCGGGCAGCGGCCAGCGCGGCAGAAGACATTGTCGCAGGCATTGCAAGCTGATCAATGCGAGAGTTGCTCCGTCCAACGAGCAGCCGTGGCCCCTATTCCAGGTTTCCCAATTGACCGGTTTGTGAGCTGAGAAGAAGGGAAAAGAGAAGGAAGACGGGACGTTGGCTGGTGTCGAGGGGGAAAAATGTTTATATTGGGGTGGGGAGTTTAAGAGGTTGCACGGGCGTTTGCAGGATTGGACCAAAAAAAATAGCAGAGCGGCCGCCGATTTCTGGAGCACAACGAGTCACCGATTAGATAACGATCGGAGAGTCCCCCAGCTTTTTCCCTGGCTGCCTTGGTCCGCTTTCTCTTGATATGAGCCTATTCTGGCGAGAGATAAAAACCAAGAACAAGTCGAAACCCCGGCAGAAGCTGTGGAGCAGATCCAATCCGAGATGGATTCTGACGCGGGCTCCATCGGAGTCGACCCAGCAGAAAAATTTCCACCCCAAAGAGAGAGAAAAAAATATGACGTTGTGGGGAGCGTCACCAGGGGAAGATGAGTCCCTATCGTCATGAGAGTTGGACTACACTACGAGTTTGTCATATCAATTGCAATCATTATGAGTTTGCCAGAGCATTGGCATTATCCATGAGGGCCTGATCTGATCGTCAGCTCTTAGAAACAGCCGTCTTCTTTTATATACTATATCGAAATAGCGATTGGGAGATTGTTGTTGTGCGAACATCTCCAGCCGGGTTGACAGAATCTAACCCTAGCAGTTAGCACAGACTTTGGTTCGACCTGTTAGAGCAGGCTACTAATGTCACTACTACTCGATCTACCTGATGCCATCCCAGCCATATCTCAGCCGGCCAATGAGCATCAAGACGTTGCGGCTGTTAGCCTCTCTCGCCCGTTCTTATCGCAGCCCATAGTATTACTACTACTACTACCACAAGACCAGCAAGACCAGTCAACCGGCCCCCCAGCAGAATCCCGGCTCAGACACCGGAGCTAGGCTGGAGCCAATCTCACACTGCATCAACCGAATCCCTGTCTGAATCGGCGACTGCACGGGCCATCGCTCAGATCAATTCAACCGTAGCTGCCGCTGGCCCCATCTGCGTCTCTTTGCACCTCGCTTCACCGCGCTTGCGTCTAGCTCCGGTATCGCACACCCGAATGAGTCGAACCTCTACAAGACTGGCCATGACTCTGACGATGATTCAATTTGCGGATCAACTTGATGTTATGAGTCTTGAGTCTTGACGTGCAGCCAAACTCACTTTGGATGCTTCGGCAGGTGTATGTTGCATGCTTCTACAAAGTTGACCTTGCGGGTTCCTGAGTCCAACATTAGTGCTAGAAACCTGCATATGAATCGCGGATCGGGACGTTGAATGTTGGACCGGCCGTGACCGTATCAAGAATGAACCACAAAGACATCAGACAGCGAATGCAAGCGCCATACCAGAAGTCCCAGGTGCTGCATGTCAGTTGGCTGCCGAAAGAAACAAACAAGAATGGTTATTCTCAATCCTGTGCTTCTACAAGTCGGGCGAAACAGTGGTCGACGATGCAGACGCCGAGAAGGTTGCCATGCTGGAGGATGTATGAGAGTAATGGAAACCACTGTGTATAATTTGTAGTGTAATGCCTCGATATTGATAATATTATTTGCCTTTCACGCTGAACATTATTATGTAACTGGGTTAAAAAACACGCCCACTGGCTATTGTGAAGAAAGAGTAACGGAAAGCTGTCTCTACTGGCTAATAGCTTGCTGCGTTTCTGGCAGAACATTGTCGTCTGTAGGAATAAGCTGAGTATTATCTTACTTATGGCAATAGTTAGCTATATTATGCTTATAGAGATATAAGACATGATATGTATAGTGTAGGTATATAGCTTTATTCTATATGCTAAGTGAAAGAAATAGCTTAGATAACTGATATTTACTCTAGGTAGATTAAGTATATATAGCTTCTCGACTGCCTTTAAACACCTTCTGGGGCGAGATAATATAGCTTTAGGGCACTCGCCTCCTTAGAGTGTTGCTTGCAGGTTCAACATGCGAGTTGCTGTTACTGCCGCGCCATTTCTTCAGTTTCATCTCACCCGGATCCGCGTCTTCACTGCTTGTAAGTGCGACTGTGAATGCAAGTATACGCGCTGCTTCACCAATATCAGATATGTTAAGCATCATGGCTCTGGATCCAATGTTACTGTTGCAAATGTGTAGAAACGAACTTCTACTTCTTGATGACGGACTCCTTAGAATCCCATAGGACCGCCGTAGAGTAACTCCATCTCCAAGCCTAGATACCTGCAAACATTTATCTTATCTCAAGCAACTTGTTCAGTACATTTCAGGACCATCCCATCCCATCAGATACACTCGTTCATTATAGCAAAACGAACCGTTGCAAGCTCCAGCAAATTCTCGCCCGCCACCTTGAGAACACTGCATCTATTCACCGAACCCCCTTCCAAAAGTCCAACGACCTACTCGCAGTGACTCGCAAGACAACCCAACTCACATCTCCTCACGTCGACTGCTCGGACGCTCGTCACATGCTGTTCGACATTCCTTCAGAACACAATGGAGTTCACGAAATCGAACCACAAAACGCCCTCCGTATTGAACAACATCTCTCTGCATGTTTTTGCAAAGCAAACCGACTTTATAAGACGCACGGGCGTGCCAGTCAAAGATTCCAACCTGACCACCACGTCTATTCGCAGCATCCCCCGAGCTCGTCTGCGAACACACTCCTCCGACTAGTGATGTCGACAGAAATGATGTGCGAACAAATCATCAGATACGACTGCGGCCACATGTGCCGTCGCATGATCCCCTGCATCCAGCGAGAGCCCAAGCACCACCACTCACTCACCTGCTTCTCTGCCCTCTCCCTCCACTCCTACGAACCAGAGCGCCACGAGACGCCCAAGCTCGAGCGGCGTGCTACTCTCTGCCCAAAATGCGAAGCAAAAGGCGAAGACGGTAAAGTGTATGTAAACGGTACAAGGCGGGCAAGCGCTCCTCCGTTCGCGGCAGGGCGGGAGCCCAAGTCGGTGCAGCAGGGCGAGAAAAGCACGGCCACCAAGGTGAGTGCGAGCGTCGGCCGTTCAGTATCTTATCCGGTAAGATCTCCTCCTCCCCGTCTGAGGCGAGTTCGGGATACGGGCAACAGCTCACTGCGCAACGAGTATAATCGTCTCGAGCCGCATCTTGATCCACGTCCTGCGCCACGCCCCGAACCACGAACTGCATCGCATACCGAACCTCATACCGACGCTCGTCTCGTACCACCCCGGAATCTTGGCTTTGGGGCTCGTCGTGGTCGAAGACACCGCCCAGAGGACATAGTCACGCAAAATCTCGACTTGGACTGGTTCGCCTCCTCCTTGGTCCCGCTCTGCGAGAGGTCTCCAACAAGCCCTACCAGCGTCACTGGTCTGCTAGAGTACAGCCAGGGCAACCGAAACGTGTCAACCTTATCGCTTGGTAGGCTCAGCCGGTCGACTTCGGTTCTGAAGATGCTTCAAAGGGGTCTCCAAAGACAGCCTTCGATGGAATCATTTGTCTGCGCATCAGCACGAGAGGTGGAGAGAGGCGAAGAATAAGAATTGTAGTTTTGATGATTTTTATTCGTTTTGTTCAGAGCCTATGGCTGGTAAATGTTACAAATGTCGATTAATCAAACAAAATGGCATACCGTACTTTTTCCGTGTGCCCACCACATCCTTTGATACATTGTGCGTGATATGTATGAGTGCAGATGCTGTGCACTTGTCCATTGTAGGTAGCATCGAAGTACCGCACCGTCGCTGCTTGTAGTCGCTGTAGAAATGAAAAACTTTTTTGGCGGCTTTAGCCCATCTGGCAATGCAGATGATTGAGAGCGCTTGCTTGCAACATCAAGATTCTCCGCTAAGATCAGATTAATGAGATGGGTGGCTTGTAGATTGCAAGTTGACGCAATGGAAGACTTGGTCGATTGGATCATGTTTGCGGTTTTATCCGGTCCCGGTTCCAGCGCCAAGTTCGTTGATTGAAGGGTAAAGAGTGGGTTGTCGTGGTGACTTGTAAAAAATGATTCACGCCTTGAGCATTGACCAAAAATTGTCAGCTGCCACTCTCAAGGACAAAGCCTCGAGCCATGAGGCCATGCTGGTTCAGTTGGCCTTGCCGTTCTTCGACGCGTTCTTGAACTTGGCAATCTCCCTCGAAACGGCTTTCTCGACACGAGCCTGGAGCTCGCGCCGGTATCCAAGCTTGAAGAGCATCTCGAGCCAGACGAACATGGGGGCCAGGAAGATGGCCTGGATGAGATTGTCCACCAGGGCAGGGGCGCGACCCTCGAAAGCACCGTGACCGATAAACTGTGCGATCCAGCAGACGATGTGAACTCCAAGGGCAACCTGGAAGGTCGTGGTGGGATCACGGAGGTGCCATGAGTTGACAAACGCGGTGCTGCCGAGGCAGAAAGCGGCCAGCACAAAGCCCGCCACCGGCTCTAATAGCAGGTAAAGCGCTGCATACAGAAAGGCAGCGATCGTGCCAAGGTTGAGATCCAGGTACGGGACGGTGAGCCAGCTAGGCGTGTGAATGAGCGTGCCCGTATACGTGGCCTGGATTAGAGAGTAAGTAGAAAAAGGAGAATGTCAGAAATACCAGCTAGCTGAACGTTGTTGAGATGGCAAGGGGCCTGAACGTACCAGAGTGAACCCTGATACAAGGAGCAGCGGCACGCAGACCATGTGAATGGCCACATTGACCGAGTTATGGTGATAGGCGCCATACTGAGAGGGGAGTTCTACAGTCAGCCGGAATGCCCGAGCGAGGCTCAGAAGAGGCGAGGTGTGCTCACAAACGTCAAGTGCCTTTCCAGATCCAGAGACATTTTCACGCGGCCCGGAGCGGGAGAAAGGAGGCGAGGGACAAGGCCGGGAAGTGCTCAACAAAATGCGGATGGCCAACCTGGAGTCCTGCCGCCAGTCCGAAGAATTGGCGCGAACCAGCCGGGCACGTAGGGAAGAAAAGCAATCGGACACGGTGGCACGGCGGAGGAGGCGCGAGAGATGCGACGCGGAATCGGCGCAGGGCAGCGTGCTATCGAGGTGGAAGCGATGAGAGCCGGTCCGGCATGGGAGAGCAGAGGAGGGAGGAAAAGCTGGAAGCGACAGGCTGGAGCTGCGATGAATTGGATGCAAGAGGTCAGGAGGATGGTGGAAACGTCGCGGCGCCGGAAGCGCTGAAAGCTGTGCTGTGCTGTGCTGTGCTGTGCGGGCCTCTGTGCTGAAGGCCGCTGTGGAGGAACTTAATGCGCTGATGGCCCCCGAAGGTGGTGGGGATTCAGCGAGTTGAGCAGCTGGAGCCTCGGGTCAATCCTCTCCACTCCCGCCGCGAGCCTGGGGGGGTCAGCAGTGTGCAAGACACGGTGAGATGGACGGGATTCAGAGCGCGGTGGGAGGGGATTGATGCATATCAACAGAGCTGTACATGACACGATGCGACGCTCGAAAAGGGGGTCTCTTCTGACCGTGACTCAACCGTCTTGTTTGAGGTACGAGTAGTCAGAAGCCTTCAGCTCCTGTGCTGGGTTGCGACTCTCGCCATGGAACACCATGGACATTACTCGAATCAGGCGCGAAGCCATCGGATCGCACGAGGCTGCCTATAGCCTGAACAAGCCCCCATAGCAAGTGGACGGCGTCATGGTCAAGTCATTCATGTTTACCTCTTTGCGCTGCTTCACGGTAGCAGAATTCCATGTCACGCAGTAGCTCAGCAATTGGGTTCTGTTGTCGGTTCCTGCTCATCTTAATCTCATCTTACATAACAGGCTGCATATGTACAGCTTGTGCTACCCTACCAACCTACCTCTACATGTAGGTACCAGACAATATCACGGCATTCACCTCTTCACTCCAACTTTCCAAAGACATGTGACAGACCCCTACTCTGGCTTGTATGCGGAGTAAATAGGCTCTGCGTCTTACCCCAACCTTCAATGCAGCGCAATCGCACGAATGACCTCAGGCTGCGGTTTTCCGCTGCTCGTCCCATGCGGCCGATTAGCCCCAAAGGCAATCCTCATCGATGCACTGCACGGCAGCCTTACCTAATCAGCTCGACCGCATGATGAACTGCCGCACAGGCCACCTGCGAGTCCCTTAGCGCCGGCTCTAGAGAAATTCCAGGTCCCAACCAAATCATCGCAGCCTCGTCGCGTTCCATCTTCATCTACCTCAGCGCCAGCTCCTTCAGTCCAGCCGAGGCAGCAACGCACACCCGAAAGCGCAGAGATCCAGCTGTGCGTGTTGCGTCTGCTTCGACGGCTTCCATCCCTCATCGTCTCATCATCCGTCTCCCGCCTTGTCGCCGGTCTCGATCCAACCGCCCTCCCTCTCTCCGCCGACGTCGATTGCCTCTCCTTGCCTCCCCCGATTGACCATCTGACATACCCTGCCGCGCGCGTGCGCCCACGCGAGATCGAGATACGACTGCACATGGGAAAGTGAAGCTACATCTAGAGAGGCTCATCCGTCGCTTTCTGCCCAGGCCCTCAATCGCTCGTCCCGCCGTTTTCTGGAGTCCTGGTTCCCACGAAATCCTCTCTCTCTCTCTCGCCGCCCATCATGTTCTTCCTCTACAACATGGAGCGCAGGGTGACCCTGCATCCGTCCTACTTCGGCCGCAACATGCACGAGCTTGTTACTAGCAAGCTGCTGAAAGATGTCGAAGGCACCTGCGCCGGCAGCTACTACATCATCTCCATCATGGACACGTTTGACATTTCCGAAGGCAAGATCTTGCCAGGCAACGGACTTGCAGAGTTTACGGTTGGCTACCGTGCCGTCGTGTGGCGGCCGTTCAAAGGAGAGACGGTAAGGCGAAATCTGCGCCCGTTGTGGGAAGCAGTTGTCTGACCCTGATCAGGTTGATGCCGTTGTCTACTCCATCAATCCGCAGGGTTTCTTCGCCCAGGCCGGCCCGCTCAGACTCTTTGTGTCTGCCCATGTGCGTTCTTGTCCCTCAAGCAATCCGTCATGGCGACTTGGAGCTTTGCTGATCCGCAGTATCGCAGCTGATACCTAGCGACATCAAATGGGATCCCAACGCGACCCCCCCTCAATTTACCAACAACGAAGACACCGTCATCGAGCCGGGCACGCATGTGCGCGTCAAGATTATTGGCACGCGAACAGAAGTCGGCGAAATGTGGGCCATTGGAAGCATCAAGGAGGACTACCTAGGGTATGCTGGATGATGTGAATTCTTGTGCGTATGGACTACTAACGCTGGTGAACAGATGCCTCCAAGACTAATGGATTATAAACATCCATACATCCCTCGAGCCTGACAGCGATCAAGCACACGATTGAGTGCGTCAAAGCTACTATGTGAGACGAATGTCAACGGCCAAAGACATTGCAGTCGCGTCATCAGCTCATTGGCATGCCTTGATCTCGCAGGAGTTCGGCCAAAGGAGATTGGGTAATTCCCCCTTTGGAGTTTCGAACAAAGCAGAAAAGACCACTATCAGCTATGCGTGCTTGTGGACGCTTTTTTCCATGTCCTCCCTTTTTTTTTTCCGGATAGAATGAACGGACAGGCAGTCTCTCCCCCCACTGATGATTAGATTTTGAGACTGGACTCGATCATAATCAACGGATGGACTTCTTTTTTTTGGCGTATGGGAATGGGAAAAATAAATGAACGAAAACCCGGAGCCAGAGTCGTTTCTGCATGTACCGAAAGACCGATCCAATCTGATAGACCAATGGATATCACCTGATTTTTGCTCGCTATCTGGCGTCCATCTCGGCTGACGAGAGCTCCGTATCTTTATGCGTCTTACATCCATTGCCACTCAGATACTTACGTGTATATTCATTCGCTTTGTGCAACCGTGTTGGAGCAGACAATCATCGCCGACATCCATAAGCAGTCAATCACCTCATAATGCCGGTGACAGCTCGTCGGTAGATGGATTCCCCGTCCTAGGTGTCACTTTATTCCCCCTTATTTCCCCCACACTCATATTGGCACCGCCGCCGCTCTCCCCGCACTCTCCCCTACGATATCGGCAACAGGAGACCCATGACCCCCTCAGTGTGTAAGTCCAATCCGAGCCAGATCTCCCAGAAAACGTGCCATTCCCACACCCAAACAACCCAATTTCGAGCAGCCGGTCCAATCACGAATTACGCGAAAGAAGACAGGGACGATTTACCCCATTTCCTCTGACGTGCCAGCCCCTCAGTCCACTCTCATTTCAAGATCCATTTACACACCTACTACCATCCTCAACTCCCCCCCTCTCTCTATGTGTGTATTTCTTAGAGGTCACACAACTAAAACAGGCATGAATTCCATCCTTCTTAGAACCGCAACCCCCCGCTTGATACTCCGAAACCGTCCAGCCCTTCACCTCAGCAATCCATTCAAAATGTCCTACATCGCAGCGGGAGCAACCCCCGGCGGCTCGCAGGCGACGCTACGCGACGGCAACAAGCTCAAGGCGCTGTTCGACGCCAACAAGCCTGCCCTGGGCGGATGGCAGATGATTCCCGGGTCGACGATTTCGAGGCTCTTGGCGCAGTCGGGCGTGGACTGGGTGGTGGTGGATTGTGAGCACGGAGGCTTGGATGGTGCGTTCTTACTTATGGCTTGAGCCTGACTTTTCTCTGTGATGATGCGAGTTTGTGTAGATGGCGATGAAGGGTTTGAGCTGACGGTGTGAAATTTGTTGCTGGAGCGTGGCAGACCGGGCAATGCATGAGGCTGTTCCTGCTATTGCGGCTTTGGGAGTGTCTCCTGTTGTTAGAATTCCAGGCATGGAGCCTTGGATGGTGAAGCGTGAGTTATCATTTGAGTTTTACATGAGATGCTGGGAAATTGAAGCTGACTGGATGGAACACAGGTGCTTTGGACACTGGAGCTCACGGCGTACGTGCTTCTATCGACGACCATTACTTTTGCAACGGACATCCAGAAGCTGATTTGGATCGCTAATGAACTGATGCTGATACGGCACTCAGGTCCTTGTCCCCCTACTACGTACCGTCCAAGAGGCCAAGGACCTCGTCCAGGCCTCCAAGTTCCCCCCTTGGGGAAAGCGAGGCTTCGGATCTCCTTACTCGGCCAAGCAGTTTGGGCGCACCATTAGCTCTGCCGATTACCTGGAGCAAGCCAACGAGTCTGTCCTGACCATGGTCCAGATCGAGACCAAGGAGGCTCTCGAGGCGGTCGATGAGATTGCTGCTGTCGAGGGCATCGACGTGCTGTTCGTCGGACCCTTTGATCTGGGTACGTCGCCCCCTTAAAACCCCCATGTCCGGTAAGAGATCTCCAACTCGTGACTTACGAACAATCCCCAGGAAACAACATCGGCCACCGCATCACCGCGGAAGGCATCCCCCAACAACTCGAAGAAGCCCTCCTCAAGATCCAAGCTGCCGCCAAAAAGGCCGGCAAGAAGAGCGGCATCTACACCCTCGACCCGGAGCACGCCAAGACGTGCCGGAAGCAAGGCTTCGACATGGTGCACATTGTCACGGATTACATGGGCATCGAAGAGATTGCGAAGCAGTCTCTCACCGTGGCCAGGAGTTAGATAGAGGGAAGCGCTTATTTTGGATTGTCTATTATAGGTAGTAGATTAGAAGGATAAAGACAACAAAGAAAGAGACAACAGAGACTATTTGCCTTCCACTTGGTCCATTTTGGCTTCAACTTGGTCTTCCGTGAAGCGGTGCATTAGTTTGATGGCTTTGCTGGCCTTGTTGATGTCTTCCTCGCCGGCTTCCGCTTTGCTTATATGGACCTGAACAATTACCGTCAAGAAGTGACCACTTGACCCCAAGAATTAAATAGAGCACTTACGACAGGGATATCAAAATCGTACAAGTTCCTCCAGTGCTTAGACTCCTCCTTGGCCAGATTCACCTCCGTGTATAGAAACGGCCGCTTGTCCCATACGTTGGAAAGCACGCCCTTGGCCTGCGTGCAGAGACCGCAGTCGTCCCTGGAAAAAAGAGTGACTCTGCAGGCTTGCAAGAGGCGTCTGGTGGCAAACATTTTCAGCAGCTGTAGATAAATCTGAGTACTATCAATTACAGTGATGGTCTGAGCGATGAGTTTTCGTTTCACTCGAATCGTGAAGCTTTGCGAGTGACTTGTGCAGCAGGTGGGCTGATGTGATGACTAAGCCGGGAGAAGCCGATTCAGATGCTTCGTGTAAGTTGGGCAAGGTGGGCTTTCTGCTCTTCTGATATGGGATGAATTACATCGATGTCAATTCTGGCGCAGCTTTGATTAGGTTGCAGAGGCTTTAGACGGACAATTAAGGGGCATTTATTATCATGTTATTTGGATAGAACTTCAATTGTAGCGTGAATGGCTGTCAGAGTCCTATGTTGAGTCGAATGCCTTAGCTACTCATCATATGCAGCATGTATACGCTCGCGACCCTCATCTTACAAGCTCTTTCTCGTATTCAAGAATTGTAACTGCTGTAGTACCCAAGATATAACCTACCAATGGAGCTTCCTCGACTAATTAGCCACTTTGCCAGTCAACTCCCGTCCAAATCGCGATCCTGATCCAGACCAAGCTCCAGCATCGCCGAACCCCGCATCGAAATAGGAAAGCGGTGAGACCACACAGCTCCGTCATCCTCGCACTTCTAGAAGATCCCATCGGGTCTAATACCCACATCAGCTCGTCCATGGGCTTTTAACTGCCTTTGCTCTTTTCCTTCTCCATCTCCCCAGTCTTCTCCATGTTGCACGATATCATAAGCCCCTTATAATACCAGCTTGTCCATTCTCAATCTCCTGCAGCTCTACAAAGTCACAATGGCGCAAAAGTGTGTCCGTCAGGGCTGCGGCAAAGAGTTCACTGACCCGAACGAAAAGTGCCAATATCACCCCGGTCCACCCATCTTCCACGAGGGGCAGAAAGGTAACGATGATTGATTTCAAGCTCCCCTTCTGCACCGTCTCGTGATACATACAAAACAAACTAGACCCCCCCTCCCTTACTCCATGTCATCGACCCTCAATGTACAGTCTGAATTGACCATGTTCCAGGATGGAAGTGCTGCAAGCCGCGAGTCCTAACCTTTGACGAATTCATGGAGATCCCCCCCTGCACAACAGGCACGCACTCCACCACCGAGAAGCCCCCTCCGGTCGAGGAAGGGCCGCAGCAGTTCGACGAGGCCGCCCTCGCGCAGAAGATCTCAGAGGCCAGCGTATCCGCCCCGACGCGGCGGCCGATCCAGCCCGCGCAGCACGTCCCCACGCCTCCGCCGCCGCCCCCGGACTCCGAGGACGACGACCCGAGCTTGGACATTCCAGACGGGGCCGAGTGCCGCCGCAAGGCTTGCAGCGCAAAGTACAAGAAGGGGTCTGCGAGGGAAGGGGAGAAGTGCGTGCACCATCCTGGCGTGCCCATCTTTCACGAGGGCAGCAAGGGGTATTCGTGCTGCAAGAGGAGGGTGCTAGAGTTTGACCAGTTTATGAAGATTGAGGGGTGCAAGACCAAGGACAAGCATCTCTTTGTCGGCAGTGGGAAGAAGGACAAGGCGGAATCAGGCAGCGAGGAAATACTCACGACAGTCCGGTAAGTCTACTCATCATCCAACCATGACCTGCGGTACCATATGAGCAATCTCGCCTGACCTTGGGTGTCCAGACACGACTTTTACCAGACCCCCACACAGGTCATCGCATCGCTCTTCCTCAAGAAGATCAACAAGGACACATCAAAGGTCGACATCAAGGAAAAGGAAGTCGACCTCGACCTCACGACCAGCGACCCGACACCGAAGCGATACACGGCGACGTTCCCGCTGTACGGGACAGTCAACCCGGAAGGCTCGTCGTTCAAGGTCCTCGGCACGAAGCTGGAGCTGCTTCTCGCCAAGGCTGACGGGGCTTCTTGGCCGGTGCTGCGGAGCGACGAGCAGTTGACGGGCGAGATTCTGCAGGTTGGCCGGGCGGGCAAGGTGTAGCTAGGGGTGGGTGGTCGGGGCTATAGCAAAAAAAATATATACATGAACATGATGATATTACCGTCAGAACAGGGACAGTGTTAGCGTGGAGATTGTAGCCGGGTGCAGGTCGTGTGTGAGTGACTGCCGGTAATATTACAAGCTTGTTTGCGACTTAAGCTGCATGGCAGCACATGGTTCAGCCAACAAGGTGAATCAATCAGTCGACCAGCTATGTATGAGCTCATATGCATGGTGCCAGCATCAGATCGAAAAGAAGGGCTGATAATGATAGTGCCTAATCGGTGCTCTCGGGCCATTGATAAGCAACCCTGTCGGCGAATGTCACCAAATTCAGGTACGTAAACACGGCCATTCCCCCCGCAGCCTCTCACTGGCTCCCCACTAGTCTTGGCGCTGGTGCGATAAAGCAGAACTCGCGAATGTTATCTCTCTCTCTCTCTCTCTACATACCTCAGGTATGATGAAATCGATGGCCGCGGCTGAAAAGTAGCAAGCAAGAGAGAGACAGAGAGAGAGAGAGAGAGGAGAGACGGGCTGCCGATAACGGGGTCTCTGCCACATGCTCGTCCAATGTTGTCTGCTTGCCTCGTTTTATCCCGCTACTAGTGCCAGTCGTTTCCAACAATGTCAATCGACTGACTTTCCGACGTGAGCAGCCATGTGGCGCATTCGTTTTGGGCAACCCATTTCCCTCTTCTCGGCTTATCGCTCGAGGGCGTTGATGCTATAAAGATTGTCGGGGCGCCACCCGGAATCCCTAGGATGTAGTAGATTGTGAAAAAGACAAAGTTAAAAGGGATCAGCTTTCATTATCTTTCAATCTTACCTTGTACAACATAGAGGTGCCGCTCAACAGCTCTCATAACATCTCGAATCAAGCAAGAATCGAGTTCTCCCCCCTCAGCTCCAGTTGAAACTCATAGGTATTACTCTCTCACGCACGCACAGGCGGAGCTGCGATAAAACCTACAACACCTCTCTCCATCATGGCAACCGAAGTGTCCCACGGCCGCGGCGGCGCGGGCAACATTGACGTGGACGATACGAAATATGTCGACGGCGAGGTGGTGCGCACCGGAATCATGGGCAGCCATGGTGATGGCGCATTCAGCGCTGGCCGAGGAGGTGCGTTTACTTTTCTTTTGAAACTGCGCATTTGCAATGACTTTCCGGCCCCATGACCTGCCAATATCATCTTCATGTAAGCAAATCGCAGCTAATAATGAACTTGTTCACTTTGGAAACAGGTGCCGGCAATATCGCCGACGTAGGGACCACGTCGAAGCATCGCAACGATACGGACGTTGTCCCCGAAGCTGCTGTTCGCGTGAGCCAGGATGGGCAAGGATACCACACAGGCCGCGGCGGCGCAGGCAACGAGCATCGTGTTGACGAGCCGGCTCATGCAAAGCCTCGGCCTGTGGCGCCGGTCGGGCTGGCGGACAAGCTCAAGTCCAAGTTGTTTGGCGCATTCAAGCACTAATAGGCGACTTTACTATCGGGGATTGCGAAATCGTTGCGGCCAGAGAGGAGAGAAAAACAAAAGCATTGTCGGTAGGGGTGTTTGACGATGTTGGGTTATGGATTCCGCCAGTCGCCCTTGTTGGAGTACACATATGATATCCCCGTCGTTGAGTTTCGATTTTGTCGCACTTGAGTTATATTGCTATTGCGATGCTGTCATTCCAAGGTGATGACACGAATTATAAGAAGCGGAATAAATCTCATGAGTCAAGTTGCGCCACATCCACTCCTCTAGACTTTGCGTGCTCGTGCTGTACATATAGCAGAAAGCTGTACGAGTAAGTTGACGGATCGATGGGTGCGGTGAGAAGAAGTCACCTCTGGGATATAGGTGACGTCGAGGAAAGTGTGTAGTACAATGCCTTCAATGTTCCTTCTTGGCTCAGGCGTCCACTGGTTATAGGATATAGTATGTTCAACATCCTTTTGTCTCTCTCATTGCACCAGTGGCTGGCAACTGAACGTCCTCGCAATCACAGAATGAGAACCCGGCAGCACCCAAAGCTCTCATCACGCCACCAAAAGCAAAAAGACGGGCCATGATCGTCGCCCGCCAATCTTGCCCATGTCGTTGGTCGCCTTCACACTGCAATTCCCCCACTTAAGCCGCCGTCAAACGCAGCAGCTTGGTCTCATGGGCGCCAAACCCGGGAATAATCGAAACTCTGGTCCTAGGAAAAACGAGGCGGACTTTGTTCGACATTTTGGTTTCAGCGCCTCCTGCAGAACCATGTCTAAACCTCAGCTGACCTGCAAAAGTCGCAAGTAAAAAGCGCGTCACCCAGCAAAGCTGGAGAGCAGCAGCACGGCGTAGCATCAGCTAAACTGGCACAACGGGGTCAGTGACGCGGGAGCTCTCCACCCGAGCAATGCTAAACGGCCTTTAGTTCCTGGAACAGAAGAGGGCTAAACCAGGGCCAGGTCCATGTTTAGAAGTGTAGATAGGCTCAAGCAGGACCGTCGGCAAACGAGAGGCGTCTTCAACCGTTAGGGCCGCCCGGGAGCGAATAAGCGAAGGGCAGCGCATGCAAGAGAAAGAGGAGGGGGGGAGACGTGATCGAGCTGCTTCATCGTGCAGCAGGCACATAAAGGGTTGCATCTCGCCCGCCGGAAACACGAGGATGTGTGCCTGGGATTTGATCCTCTGGTTGGGCCGCCTGCTGCTGTTGGAGATTTGAGCTTGTCTGGAGGCTTACCTATTACCTTACATACTAGCCACGGTGTGCTTCTGTTGAGCCTGATTTGCTCAGCCTTTGGCCGGCACCGCCCTGGTCGTCAGCAAGAGGCAGCATCCGGCCGGAGAAACAGCTGATGCCAGTCTTCAAACCTCGAACCGAGCAACAACAGACCGAAATCGCACGGACTTTTGACGCACGGATGCGAGCTCCAGCCTCTGGCCGGCTCATGATTGTTTGTGTCCACCGCGAATTGCTGCAACGGCGCGGGGTGCATTAGCATTAAAAGCCAGCAGGCACAGGCACAGACCGCTTCCGACTGGGCTGGGGCAGTAGGTAGTACCTCCTGCTAGGTACTTACGGGTAGTACCATAATCAATCACGTGGGCCGGCCTGTCACTGTGCTGTCACTGCCTGGCCAGACCGCGACCATGCCGCCGCATCGCCCGGAGCTGCAAGGACGGCGCTTCTGGTCGGGACTGTCCATCCTGTCCAAGCGATCCTACGCGACTTCGTCCTTTGAGGCCGACGACGAGCACTCCTCGGGCGACGACGAGATGAGCCTGCGCGACAGCTTCGACAGCGACGTGCGGCCGGGCGTGCCGGCGTATGCGGGCCACGATGCCAGACCGACCAGCAAGAAGGAGATCTGGGGCTGGTACATGTACGGCTTCGCGGCCGAGACGTATGTCATTTGCGGCATTGGTGAGTCTGTTTGTCTGTCTTGCAGTACGGCGCTGGTTTGCTCGTGATGCCTTTGGAATCTACTCGTGTAAATGAGTATCCATCGTGTTGTTGCTAGGCCATCAGCTCCTTTAACCCCTTGGACGAAGACGAAGGAGAAGTCGCCGGCTAACATCATCTCCTACAGCCTCCTTCATCCCAATTCTCCTAGAAACGCTTGCTCGAGAGAATGGCGTCCTTCTATCCAACCCCGACAAGCCGTGCGGCTCCAGCGACAGCAAATCGGAGGATGACGGCCAGTGTGTCGTCTATGTATTGGGCATCCAGATCAACACGGCGAGCTTTGCCATGTACACCTTTTCCGCCAGTGTCTTGCTGCAGGCGCTTTTGGTCGTCAGCATCAGCTGCGCTGCCGACCACGGCAACTATCGAAAGCGGCTGCTCCTCGCCTTTGCCTGGCTCGGCGGCATTTCCGTCATGGCCTTCATCTTCATTAGCAAGACGACGTACCTGCTCGGCGCCGTGTTGACCATCATCTCCAACACGTCGTTTGGCGCATCCTTTGTCCTGCTCAACTCATTTCTCCCGCTGCTGGTTCGAAACCATCCCGAAGTGATGGAGGCGTACGTGCCGGAATCGCCCGAGTCGGTTGATGGGCCGCTTGATTCCCGCCATATGGGAGATTCAACCGATGATTTGGACGGAGCCTCGATCAATTCCACTTCGGGCCTGCTACCTTCCAACGATCGGCATCAAAGGTATGGACTCAAGCGAGTCGCAACCCACGAAGAAATTACTTCCAAGGAGCTTCAGCTTTCCACGCACATATCCTCTTTAGGCATCGGCATCGGCTACAGTGCTGCCTTGTTCGTGCAGTGTGCCTCCATCGCTATCCTGATTGCTATGAAAAATACGACATGGTCCCAAAGGGTTGTGCTGTTCATTATTGGAGCTTGGTGGTCCATCTTCACCATCCCTGCTGCGCTGTGGCTGAGGCCAAGGCCGGGGCCAGCTCTGACGATACATGGCCGCAAAGATGGCGCCTCCTGGTGGGTATACCTAAAGTTTGCGTGGAAGTCTCTGTTTCGCACGATTCAGCTGGCCAGGCGTCTGCTGGATATCACCCTCTTTCTCTGCGGCTGGTTCCTCCTCTCGGATGCCATTGCTACCACCTCTTCCACTGCCGTTCTGTTCGCCAAGACCCAGCTCCACATGGAGCCATGGGCTTTGGGCATGATCAATGTCATCGCCACCATGGCTGGAATCTTTGGTGCCTTTGGCTGGTCGTGGATTTCTCGGGCGTTCAACTTGAGACCCCATCAGACAATTCTCGTCTGCATTGGGCTGTTTGAGCTCATCCCAATCTACGGCCTCCTGGGCTACCTGCCATTCATTAAGCGGTGGGGTGTTGTTGGACTACAGCAGCCGTGGGAAATGTATCCCCTGGCCGCCGTGTACGGTCTCGTCATGGGCGGCCTGAGCAGCTACTGCCGCTCCCTGTTTGGCGAGCTGATCCCGCCCGGATCGGAGGCCGCGTTTTACGCTCTGTATGCCATCACCGACAAGGGGTCCAGTGTTTTCGGCCCTGCGATAGTGGGGGCCATCATTGACAGGACTGGAAGTATCAGACCTGCGTTTTGGTTCCTCGGCGCACTTGTTGGCCTTCCAGCTCCTCTCATCTATTTCATCAATGTTGAGCGTGGCAAGAGAGAGGGCGAGAAGCTTGCTGAAACCATTGAGGGTTTTGACCCTGAGGACCATGCGGAGGAAGACGAAAGCGACGAGGAAGCGGCCCGAGGCATACTGGCAGATTATGAGGCGGCGGAGGGCAATGGCAGCGCCTCACATCGACGGTAAGATTCGGAAGTTTGGATAGCATCTATCGGTGGTCGCGAGGGCCGAATTTTCTCCTCTTGGTCGTTGCCGTCCCGAATGGGTAGGGATGCATTAACGACTTGCTGTGCATAGCGTAGGCGTTTTTGTTTGGTCAGTGAGCTTTGGATGTTGCCATGGAATCCTGGGATATTGATTTGGAGGCTACTTGGCCTCTTTCTGCCTTGAGATCTGCGAGAATCTTGGTTTGATTTATGGATAGGGCTATGCAGTAATAATTTGGTGGTTTCTTGTTACGCGACTCTCTTGGCTCGAGGATGATATGTCTACTGTTGGCGCATGGTGTGAAGCTTGTGTACCTAAAGGTATGTATGTATAGGGTCCCTTGAGCGCAGCATCTGCGTCAACATGGCAGATATCCAATGCCATCAGTCCCAGCAACCAGCGCTCTATATCATCCAGCTGCATACAACAGGCATGTTTGCCCGGGTTTACTCGGAGTGACATTCTAGTTCGGGGATCCCTTTACAGTGTAAAGAGAGTCCGACCGCCACGCTAGGAGGTATTCAGTTGAATGGATGGACGCGAATAGGATCGGACTGGATCTAGGCCATGCGGCTAAATAGGTAGGACCCCCAGGCCGCTAAAAGGAATTGATTGCAGCGAATGGAAGCTAGTGACTTGACTACAGCGGGGTTTCACGTTGGTCGTCCCCCAGTTGGGGCCTCTTGTTACGCGTTCTATCGAGCCGTCTCCCAGGCTGTTGTTGTTCCCGTCTTGTCAGGTATTCCGCTGTGCTTTCGTGTTAGTATACCTACATAGGTAGGTACGGATAGTATTACCCGTATGAGGTACCCGGCCACTGTAAGCGCCTGGGCTGGTACAGCCGGCTGTCTCTCCCGTCTCTCCGTCTCCATCCCGTCTCTTCTTGGACGACCTTTTTTGTAATCTTGCTCATCACTGCTATCTTGGCCTAGGTAGCAAAAACAGATTGACTTGGAGATCACAATTGAATGAGAGAAATCAACTGCCATTACCCAACAGACCCGACCTCTCTTCACAGCACCCTTTGGTATATCAATCTTCTCTCTCTCTCTCTCTCTCTCTCTCTTCCTCCCTCCTCTTCTCCTTCATCCCCGCCTCCGCCGTGCAGGGACCGACTGTTGGCTCGTCGCCAAACGCTGCTGTCGAAACAAAACCCACTTCTGCTCGGTAGGCCAAAAACCGAAAAGCCCAAAAAAATCCCCGGACCAAAAGTTCGCAGAAGGAAACGAAGAATTATTCAACCATTTCCCGACTTCTTTGCGCGATTCACTTGTCCCCCCGTCCATCTTTGCTCCCTCAGCACTCGGAGAAGCCTCCCCCCTCCCCTTTGTCTTGTTCTTCGTTCGACCCCGGATTGCGGTGGCTTGACGCCTCCCCCGGCTCAGCTCCAGCCCGCGCCTCTCTGTTTATTTCTGCCAGACTCGCAGAGAGGAGCCGTTGCTGTCATCGACGAGATTGGGTGCATAACGGAATCCCACCTTATCTCGTTGCTCCCCCGATTTTACCAGGGCCCGCCGCCGCCGTTGCAGAAACCTGCCCTGTGTGACCTCAGGCACTCGATCGGGAGGGCGCTTGTGTTTACATACAGACAGATTAATACCGACCGAGGCCGACGCAATCAACATCACACCCACACACCTCCCCGTTGCATCGTTTGCGGCTCCCGTCTCTCTCACGCCCTCGACCCAAAGCGAGGCAGCAGCTCGTCGACAAGCCGTCGCCGCGCCCTGAAAAGCGACCAATCGGCCAGCCCGGAAAATCCCACGAAACGCGCGGCGCTCTCTAGATTTTGCGCGCGACAAGACGCAGGCGCGCTGCCCAAAACCGGCCCTGCGATGAGTTCCAAGCCCAAGAAGCGCTCTCGCCCTGCCTCGGATGGCGCCGCTAGTCATACCGACGGTGCCGTCGCGGACGAGAACCGTGCCGACTGCCCCTTCACCGTCACCGTCGTCTCGGAGCCGGAGCGCAGCGAGAGGGACGGGCCCAAGTCGAAGAAGCGGAAGCACGACAAGTCCGACGAGGACACCAACAAGAAGGTCCAGACGCAGAACGCAGTCTTCCACCCGGAGGGCAAGTTCAGGACAAGCCAGTCGCTGAAGCTCTACTACGCCGTGGAACCCCGCAAGCAATGGCTCGACATGACACGCTACAACAGCTTCGTTCGTAAGTTGCCATCCTGCCCCCGTCACTGTCCTTCCAACCTCGCTGCTCAGTTGTCCCAGAGAAGCCCGACGATAAGACTTTGATATCTAATTGTATAAATCCGTGTAGTCAACGGCGTCAAGTATTATACCGAAGACTTTGTCTATGTAGCGAACGAGGCCACCATGGAACGACAAAACTCCCTGCCCGCCGGTGCTACCAAGGTTGCCAAGAAGGCCGACTACTGGGTGGCTCGGATACTCGAGGTTCGGGCCTCGGACGAGCATCACGTATACGCCCGCGTCTACTGGATGTACTGGCCCGAGGAGCTGCCTCTGGGTACCCTGGATGGGAAGAAACAAATAGCCGGTCGTCAGCCATACCATGGGCAGCACGAGCTGATCGCCTCCAACCATAGTGAGCAGACCCGAGACACAAATGAATGCGCATCCGTTTGGCTAACAGTCGAGCAGTGGACATTATTAATGTTGTAAGTGTGGTCATGGGCGTCAATGTCAAGCAGTGGATAGAGTCAAACGACGATGATATACAAGAGTCTCTGTATTGGAGACAGGCGTTCAACACCAGGACGTCGGAGTTGTCGGTATGTACATGCTGTGACGACTGTCGAGCCTTGTTGTATATGTGGCATGGTTGATATTGACATTTCTATCTAGTCAGTCGCTCTTGTTTGCAAGTGCAAGACCCCCGCCAACCCCGATAAGACGCTCGTTGGCTGCTCAAACAAGGCGTGCGAGGAATGGATGCATTACGACTGCCTGCTCGACGATGTCCTCTCCCGAGTGTACGACCGACTGGGGACCGATATCCCCCATAAGTCGGGAGAACCGGTCATTAAGGAAGAGACGAAAGAGGACACAAAAGAGGAGCCAAAGGAGGCAGCCAAGGAAGACCTGCCGTACCGTCTACCGAGCCCTTCGGTCGAGGGAGAAGACAGAAAATCCCCCATTGTGGCCAGCACCGAGATCAAAGACCAGGTGCTCGTCAAGCAGCGAGATGATGAGTCGTCCAAGGACACAGAAACGCCAACGCCGGCTCTGCCCAACGGCTCGGACAAGTCTTCCAAAGCAGCCCCGGCCAAGAAGGGCAAGCGAAAGAAGTCGTCCAAGAAGCCTTGGGAGGGCCTCTTCGAAGCCACCCTGAAGATGAACGAAGGCCCGACTGTCTGGCAGATAACGGACCTGAGAGACCTCGAAGGAGGAGACAAGCAGTGGACGGAGCAGGCGTACTGCCTGCTATGCGACACTGTGATTGAGTGATTGACGAGGGCGTCGACCAGAATCTGGAGTTCATACCTTTCTCTGGTGCTGGTTTGTGCATTGGCAAGGAATTTGTTTATGTCTGTTATTTTTTTTCTCGTTTCCTGGGAAGAGAGCAGTGGTGCTGCTTCGCTTTCCCCCCCCCTCCCTTAGGGTTACCAGTTTTGTTTACCTGAGCAACTGTCTATGTTGACATAATGTAAAGCAGCAAGCAAATGCCGAAGAGACAAAAACGAAAGAAGAAAGAAACGCAGCGCAGATATATGCTGCGGTTATGTGATGCGCGACTCTAAAAAAGCAAGAAAGAAAGAATGAAGAAACCGGCGGGGCGTTCTTGGGACGATTTACCTACGTTACGGTTCGGGCCGGGCTATACATGGTCAGGGTCAGGGTCAGGGTCAAGGTCAAGGGCGGAAACAGTGTTGGCTTGTTCTGTTGTCTCTTTGGCTAGAGGGTCTGGGAAAGGGGCGCTTGGTAGTTTAGGATTTGAGTGTCTACCTGTGTGTTTTGATGCTTCTTGTTGGATCTCTTGCCTTGGATGTTAAAGGCAAAGGGGGGAAAGGAAAGCCCTTTTAAGGAGCATTTGTCTGTCTTGGTTCTATTTTGCCCTGGAGACAGAGAGAGGTAGTAGATTGCAGAGATAGATAATGGATGCATGATGAAGAGTCAGTGAGTGCCAACTGATTTTTCTGTATAAATGTTGCCCCAATTGTTACAACTATAATTCTCGATGCGTGGACTTGAGGAACATGATGCATATCTCCATTTATCCATCGTCAATCTGTACCTTAGCTGTTGTTGTCCTTGCTCAAGCACCAACAGCTCATCCATCGCTTTTGGCGGGGTCAGTCCAGCTCCAGCTCCTATCAGCAGCTGCTCTGCCGCTAGCCGGCGTCTTACAGGTCCGTTTACCGGTGACGTGAACCCCCCCTTGTTGGCGACCCGACCCCTACCTACCATGGAGTCGAAACCCCGCGACCTTGAACAGCAACCTTCCTTAAGCTTCAACACTGCTTTGACCGACCTCGACGCCTCTCTCAACACTGACAATCACCACTTACGGCGCCTTTCGAAATTGTGACTTGAGGCTGCGTCCACCGCGGCAAACCGGCAATTGCAATGGCTGCGGATCCCTTTGACTCGGCGCTGTGAGCTTTCCCCCTTCCTCCCCTAATCCTATCCTTTCCCTATCCTCTCGTTGTCCCCTCCATGCCAAGCATCTCCCAACCAGCTCTCTCCGCCCCCCTTGATGCCTTCTCACGACCATTTCTGCCCTTTCTACGATCCCAACACGTAGCCTCCAAAAGTCACGTATGAAAAATTCCATCCACTGATACCCCTTCGTCAAAGCGACCTCCTCCGCCGCCTCAACCCCAAGCACACGAGCGAGCACCTCAACGCAATCATCTCCCTGGCCCCGGACCTGACCGAGGACCTCCTGTCGTCCGTCGACCAGCCCCTCACCGTCAAGCGCTGCAAGCAGACGGGCCGCGACTACCTCCTCTGCGACTACAACCGCGACGGCGACAGCTACCGCTCGCCATGGAGCAACCAGTTCGACCCGCCGCTGGACGAGGGCGGCGTGGGCGGCGTCGGGCCCGGCGGCAGCGAGGGCGCCGGCGAGGGCGCGATCCCCAACGAGAGGGTGCGCAAGATGGAGGTCAAGGCCAATGAGGCCTTTGACATTTACCGGGAGCTGTACTACGAGGGCGGTGTGAGCAGCGTCTATCTCTGGAACCTGGACGATGGCTTTGCGGGCGTGGTGTT